CAGCTAACAGACTGAATATATAATATAAAATCTCCCTTGCTACTTAACCCAAGTAATCTTTTTGTTATAACGCAAAAAACGAGTATATTACGAAGAGTTCAATTTTTTACCAGAATCTGCTCCTTTGAAGCTCTTTCTTTCACCCTGCTCTTCATTGTTTGTTGATCTATGGAGCGATTCAGAGAATGGATGTAATAAGTATCTATTTCTGAGTTGCTTTCCTTGTAATATTCCGTATTCATCAAGTCTTTGCCAACGTATGTATCTTTCCAAGTGTTCAAGCAAATCGTCACGATCCACAGAATCTTGTTCGCAAATCGCACCTCTTCTTTCTAGCTTGGTTTTTTCTTGAATGTTTTTGTTGACATTTTCTAACTCTTTCTTCTCTTCAGTTTCAGCATATTTCTTCCCCTTCCGATTCCGAAAACATGAAACCAGCATACAAGACATTTTCATTTTTTCACATTGTACTATTCGTGATTGTAATTAAAAATCGTTTATCACAAACTTGTTATGTGCTTCTTGCCGGTAGTCGATTTATACACTCAGGCTTTGCTGGTTAGATTTTGTAAAGTCAGAATGTATTTCCAGTGATGATGTTCATTCAATAGTTTGCTTGATCAAATTCAATTTAATCGGATTCGTTAAGAATAATAATGATCTACGGTTAAAAACTCTCACAATCAAGTTCAATTCTATTTCAGCGGCATAATCCTTTATCGCAAACATCAACCTATTTTTCTAATCTCTCTGCAGTTTTCGTCGGTCATCGATTATTGAGATCCATATATTTTGTCAATGGAAGAATAAATTATCGACACTGAGCTGCCACCCAATGGAATCTGGTTTCGTTAGATAACTTTTTTTCAAATAAAACTGGCATTGGTAACAAGTTCCTGTCACTTTACCTTCTTGGTTATGCGCGTGCTTTGATTGTCTCTGCTGGCCTTAACCGTTTCTGCTCCCCTCGCAAGTGGTTGGTCCTGGATGCTAGTGAGGCGTATCTTTGCAAAGATTAAATGAAACTGATTCAGGCAGGTGCGTACGGTTATGAAAACTGGCTGTCGTCAAGTAGATCAAATTTGCCGTCTAACGCTTCTAATTGTGATTTTTATGCTATACCAGTTGCCTGTTGCGTGTTCCTCTATTTATCAGTCGCCGGGCTTTATAACCGGAAGGAATCGAGCGCTGAATTTTGCAAATGTAAAACAGCTGATGATCAAACGTTCCTCTTTGTCGGATTCGCTTCGCTGTGAATAAAGACAGTTCGGGTCAAGCTTAGGGAAAATAGATTTACCTCTCATATGTTTTTGACGTCAGTAAACTGTGTTACAGGGAAGTCAGATTGTCTGCTTTTCAATATTCACATGATTGAATTCATTCGCTAGAACTTTTACGGCACATTTATGATAGGACACAAAATTAATTCTTTGAAGCTTGTGTATATTTGTATATGGCTGTATATTTTCTTTCTAAAAGCCAATGATTCTCACAAACTCGTCATTCGTTTAGGTAAGAGATGATTTTCTATACTTATTACTATATAAGATACTATTATCATCTTGTTATGGTAATACCGGAATGCATGGCCTAACTTCTAGCGGACTTGCTATTGAATAGCCTTGGCTCACTGATCAGTGGACCTGTCTACTTTAATACATCATCTGCAGCTACAACCTGTGTAGGATCTACGTCGTTATTACAGTATGATTGTTATTAAAGCATTATCATACAGCAGTCAAAGGATTGCATAACAAAAATGCACAACAAACTTCTATAGAAAGAGAGAGCGAGCTCCGATTCGAAGAATATGGTAGCTCAAACTGTATTGTTCAGCGCTGTTGTTTTCAACAATGCACGAAGATTGTCTTTTACCACATAAACCTTGCCATGGTTTTGTTGAGATAAAGCCACGGAGAAAACTTCTTCTTCGGCTTCCAATCTTCTTAGATACAAGCCGTTAGGTAAAATCTATGAGCACTTCCAGATGCTATGAGCACTTCCAGTCTAAAAATACTCGTTTTTCCTCGCATTTCTTACGCGGAAATAAGATTAACATAAACCTACAGAACAGCACTCTTGTACCGACAATCGCTTTAGAATCGTCGTAATGCTCAAACTGTTCGATTTTTTTGTTTCGTTATTCTCAAACGAATCTGTTTATCTGGATAATTGGCACAACAGCAGGCAAAATGAAAGATTTCGGGAATTTCAAGCAGAAAAAAAGTGATAACTTAGAAGATGTTCAGCTGCATCTTGAGCGGCCGCTAGGGCAATTTTTTTAAATGCCATCTGTTTATCCTCGCCATTCTGCTTTTTACTGTCCTCTCCTCAATTTTGTCTTCAAAACAACGAGGCAACTGTAATTAGGAAGTACTTTCTTGATGAAAAATTAATTGTTTGTTTGTTTCGATTTTTCTCTGCGTATACATGCTTTTAAAAGCCCTAATTATGAAGACTTCAAGCCAACTGACATAGGAATTTTCAAAACACATGGAGATCTCGCGCTCAGTATGAGCAGATAACTTTTTGCTAAGCCCATTACAGATTAAATAATGTCCAGCTAGAACCATCTGCTTACAAGTAATTACAGAACCATTCAAAACTCGATCTAAAACAGAACATTTCTCTCTTCAGCTTTATATATTGCAGGCGCATCTTGCCGTAGTTGTGGGTTTTAATTTTTGCTCAAGCGTAAACAAGATCAAAGTATCTCGATAAACAGAGAATAGCATTTGTAATTCCATCAAAGCTAACACTTGAAAATGCTGATTTTTGGGGTTGATAAAGATTAGTTTTTGATGCTTTTTTTTCATTTTTCTGCAACTGTTGAAAACCGCAGATAACAACGAAAATGTGAATGACAGATGCTTGATTCGATTGGTGCAATTTTGAGTCACATGCAAAGCCTTTAATGGGCTATCCATTGCTTCCAATTATTTCATGACAAGAAAAAAAACCTTTTTGTTCTAATTTAGGGCTTTTATTAAGGTCTTAAGCCTCCTAAGTAAATTACCGCCCTGTGATATATAAGGCTTCGTTACAAGAGCCAGTGGTAATTATAAGATTAAACAGTTAAAAACATATGCGTATTAGAAATGACATATAAAGCTATACAGATGATAACAGCGAGGCTTTGCCTTATTATTAGCCACAACCTTATTAGCTACAAGTAGTGGTTTACAAAAATATTTTCAACATTTTCTTCGTTGTGTCATAGTGTTGCCCTGCGGGATCCTTAAAGAGATTTCAAAGCAGCATCTACATAAGGTTGCCTCTGTTATAATCCACTTAAGAGGTTTTATTTTTTGAGGTCTCATAACAGTAAAACAATTTTGAAGATGGGATGTACCATCACTACCAATTTTATGAGAATATTATCATGTCACCAACCATTTCTAATATAAACATGAAAATGTTCTAACTGTACTTATGAATCATTCAACAAGCAAAATATGTCTGCGCTCAGTCATCAAATGAAAACATTCAAATTCCTTATCGGTTTATATAAGCCCCTCTGTATCTTAGTGATTAATTCCTTGATGTCAGACTTTTCAAAATTTCTACGTTATGTGATGCCAAATCGACTGAAAAAATACATATTTAAATGCTTAAGTCATTTTCAGAAGAAAAGTATGGCCAAATTTACATGTACACTTAACGATCTGATAATGGGAGCTCCGACATTTTGAATGACAAGAGGGTTTTTGATTAGGAGGCTGTGGCTGTGGCTGAAGTCGCTCGTTTCCAAATCGAAGGCAAAAAACGATTCATCCATGCATTCACCCATTCATTAATGAATTCATTCATTCCTTAATTCATTTATTCATGCATTCATTGAAGCCAAATAACGATTCATTCATTCATTTACTCATTCATTCATTCATTCATTCATTTATTCATATAAATTCATTTACTCAAACATTCATTCATTCGTTCGTTCATTCATTCCTTATTCATTCATTCATTCATTCATTCATTTTCTCAAACATTCATTCATTCGTTCGTTCATTCATTCATTCATTCATTCATTCATTCACTCACTCATTCATTCTGTAATAGTGCTAGTTTAGATTTCGATGATTTTGTTACTTATAACTATAGTAATTCATCATCTTTCGCAAATTCGATTGTTTATTATTCCATTTGTTATCTATTTGCATCTTTCGATTCATTAGTTATTTCTTTGGGGATATCTGGTAACATTATTCAAAGATTATTATGTAAATACGTAGCTATGTAATATTTCAATTAGTTCTTGTTTATGTTATATTTTGGACGTGTTACTTTCAAAGTTAGTTGGAGTTGGAGTTGGAGTTATGGTTAAGAGATTTGATTATATGTATGTTTAGGTTCTCGACGATGTATTAATGTGGCTAGATGCTTGTAAAAGATCTTGTCGACATGAACTATGGTTTTTGTAGGATACGTATTATTATTTATGGAATCGCGCGTGATGATTGGGATGATTGTGCATGATTTAAAATGTTTGCGAGGACAGTGCTGGTAAAAGACTGTGCCTGATTTTACGAGAACGATTCGACGTTACGGGACAACCGTAGAGAAACACTGTGACTTATATAACCTTATTCGCGAAAAGATCATTTGATCGGAAGATGGACGTTGGAACTTTATATTTTGTGTCTTTATCTCAATTCTCGTCAAAGGACCAGTTTGTCTCGATGATGCATTCATTTGCAAAAACCCCCATTACAATTCATTCATTCATTCATTCATTCATTCATTCATTCATTCATTCATTCATTCATTCATTCATTCATTCATTCATTCATTCATTCATTCATTCATTCATTCATTCATTCGTTCGTTCATTCATTCATTCATTCATTCATTCATTCATTCATTCAATCACTCATTCATTCCTTCATTAATCTGAAATGCAGGTTTTGCAAGATAATATTTTACGGTTTGAGGAAATCTTCAGCAGTTCGAAGAATAAAGAGAATAAATTTTAGTCACAGCCTTGTGAAGATAACTTCATTGCCCTTTGCTTAACTTCATTGCACTTTGCTTTTCATGTAAACTAATCAGGTTTATTTTGAAACCAGTGATGTTTTTTTCATTTAGAATTTTCGTGATAATTTTCAGTGGCAAGCAATAGTCCAGTAATTCATCTATAATAATAGTTTAATTGCAGCAGACAGCTCCTTTTTGCTCGCAGCTTGTACTGCCATGTTTTTTACTCGTGGAAAATCAATACTTTAATTGTACTTATTTGTAGTAATTTCGTGCAAACATAAATTGCTTGCAAAAAACAGGCCTTGGCAGCTGCAACATTTGTAGCTTTTCCTCCATTAGGCAAATTTTCAACTTAATTAAGCAAACAAGTACTTATGAAAGCTTTTTGCTTTTCGAAGTATTGATTTGGTATTTCAAGCGTGAGGTAAAGTATCGCTATTCAAGTTATTACACGAAAAGGAAAGGCTTTTTGTCTAACACTTCTTCAAGTATAGAGTTTCGTACAATTTAAAAATGTGAATTGTTTTTTTGTTTTGGTGCAGATCGAAAATGCTGCGATAACAAATGGCGGGATTGTCTGGCTACTTGAATTGACTAAGTGATGGCCACTGACCATTTACAAGAAAACAAGTGAACAACAAATTTTTTGTCTACACAAACCTTCATTTTTGCAAAAAGTAGATTCAATTGAAAAATACTAACAAAATACAACCTTGTGGAACGGAGACAGGGGACTTGATTCCCTCTCCGAGAATAGCTTCAAGCCTCTTGTTGGCAGCAAATCTATCTTAAAAGCTCTTGCGCAACCGGCATGCTTTGCGACTATATTTTCAAAACAGGCCTAATATCGTACTTCATCAAGATACAAAGCACTATCGATTTCTAAACACCGGTTGCGCAAGATCTTTTAACTTGGCACTTCTTAAATTTCAAATAACCTTTCTGGCTTGGCACTTCTTAAGTAATTATTTAAAATATTTTCTGACAAGCAACCTATGAGCATCAGTTGTTTGCAAATGTATTCCTATCACTTACGCTAAAAATACTTTCAATGTTATTGTAGTAACTAAAAATTTGCATTGTTTCAAGTATAATTTATTGTAGTGGGTGTCCGAGGCAAATTCACTGAAGAGTGGACTAAAAAAGCTGTTTCCACTGTCAAGAAATTCCGGTTTTGAGATGTTACTCCGCTGTAGGTCCACAAATTTCGGGCCTCTTCTCTACAAGCAGATGGCGCTCTTGATTCAAAAGGAGTTCCTGGTGGACCAACTATGATGTGATCAGACGCACTGCCCGAATACACACAACTTGCATCTTTCTTTGCACCAAGAAAAGAGCCATTTCGACTTTGCAGTGGTGTGAGGCAAACTCGTTCATATGATACTGGTGTTGGAGGTAGATGCTGACTGTCAATTCCCTGGTTTTTCCCTTGTGGAGTATGTAAAAGCCGCTCTCGCCAAATGATTTCTGATTGATCCTTCTGAAACGCAGAAGTGGCTGGGAAACCTGTCTCATCAGCACTGGACCGGATGCTACGGGTTCTCTTTCCATACATTTCACAAGTAGAATGCTGACTTGTTGAGTGTGTATTTCTCCTTTTGATTCGAGCAATTTCCTTAACATTGTGCACCCTGCTTTGTCTAGATGAAAGATCAAACGGAGGTAAGAGAGAAATATCAAATCCTACCCAGAATTTTCATTTCGTGGCCTGTTCTTCATTGGAAATATTGTACAACTAAACTTTTAATAAATTTTGCTAAATCACCTGATATGATGATGTAAACTATCTACCATGTAATAACTAATTCAACTGCGCAAAAATACTGTACCATACCATCATACATTGATATGTTGTAACACGTCAGGTTTTAGCTTCTAGTAGGGAGAAGGGGGCTAAATATCTTCTCTTCCCATGCTTATAAAATATTTTAGTTATCGACTTTCCGACAATAATGCTAGCATGCTCCAATGGAAGAGGTGGGAGTCTTTAACTTCCAAGCCCTACTCTAGTGTCACCTTGGTATCACGCAAAATGACACGAAGCGACTCCCAACCATACCACAGAATGGAAATTACACTCTATTCAGTGACCATACCATATTTGAAGTAACACTCTAGTCAAAACTTACCCTATATAACCATATCTATTTAACACTACGTCACTCCACTTTACGTCACGCCACGCTACGACATGCCACATCACACTACGCTACACCGTATAAAATAGCAAGTCACGTCCTCCTGTACCATAGTATAAGTTGTTTCATATCAAAACCTATAAAATCAGCTTATTTCTCTATTGTACCATTTAAGGACAATGTGATATCTGCTATATTCTCCCCTATTCAAGCTATTTCATCAAATTTAGCTATCATCAATGATGCCTTATGATGATGCCTTATGCTGAAACTACCTATTCCGAAAAGGACATCCAAACGATAAAACAACTTATGCTGAACCTATTGAGGAATCGTCCCTAATCAGCAAAATTCGACTCATGCATAGCCAACATCTAAATAAGAAAAAAGAACTAGATTTTTCTACGAGGTAAGAGGTTTTTCAAATTAAACAGTCTTTATATCATATTCATTATAGAATTACCTCTTTTTTCTCCGCATGATACAAAAGCCGGCTACCACGAAGACAAAGAATCCGATTGCTGAGGCAAAATATAGACGATACTGAACCCATATTCTTCCTTCAACACCTAAATGAGGCTTTGTTGGTAATGTTGTATTGCAGGCTAGTGCAGATGATTCTGACTTGTATTTGCTTGCAAATTTACTCAATGGAGCTCTGTAAGTTTGTTTTATGAATGTATGTGTTTGATTTAGATAGAATTTACTCGCTAAGTCTTCAGGTGTTGTTTTGATTTTTGACACAACCGATGCAAGAGTTGTGAGTCCAGCAGACGTTTGAAGTTGAAGAGTTTTCGTTTTCCTTGTCTTAATTTTGTATGACTGGGATAATGTGATAGTTATTACTGCTGCCATTCGTGAAATAGTTCCAGGTTGTTTGGTAACACTGGCTGAATTCCATTTCTGCCGCTGCGTTAGCAAAATAGATGTTTTACTGCTAGCTTTAAGAGCTTGTGTGCCACCAGTCGTCTGTTGTATTGCTTCCAAACTTGCCATGCTGGATGATCTCTGAGTATGGAACGAATGAGGGATCGACAAGACAGATGTTCCATTGCTCATATTCCTTTCAAGAATTGACGTTGATGTTTCGAGTTGAATAATTTGGCTTGTCGAGTATGATAATGCTAATTGTGGTTTTTCTCCTAAAAATGATGATTTGTTTTTCTTATATTTTGAAGCAAAACCTGTAAATCTATGCTTCTATATTTCAACATTGAAGCACAGGTACAGTTGGACCATAGATGTTCGCTCGCGCGAGGCATCAGAGCTATAAAATCCGAATGTGATTTACGTGTTGGTATTTTGTTCTAATAGCAAAGTAAAGTTATAAAAGATTCCAAAATTGTAAATCTCGTTTTATGTTAATTCTAAACCCTCGTTTTTCCAAAACAATTGTTATTTATATTAAATTTTCTACCTGTCCCCCATATCAAGATTTGTGACCTCATGGGGGAAGCACAACAACTGAGAATTTGAGATACCTTAATGTTCCTCTGATATAACTTCAAACGATGATGACTTTTCATTTATCCATTTGCCGATAGATCTTTTTCAAAGGCTCTTGGCCGGCCATACATGCATCGTTGGTCCATATTAGCATATTTGCAAAACATTTCACAAAGCTGTCTTTATCCAAAATTTCACAATGTACGTAAAGAACCTTGCATTTATAAAGAGGGATCATAAACTTTTGTTTAGGAAAACTAAATGACATAGGCACTTCAGTGGTCAATCTCCGCCTCACCTTTCCCTTGCTTGGGACATCAAAAAGACATCAAACCATAAAACTACCATAAAACATAAAACTACCATAAAACAGTATGGAATTCTCACTTTGAGTACAACTCTTCGTCGGATCAAACCATCCAGCCAGACAGATTTTCGCTCCAGTCTTTGAATGGCATTTGAAATGTCCACTACTGTCATTCCTTGCAATGCACTGAGTTTGGCATTTTAGCCCATACCAGTCTTTAAAGCACTGCCTTGTACCTCTAGTGTAGTCACATTTGTAGTGCCCTGTTGCGTTGTTCGTGTCTGTGCAATATTCAGAACATGTTGGAACAAAATAATTTTTGTTACACTGTATGCTGCAAATGGGGAAAAAAGAGATTCATTTTAAGTATCCTATTTTTTAGTATTATTAGCCTCGACACTTATAGCTACCTAATATGAAACGTGTAAGCAAATACACTCTATTCTTCATTAAAATTGAAATTAGGTTTACGCGGGAAATCTGTAGATTTGCTAGGGTCCACGGTTCACCAGACTTCAGCTTCAGAAGAGTATATTTTTAGAGCAGCATTTTTGCCCAAGAATGAAACCAACTGTTTTCAAACCTCTTCATTAGCTTGAGGAATTACTTTGTTGAAGCTCTTAAACGAAAGGTAGGGAACTGTTCATGGTTGAATCCTACTGATGCATACTCCTAAAAACTTTTTAAAGCTTCCGATCTAACTGAGAAATTTTCTTTCAACTGCACGACTATTATTCATGATAATAAAGATCTAAAATTAGATTTTTCACCTCATCTGAAGTGTTACCATCGGAAAAACACCTGGTGCTCTCTGCTTTCCTAGCAGCAACAGTGTTTTGATGTCAGCGCTTCGTCCATATTCAGTTGCTTTCATGGATAGGTTTTTCTGCATCTTGGTGACAAGATCAAAGTTAGGTCGTCCTGAGCTTCCATTTTCCAAATCTCTGTCAAAAACATCAACCCTGATTGAAAGGTTCCCCTGTAATGATAAAGCAAGTTACAGAACTGTAAGGCATATTTTATAAATACACCAGTTGCTGTGTTACTGGAGTTGTCAACGTTTATGAAGCTGCTAATCATATCTGGGTCACATACACTTTTCTATAAGAATAAATTTTATAAGAATATTAAGGCTCGAAATTAGTGAATAACTAAACTCGAATTTTATTGAAAGTCTGAATTTCTATCTGAATTGAGTTTTTTGAACATAAGTGATGAGCATGACTTGCACGCAAGAAGTTTGAGGTACATTCATTCTGCTTGCATTGTGCATGGTTGGTTTCATTTCCTGAAATTTTCTATGATTGATAAAGAGTTTACATGCTGTGTTGCTTAAGAATGATTTAAAGACCTGGCAAAACGACTAAACACTTCATTAAACATTTCACCCAACTTTTGTTTAGTGAAGTTGAATGAAGTTTTGCGAGGGTTGCAAAACGTGGCTAGGCTTATCAGCAAACTTTACTGAACTTTTCTGAACTGCAAGATTTGTAGGACGCTGTGGGAGTGTAAGGGAGCTTGTCTAGAAATTTGCTTTTTGTCTGTTTTGTTGTATGTAAGCAAAAGGTAACGATGGAGTACACAAATCATCAAATGGTTGTTCCAAGTCTTCATGTACAAGAAATGGATAAGAATAAGAATTGGATGAAACGCGGGAAAAGAAGACTTTTTAGCACGTTGATAACAAAGTTGAGTGTTGCAAAAGACACAGTAGCGTGCAACGAGATGGTACAATTGTCTCACGAAGTCATTTTAAAGGTTTTGGGTCACTTGGAGACAGGGAAACATTTGGATTTTGACAGTTACGGCACCTGCGCTAGCACAAAAATCGTTTGATTGCTGGCACAATGACTAAACGTTTGCTAAGCAACACTAAGCAATGCTAAACATTTTGGATCAGTGGCGAATTTTGCTCAACAACACTCAACACGACTAAGCAACACTAAAAGAATGAACTTTTCATTAATCTTTTCACTAAACACGAGTTGATTGAAATGCTTAGTGAAATATTTAGTCGTTCTACCAGGGCTTAAGAATAAGCGATTCATTTTTCTCCATCATAGGATTTCCTAGCTTCACAAAATTATATTTTAAGTGCTTGTTTGGCCCAAATTCACGTTAGGGCAAGCTTCAACTGCCTATTTCATGATTAAAACAATCGCTTCAAATTAATATTACGTTGATGACCTATTACCTCACTGTTCCCTTCCTAGTGCTATGTTGTAAGAAGGACATTTGAGTGATATTTGAATAAATTAAGCATAACTAGTTAAGCATAAGCATAACTAAAGACTGAAAAAGACTGAGGTCGAGTGTTGATAATGGAAGGAGGTCGAATGTTTGAGGAATTTTAGAGAATTTAGATCGAGAATTAAGAGCAACAGAGGGTTGTATTCGTTTTGTGTTCCTTTGTATTTGACATGTTTATGAATATTACTTTGTATATATTTTTTGCTTGCTGTTTTCAATTGATTAAGTTATACATAGAAGTTTGTTGCTGTATGTTCGTTGGATCGTATCCTTGAAAAGACGAATCGGAGGAAATTGCGTTTAGTTCTTCACAATTTTTAAAGGATCCATAACATGCTATTGTTTGGAACTATAAAAGCATGCAACAGCTTTTAATTCGTTGGATAATGACTTAGATTACTCGAGAGCAGCTCTCTGTATCCCTTTGAGTAAAATGGAAACTATCCGGCGACTATGAAAGCTTTCCGCTTATCCAGCGATCAGGCAGGCAACCACTAACCAACAGGCTTGCATTGCAGCGTCAGCATTTGACTGACAAGACAGCAAAATACCATTGTGAACTCGTCTTTCATCCCCATAGATATTATCGAGGCTTTAAACCGAGACTTAGCGGCAGGATATTTCAATGGAAAATTGTTCCTTCTTTTTTCTTAGGTCTCTGGTTATCGGGTTTTTATCTCTTCTTCGTTCTGTGGGTTATTTACGGGGTAGGCATCCAAAGGCTGACGTATTGAGGCAAAAATGATGGAATAACCGCAGTACACAAATTTTTTTTAAAGAACAGTATGAATTTTGTCCAGCCCCAATACTCTTAAGCAATTTTCGTTGTGAGTTTGAATATATTCGTAAGATATTCTCAATTCTTTTCTAATCTGATGTGGTTTCAGGGGAACAACGCCCGCTCTCGAGCAGAAACCATGCTTTTTGAATAAACGAGATTTGTCTGTCGTGTGAATCTCTGTTATGAAAATGCCAAAAAGGAACTGCTGAAAAATGAGACACAAATATGCGAGCTGAGGCTAAGCAATATTTTGTAGTATTCTAGAAAATTGATGATTCTGAGCCTGAATATCCTTATAAACAATAGCAATTTTTGTAACATAAAACAATAGCTAATCTTGTAAAGTATAAATTGCTATTTTAAGCTTGTAAAAGAAAAAAGGCTATTTTGTGAACAGTTTACCTACCGTCCAATGTTTTATAGGAATTACCAATGGGTTTCTCGCTACTTGTGATGGAGAAATCCTTAAGCTGCTTTTGAAAACATAGTATTCCGTTTCTGCTACTGTCTCTGTCGATATCCTTTTGATTGAACAGTTCTGCTGTCCTTGTGGTGACAAGCATATCAAGAAGCTACACTGACATGGGCTACACACACTTGAAGCGGCTACTTCTTTATCACAGCAAGTTCCATCATCTAGCTTTGACATTGGATTATCGAAATGAATGAGCTTCAAAGAGAGGGCCCCATCGCTACCAGTCAGCTTGAAAAACAATTATCATGAATTATATCATCTACTAGTTGTATGATACACTAATGTTTGAGGTTGGGAATTTTTAACATGAGTGTATTTCTCTAAAGCTCACCAAATATTGTTTGTTTCAGATCTTGTCTCAAACATTCATGAACAGAAAAGCTAATGAGTGTTGGGGTAATCTACAAAATGGGAAAAAATTGTAGTCTTGAGGATGGTCACTTGATGAACACTAGAATGATGTTGCTCTTGAGCTGAGGCAGAGAAGGCAATTTATCTGCAACGTGTTCCCAGTCAAATTCTAATTAAATTTTTGTTTTATCCTGCCAAATTGTAAATCTTTGAAATGACGAAGATGAATAAAAGTAATGAAATAATTAAAAATCAGCAATGAACGATACATGCCCAGAACCCTTCATTTAAATGTTTACTTGCAAGGGGTGTTTTGATGATAGTGCAACCCGGGCCAATACTTGCACTTCTACTCAAGCACTCTGTCTCCCACTCCCTATATCATATATTTCCTAAACATGTCCCTTTCATCAAACTCCATCTCCACAGCAACATTCCTGGGAAAGTGATGCCTGCCTTCCCCTGTATATGTTACTTGCAGCTGTTTCTTGCTATAACTATAGCATATTTATAAAAAAACGCTCATTACATGATATGTCTGGTTCAATATATTCATCTGAACTATCATCGAATGCTCGTGATTGTCACAACACCAAATATTTCGCGCTTGCAAGACAATTTCTCCTTGAAATTTTGTTTAACTTCTACACCTTTCTTAGGTTTGATAAACCCAGTACTAAACTTTTTTATAATTTCTGCATGGAGCAAACATTGAAATTAAACATAATTCTTTTAAGTACAATTTTTTATTAGACTGCATATAAGTCATGTCTACAGAATTGACTTTGTGGAACGTGAAAGTCAGGATGTGAAAATTATAAGGGGAAAAAACAAGGTTGCAAAACATAGTGAGGAGTGAGGAATCTATAATGTGAGTGAGGAGACTTTAATGGGCAGATCGTTTTGGAGGCATAAAGTTTTTGCGGGAAAAGTGCTGACCAACTAACCGATTGAAAATTGTTCTCTTTTATTCTTAGCTCAATCTCTTATTGTTTCTGATAACACATATTTCATTTCTAACCTTATTGAATGGTGTTGCCTTGACCTGGCAAATTTTATATTTTTGTTACAAACGCTATGAGTTGCATCAAATTCTTTTAAAGCCGGGTCTGGGAATATTATCAGCTGTCACATGATGGCCTTTGTCATAAAGCCGTAGTGAAAACCTAACCAATTGTCAATCCTCAACAAAAGTTGTTTCTTGTCTAGCTGTTCACCCATAGCTTTCTAAGCCTCTGTAGCTTTCGTATCATCCAAAGACTTTTATGAATGCTTCATATTAGATATGTTATCACTTTGCGATGTAAACCAAAGTTGTAGAGGTTATGAAAAAAGAGAGAGAAAGAGAGTATTGGATTCCCATCTGCTTTGAAGGGGAACTAAAATCTACTAGTTTCAGGGAAATGGGCTAAAGGTAACTGACTTTAACATTGCCAACATATGGTTATAAGACTTTTGAGGTAGTGGAACTATAATTTTCTACCTTTAAATTTCCCTAGATGTTACATTTTAGAGAAAAGGAGGTTAAAATTTACTGCCTTAAACATATTCGAGGAAGGTGCAGGAGACTTACATTTACTTTCTGTAACATTTCTGTAAGTTAACTTCATTAATTAATTTATCTTACCTTAACCATGAAGCTAAGCATCAGTAAAGTTATTAACTCTTTGATCGCTATCATTTCTGACTTCTGTTTTTCATGCACTGTGTATGCTTGAAATTCCCAACTGAGTACCGTACTTAAAGAAGCTAAGAGAGAGATTAGTGGCACTTTCTGCGTTAATGGCTCAATGAAAACAAGACTATGCAAACATGCTGAAGAATATCGTGTTTCATCTAGAGTTTATGGCTTCTTCACAAGCTTATTCTCTAGTCGCTTCTGCATCAAATTTCACACAGTGTTTTGTTTGGATCATGGAAGCTATAACTCTATACGAGGATGGGATTCGGTAAAGTATGCACTTCAAAAATCCACATGGTTATTGATACTTCTGCAATGGGAACCACGATCTATTTTGTTTATTCCAAAACCTTGGTCAGGGGAATTAGAGAATCTAGTGTGATTCAATTACCAATTTATCGAATGCTTTGCTTGATCCCGGAAATTTTTGGTGGCTCTCAAAGAGCTTCTTGTTTTACGAACATCAGTTTCCATTTAGAAGGCGTAGCAATTACATTTGCATAAAATCCCTTCACCAACTCAGTGGAGTTTTGGATAAGCTAAAATGTTTTGGCTTCTTATACGCCTATTGAATTCTGATAAAAAAGGGATGAAATATTTTGCTCACTAGAACTATATATAAGTGAGCAAAATTTTAGTGGCAAAAACGGTGGTAAGATGAAAGTTCACAATTTTCTATCCCCTCCATATTTTTTCTCACCTGAACATGATCGCAACATGAACATAAAATGCATTAACCATGGCAAAAAGCTAGCATTCACGTTTAACGTTTCCAAGGCATGATAACCAAATCTCAAAATGAACATTTTAAGTTTGTAGGCATCACGATAAGCTCTATACAGTCATGAATAACCAACGCTTAAAGTTTCATCTAAATTTGGCCAGAACAAATCTCCATGATAAAGATAACATTATTAGGTCTTGCATTTCAACTAGAAACGTAGCCAAAAATGCATACGTTTTGCGGTCCCTAATGCACACATCCAATTTCAAGCTGGCTGTAACCTTTGCCTATCCACTTTCAAATTATGTTATAAAGTTCAATTCAATGATCAGTGCGGAGGCTTAATTAAGAGCTCTAGGCTTCGGACACATTAATCAGTTACTTTATGCGAGTCTGATCGCCCATGACCTTCTAATCTCTTCTACGTAAAATGATTGGTTCTGCGACCATGACGAGGTGCTTTGAGCCTCTGTTTTTAATGGCCTTTCACCTACACCTACGCATCTTTAATTCGATATCGTTAAAAAACACTAAAGCCTCCGGCAAACGATGTGAGTTGATGCAACATTGTTGCAAATGTACTGCTGCATCGTTTTGCTGCCCACATACCTGCCAAGTCTTATGTTTTTAGCGTAAGTCTTACGTAGTTTCGGTGATTTTCTAGTCTTCCGGCGTTAGCAGAAGATCTTACATTCTTTTCTCCAATTGCGGTGTGTTTTTAATACGTTTGATAATAAATGTTAAAAACTTTGATGGAAAAAAGTCAGGGAAACGTTGGACCGGTGCTTTAGAAAATTTATGAAAAGATTTTCGAAGGATTCATAAAAAATCCCTCAAAATACTGTACAAGATAATTTGATTAAACTTGAAACTTGATACTTGCACATTTGTTCTGGCTTAAAATATACTGTATTACCGAGAAGATCATTTTGGCTGGGATATCAAGCTTTAGGTTATTAAAAGTAATATCAGGTGAACAATTTCTAAAACTGTCATTTAGGGATCAAAATAGTTGGCTTGCTAAATAACATCGACGGCTTGGGTGTAGATAATTCTTTTCACTTATTTCAAAATCACAATAAACGTTGAACGTTTTGGTTTAATTTTTTATTGTCGTGTGCTTAGATAATGAGCAAATCAGAATTTAAAATAAAGAAGTCATTAACATCAAGTGTAGAGCAACACACCTTGTGACAGTATTGAAACTTTAAAAATTAAAGTGCACTGCTAACATAACTTTCTCAGTTATAATTTTTTCATGAAAAAGAAGCTTCAGGCAGTTTGCTTCAAAATTTAACGTTTTTCGTTCACGTTTGTCATTAAAGTGACACTTTGTGGTCATATTTCATGAATACTCAGAGAATCTTTTACAGAATTGTTTTGAAGCAACGCTTCAAAGTTTTGCTGAACTTTTCCCGTCAAAACATAAAACCAATCTTTAAATTTTCTTTTTGCCGAAAGTCGAAGGGATGGCGAATGCATTTTCCTGCCAAAACCTATAGTTTCTAGCCACCTCACCTCATAATTCTGATTTTGAAATTGGTCGGCTTAAGCCTCCGACGAAGGGAAGCCGGGGGGGCTTACGATAGATTATACAAAACAATAGATTTTTTCAGAAAATCCTTTGCATTTGGTATTAAATTTCCCTTGCCCCCCCCCCCATTTTCCAGCATGTGTCGGAGACCATGACAAACAAATGAGGCTGAAACATTTAGATGATCAGTGACTCTGGTCGCCATTTTGTCAGCAACTCCTGTCATGGCTTCCATATTGTCATGGTAAATTACACAGGGACACAAAGTGGTATGATGTTTGCTGGAAATTTCCATGTGGATCGTAAATCCGCTGAAGAGGCCACTTCCCAACTAAGATAATTTCGCTAGAACAACTGTTAAAATGGCTAAATGGGGAGAAGGTGATCCGCGATGGATTGTCGAGGAGCGGCCAGACTCAACTAACGTAAATAACTGGCATTGGTATGCTTTGAATTTGATCATTCTTAGTGCTTCAGCAGTGACCAGCAGCCTGGCCTAATCCCTTTTAATGTCTCTCAAACGAATTAATTCGTTTATAAATTTACAGGATTGAGTTTTCGTACAGTTTCAACCATACACAGCTTTATTTTCACACACTTAAAACCCATCTCTTTAATACCTTCAATTTGAGCTCATTACCAATGCCATAGTAAAGAAGTAATCCGGACTTTTTATCATCATCATTCATTATATTTATCAAAGACCATTAAGTTTAGCAGGGCTGCAATCTAGGGCTTTTTACATTTGCCATTGTTCGTGTCATTTTCTGGTGAATTTATTTCCATATAATCTTTCCTTTTAAAAAGCTTTTTATGTTGGAAAGCTATTTACTGCTTGCTCTTGTTAATAGTTTATGTTTGTTGCATCCAGTTGTCCTTTTTCATCAATATTTTCATCAATTTTTCATCAACTGTAATATATATGTTACATTTTCCCAAATATGTCTCTACTACTACTTGTATCAACATTTCAATAAACATTTGGGGACAAACATCTGGTGTTTCACGGCATAAGTATAAGGTTTCCATCATTGCATGTGAGTCCTCAATATCCAGTTGGCAAGATCATTCCCTATCATCAATTGAATTCTAGCTGCTTGAAACTAAATATTTTTTGCAAAAGAATTAGGGTGTTAGCCAAGGCAGGGGCAGCTGGGAGTAGAAATATATTTGTATTCGCCTGCTGAATTAGAGAGATAAGATTTCAGGGCTTAAAGCAATTCAACAGGGCTTAAAGCGTTAACTTGTACGAGGCTTAGCATGTATTCGCCTGCTTGTATCTGTCAGGGAAATTTTAAAAAAGAATAAAAGTAGACAACTTTATTTGAGACGAAATGCCCCATGATAGTGAACAAATTCAATTATGTATCATAATTCGTTTATATCTGATTAATGAATGATAATTTGTCATGGCTAAGTTTGTCTAATGAAATCAAGGTTAAAGGGGGAATTAAGGAATTCTATTGTTGACTCAGGCTTCAAGAACAACAAAGGAACTGACGAAAGTTACCCTTCTGCCTATTTCATATTATGTGATCATGTTTCCTTGTGATCAACATAATCTTGCATTGCTTTGATAGATACCCAATAACAGTTAAAATAACAGCTATGAAGCATGTCAGTTTTATGGCTGATATCTTTGTGCTCTAGCATAGTTTTGGACGCTATATACACAAATGATATACACAAATTTAAACAATCTCAAAATTTGGAAGATTTCAATTGGAATAATAAAAAACACGCATTTAATGAAAATGAAAAAAAATGTAGCTTGGTTCTTTGAAAATAATTCTTTGAATATAAAAAAATTGTTGTGAAAAGGTGCAAAAGAATTTTTTTGTGCTTTTAAAGCATGAAGGTTTCATTTTTTGAAAATAAAAATGTAGATTAATAACTACCTGTGCCAAACCAGAACAAAGGTGTGTAGATTTTCAACAAGACAAGTGAAGAATCACATGGTTGGCAAAAAGTTGATGTCTGGAAAGGTGCAGTGTATGTGTACAAAAACACATCTCAGATTCAAGGCATGTGTAAAGCTTACTTTTGAAAGGAATATTTCTATTGATTGTTTGTGAGCCTTTCCAGATTCAAGGGAATTTTTTCATTTCAGGTCTGAGAAAAATGCAACCAATTGGTCAAAAGAAAGGATCAGTGAACTACTGAAACGTATGAATGTTAAAAATGATACTGGTAAGTTTTACACCTAGATGAAATTGGATCAAAATCAAATACTTATTTTTTTATCAAAGCAGCAAAAGATCAAGTGATGTAAACTAATGGCAACATGGTTTTTGGATTATCACTGCCTCGTATAACAATACATGGTATGATGGTGATGTACCAAAAATGCCTGATTATTGTTTTGATTCTTTTGCTCCATGCCTTTTAAAGTTGGGGCCTTTGTTACCAGTATGCCAACTTTTCTTTATTTTAGGTGAATGGAAGGTAAAAGAAATTACAAAAATTGAGGGTGAAGCATCAGCAAAGTAATTATGTCTCTTGTTCATTTAATTGCTTAATCCTAACAAGAGTATTTAATGTCACCATGTGATCTAGTTGACTAACCTATTCATTTGAAGCCTCGTAAAAGTGCTTCTGTCTGACCAAAAAAAAACTACCTCTTATCAGCCTAGGATGTTTTGAAGGAAAAGCTCAATATGATTTCTCTTGCGCGAGCAATCACTCTAAAAATAATAATAATGATAATGAACAATGCTAAAAGTGTCCATAATATTTATGAAAGCCGTATGATCCTGTTGTGTAAGGTACCCTTTGTTTTAAGGTAATATTAAATGAAAACGAACAGTTACGATGACCTTTAATGCACTCCAATAAAGATTGATGAGACATTTATTCCTCACAATTTACCGTTTTGTTTTGGTTAACCTGAGTGCTGACGCAATCTCAAGTGATAGCTTGCGTCAAACAGAAAGACAGAAAGGGCTGGATTAGGCTAGTTCTTATTTTGGTTTGTCTGTATAATTTGAACAGATTTTTGCCTATTGAGTAATGTACTTATTGCATCTTTTTCAGCAATCGGAAAGCAAAGCTTATCTTTTTCTATGAATTTGTTATCAAAATTGAATGGAAAGGTATGTTGTCTAAAAAGTCTGTAGTGGAATTATTTCACAGGACTGATACACTGAAATTTACTTTCATCAACAGATTGTATAAAGTACCAAGAAATGATAATTCTTCAGCTATAGTAAATGTTAGTGTCAAGCACATAATGGGTCATGTAACAAGGTTTAACATTTAATTCTAACCTTGCCATGCCTTTACCCATTCTCAGTTTATTGTCAGCCCTTTTGAATCACTTCTGAGTGTATTTGTGCACGATATGACAGCTAACAGAAATAATTTTGTCTTTTTTCAAATTATTTGATTAATGCTATGTTTTAGGTTCCCTAAAAGATGAATTCACAAACCATCAAGGATATTTTGAAGTTTCAAATTTAAGTGAAGAAAATGACCCAGATGATCTTGATGTAGGTATTATGTTTTATTGTTGACTAGTTCCTTTATCTGAATGCTTTATACTGTACTTTGTGTGGCTTTCAGCTTAAACTTTTATTATGAAAGAAGAATTGAAATATCCAACTCATTTTGTACTTTAAAAAGTCTGGTGATTCTGATGTGAAAATTTTCTTCAACTATATATGTTTAATGTTATCTCCGAATTTGGATAGGTTCAATACTTTTTTGTTCCTTATGAATTCGTTCTAACTAAACTAAAGGGCTTACCTATCTCCTATCCATTTCGTATTGCATTTTAAGTTCATTTTTGCTTTATAAAAAACAAGCGATGACTAGAACGATTTTTATGCAGCAGATTTCGTTTGTTATTCGCACAAGCGTTTTTATAATATAATAAGATAATAATATAATGTAAAATATAAAATAAAAATAAAATAAATTTTTATACAGGATAAAAAAACTTCAACGATTGATTGTTGCTATCAATGTTTGTCCTATAGAACTAAAAGATACTTAAAAAGATGTCCTAGCAACAGTGTTTTGTCTAAGCCTGAGATCGCTTGCTTAGTATTGTAAAAAGAAGACAAATCGGGTCTGATAGCTGTCTTCTTCAGCCTTCTTTCTTTAATTTCATTCTCTTTTTAGATAATTGTCACGATTAAAGAAGGCGCAGATGGTTATAGCAAAATGAAAGAATTCGTTCGAAAAACTGGAATACCTTTAATGAGAGAAAAATTAGCTCAGTACATAAAGGAATTGAAAGAAGGTTTGTTTGTATATTAAAAATAAAGAATCTCTATTTGTTGTCAATTTGAAGATCGATTTTTAGACTATAACTATTCAGAACAATGGACAAATCATGAAAATTACTGTTTACTGGTCTGACATAAAATGCTAAGTGCGATATAGGCTGAACAAAACGGTTCCAAGGTTGATGGTTTATGTGTAGACGCCCTTGATGTATAGAGCGGGACGGTTCCAAGTTGCTACTCCGAGTTTCAAGTTTAATGCGGTCATCAAGCAATGGAATAATGATGTATTTTCTACTTTCAGAGTATAGTAAAGGCCTCATTCTTCCTACAAAGAAAACTGGAGCTAGTCCCCAACCAGCACAAAAAACTGATAAAACTACAAAGGTAAAACATTTGTTTCATTATGTGATATGTTTCTGACTGTCTTTTAACGCAAGCTAGGTGAAAAATTAAGTATCCTGCAATACCTGAAAGCAACTTTTCGTTGTCAAAGTATAACACAAAATGACTGGACATTTGCATTTATTATGCATTGAACATTAGGCATCCATTCAGCATGTGGACATCTTGAAAATTTAGGTGGTTGCAAGACGAGTAATTATTGTCCAGTAGACATTTGCCCTGTGGCCTTCTTACTTGTAGTAAGACATTGCTTAAAGCTCTAACTGCATCGTTTTTCAAAGAAGAGTCTATGGTGAAAAACCATTAGGCCTGGTAAGCTCATTGCAGTCATCTATTTGTGCTCTCTGCTACTGATCTCTTCAGAAAACTGCTCCCTACTGATAAAGCGCCAGTATCGTTCGTCGAATGAAAAATTGATGATGCTGATTATTTTCTTTCTGTTTAATAGTAAATCTGACTCTGATTATTTGAATCTGGGAATTAAATCGCGCCATGTTCAGTGGAGTGGCCAAACGACTTAAAATTTCTTAACAGCACATATGAGCAAACGAAATTTGACTCTGTCCACTGATCTTTTTTGGCTGCCTTCAAAATCAACTGAAAAACTCTTAAAATCGCTGAACACGGTTGAAGAAAACTGGGCAAAGCTGCTTTAACGATACAACATTTACACTGGGCATTTGTACAGTGGATGTTCAGTGTAAAGTTCCAGACGTACGTTAATATGCCTTGTGTTTCATATTAGCACACTTTTGTAGCTGGACGAAAAAGAAAACCGATAGCCCTTTTATTCCAATGCAACTAGGCACGTCTTGTGTAGACGGGAAAGCTATTCGTACGAATATTTATCCTCTATCGTGTTGAGGAATTTTCAGAAAACAAATTTGTTATCAATACTGCACAAAGTAGGTTTTTTATATATAGACATATTGCAAAAGCCCAAATTAAAAGACAGCCAACTTTCATTACTATACGCTTTCGCTAAGTCTGGATCTTCAAGAAGGTGTTGTCCTCGCACTTTGGTTGAAATTTTACAGAAAAAGCTTGTTCTTTTTCTAACCTTACCTCGATACCTGTGGATGTGAAAATATTGTTTAACTTTTTTCTCTTTATTCTCTTAGTGGTGCTTTCTACAATCATGCCTTCCCAAATACTCCTAAACATTTTGATTGATGTTTTCTCCCTTAAGCAGTGATAAATTTCACTCTCCTTTAGGTTGACCTGTCTGAACCATTAAAAGCTATGAAAAGTAAGTTTTATCTTAATTTTTCATTTGAAATAGTGGCACCTAAGTAGAATGAAAAACTTGAAATGTTTGTGAAGCTCTTAATTTTAGCATTGCTATTACTTGAAATTGCAGTTCTTTGCAGCAAAATATTGAAGTTTGTTGTCAGCATCTTCTGTATAGAGTAGGAGAAACCCACAAAGAATGTTCGTATGGCTCACCACGTCTTTCCATTTGGTATTGTCTTTAGCTCGACTTATTCTCTTTATTAGAGCACGTACAAACATACGTAAATGCTAAAAGCTTACGCCGGCCAGTATATCAGAAGCGATACGTTATAGGATACTAAGATATAGTTTTTATAGATATATATATACTGTTTATTTTGCAATTAAAACTTTTATTATTAAGTGTGCAATTTCCGTTAGCAACTCCTAAAAAGGAAGATAATACTGTGAAAGTTCAACTGAAATTAAAAGAAGAATTCAAGACTACCTCCAGTGAACTTTTTCAAGTGCTGACTGATGAAAACGTAAGTTTTTGATATTTTCTGGTCATAATATTTTGCAAAACTGTTCATCTCTTTCTAAAGAACCGAGTCGAACAAGACCAAAATACGATCCATAAAGGTTTCAATTTTCCATTTTCTTAAATTCAGCTTAATTCTTCATTTTCATAAGCTCTGTGAGAAAAAAAATTCTGTTTGTTCCGGATATTGCTGTAAAATAATGCTTCACAAACTTACAGCACAACCCTTGAGAAATCTGCTTTAAGATCAGAAACTATTTCTATCAAAAATGCCGCAACTTCCCTGGAATTTCATAATTAAATGTATATGTACAGTTGTTGACTAGTTTCGAATAGCACCTATAGAAGCAAACACATTTTTACGTATGAGACCTGTCGGCAAAGATTCCTTTGATATGTGCGTGGCAACATGTTTATTTTAATACATGTACTTTGAATGCAAGTGATTTGCACGATTTGTGGTCTTTTGCTGCAATTTTAATGAATTGGGCATGGTTTGACAGTCCTATTTTTTCGCATCTCTGTTAATACTCAGCACAGACTTTTCTTAAGCTGAGCTTCATAACACGCAGGATTCTAATTTCTATTGCAAATAGCCCTACCCTGATAATAGGCGCATTGGGCATCTGACGTCATTAACGAGGTTGAACAGATTTATCTCATCTTTGTCAATTAAGAGTTATTATATGATTCGGACCTGTCGCTTCTCAGTTGGTTTTTTAGTCTGCAACCAATTTATTCTGTCGAAAACTCTCGGTCAGCAGAAGTACGTGTTGCCTTTCTTAAAGCTTCTTGGTTAACTTTTGTAGCTCTGTATCAACGATAGTGATGTTCCCACCATAAAGCTATGTGATAATGCTCTTTCTAACCAGCAAATTATGCTTTTTATTGGTATTTCTTTCAAGCATTTTTCTTTAATCTTGTTATTGCAGGCTACGTGCTAGTAAAACCTGCAACTTTGTATTGACGTGTAAATATAAATTTCATTTGTCGTAGCGTGTCAGTGCTTTTACTCGTGAGAAAGCTACGGTCGATGCAAAGCCGGGTGGAAAGTTTTCGATTTTAGGTGGAAATATTTCCGGAGAGTTTGTCGAGTTAATACCAGACAGAAAGATTGTACAAAAATGGAAATTCGGTAGCTGGCCAGAAGGTATTTCTAAAATGAGTGTTCATTCATTCTCGTTAAAAGAAAGCTACATAGAAGCAGTATAGTTTAAACGTTTGAAACTGCAAAATCAATACCACCAATTCGATAACTTTTCTGAACACGAGACGATAATTATCGTGTAATCGAATCACTTCGGTGAGACTTCATTTGATTGTGCTTGAGATTTTTGGTATTTTTCTTTAAAATTTAATCACCTATTGGAGGTTTTGGGAATCGAAATTTGTTTTTTATTGCAAAGAGCTGTTCGAGTTGATTATTGTAGCAAATCTAATTGTGATCGACTATATGTAGTTCAATGATGTCTGCAAATCTGCGAGACAGATTCGTGTTTTGAATGTAGAAAAAAAGTTTAATTAAATGTTTTCTGAAATAAAACATAGTCCAACTAATGCATATTAATTAGAAAGAAGTTTGTGATCCACACCAAAGCTTAATTTGTCCAGGTGCATTGCAAAACGTGAAGTTCATATTTTTTTTCTTAGGGTGTTTTTCAACGGTGACAATGGACTTAATTCAAAAAGAGGATTGCACTGTATTAGAACTCACACAGATTGGAATCCCTGATTACGACTTTGATAAGACGGAAACTGGCTGGAAACGATATTTTTGGGAGAGCATCAAGCAGACGTTTGGCTATGGAGCAAGGCTATTTTGAGTGACAGCCAAATGCAACAGTTGATTGGATATTTTGAAGTTTTGAGACAATCCTTACCCTCGCTGCTGCCGGATTTCTCTAAGAACATAATTGTGTCAGTCCTGAATATTTTAACTACACATAGACAATTTTTTAGGAAATAACAAAGAAAGAGGGAGCAGAAACTTTGTCCGAATTTCAATTTGCAAAGAATGAAGAAAACTATGTTATACATATAAAACAGCATTTCTCATGTCATTTCTTCAAGCATCAGAATTTTTATATAATTGCAATATACATTCTTGAGTCAAAAGACATGGCCATAAGCTCAGTCAATTTGTCGAAATTTTGGTCCTTTGGTTTCATCAAGAAAAAGGAAAAGTTGAAGGAAAAGAACATAAATCTTTGATACAATGGCACCGTCCATTCAAAAATTATAAGCCCTGTCCACACTACACAAACTAACCCAGGTTCGCCCCAGGTTTTAGCTAACCCAGGTTAAATTTTGCAGTGTGGACACAACTAACCTGGGTTCGCCCTGGGTTAGTTTAACCCATCTCCAGAGGTGGGTTAAACTAGGTCGAACCCAGGTTAGTGTTCCGAATTTCTAGTGTGGACACAAAACCTGGGGCGAACCTGGGTTAGTTTTTAAACGCATGCGCATATTTGAATGTGTTTTCATTTTGCGCGCCGAGAAATGAAAATACGTTACATACAAACACCAGGCAAGGTTCAAATAAATAAAATAGAATATATGAAGATATGGAAACTTGCAAAAAAGATCGTCGATCAACATGGAGCCGCGTTCTCAGCTTAATAAGTATCTGCCGCACCATTAGATGTTTCTTGCGAATAAAATGCATTGCCAGGAAATACATTTTGGACAAAATACAATAAACTGCGACTTCGGCAACTTCCATCTTGATCGTGTTTGTGGAAAATTTGTTTTGTTGTCGTTGTTTTTTTGTTGTTGTAATTTAACTACGCATGCGTAGCATCAGCTAACCTGGGTTTGCCCCGACTTTGTGTCCACAGTACAAAGCATGAAAATCAAGTGTGGACAAAGCAGGGTTCGCCCTAGGTTAAATTTAACCTGAGGCGAACCTGGGTTAGTTTGTGTAGTGTGGACAGGGCTATAGACTATAGACTTCTGAGCTAGCTACAGTAAACATCCTAACATAAAATGTTCAGTTCGCAAGTATAGATGAAGATATAGGCCCAGATATTGTTTTCCCTCAGAAATAAAAGACAGTTTTTAAATTCATGCGCGAGGATGTAGAAGAATGTAATTCGAGGAATTCATTTTTGTGAAAAAGAACTTGAGATAAATTTCTTGAACGTCTTTTGTTTTGCTCTAAGGCTTCGTTATCTTTTTAGACATTGCGCTTAGATATAATGTATAGACTTGCTATACACTGACGAGTTTATGAGTTACGTTTGCTTTCACGCGCTCAAAGGTTTTCTGTGTGTGAAACACCAGGAGGTTTAAGAAGCTATCGGAAGATGACGTTTTAACTTTTATGCCTGTGTCTACATCAATAATTGTCACTAGAATATCCCCATTATGATGAAATGTTTTGGCGGTCCAGTAGGCTTTCTTTTTTCGTTATCTGTTGATAGATGTATAATAGCTTCCTTTAGGTGAAATGAAATTCGGTTTTAGCTTCTTTTTCCTCAAGCAGAGAGTTTCGAGGCTTTTCTTCTTATAAATAATTTTTTCCGGGTCTTTTTTTTCTCTGTCCTTTGAAGGGAAAAATATCTACAAAATGTTAGGAATCAGCCGAAACTCGTGACGTCATTGCCTCAGAACAGTGAGTGAAATTTGAATTTTTGTGGTTATGCCTAGCCGATGATCATCAAATGTTGGAAGAAAGTAAAAACTGGGATTTATGAAGTTAGTTTCGAGAAAATTGGAAGGGTTTAGTTACGATCATGTCACTTACAATGAAAATTTTGAGCGTTTTTACATTTGTTAACCTGGACTACATTCAACTTTTCTGTGTGTAGAATTACCCAGAGGGCCATTCCCACTAGTTTTAACTTGGACCTTATATGGTTAACCGATACTTAACCGATAATATATACGCAGAAACTATTCTAAAATATGCCGGAAACCAAGGGTTATCAAGAATTATATCGGAAAGAAAAAAGTCTCGTGGGTTTTCGTAAATAGAAATGTGTCTAGACATCAAAACTTTAATGTGTAAGAACCAAGTGCTGCATATTGCATTAAACATTGTAGTTATGCTGATCGCAGAGCCGGTATTTTCTCTATATTGATGAAGAAATAAGGTATTCAGTTCGTTTGCAGGTACTTCAATCCTATTGCATACGCGACTCTGATTAATAAACAGGTAAAGATTGAAAGATTATACCCATCATAGAATGTCCAAGGTAGAGCATAAAGTTTAACCTGTCATTTATTGATTATTGTTTCCTAACCACGTTTAATGGTCTTCAAACTAGGCTGAAATGGGATCTTGATTTAATCTTAGAATATGGCTAGTATCTCATGACTATATAAAATGAGGACTGTATTGTTTTTATACTTTTCTGTGATAGTCCTGCTCGTGTTATCAGTTGTTTTCGTCGTTTACAAAGGACAATATGCAACCCTCTTTCAAACATATACAAAAGAAAGGGTAAGTTCGAATACAATGCTTTGATGTAAATAATGTAACTTCAATACAATGATGTAACTTCACGTCAATTTATAAAGCTTTCATTATCTTTTAGAAGTGCCTTTAGATTCATTCAGCTGTGTAGTGTAGTCAAGTATCATAAGTAAAGAGACACTAGGCAGCTCCGAATAATTTCGAAATTTAGAAACTAGTCACTTAAGTTTCCTATCGAAGCATTTCCGATAGTTTAAGACATCTGCAAATACAATTTTCGCAAATTATTGGGCAGCATTGCCCCCAGCGCCCCAGTGTCTACGGGACTCTCAACGTCACTAAAAGCCTGTTTTTAGCCAATATTATTTCTGTGCAAAACTGATCCTTGTGTATTAAAGCATTTGTAATAACGTCTTCTTCTTTCATTGGACATTAGAATGCATTTATTTAGTCTAAAGAGTCCGGGCGTTTCAATTTTCATTCAAAAGAATGTTTAGAAAAATGACTTGCCCTAAAACGTGTAATATTGTTTAAGGCTTTATAGCTTCATCGGATAGAAGCAACATTGTTTGGGTGCTTCCATCTGATCAGAGTCAAATATTGAACATAAAACAGAGTCAAATATTGAACATAAAAAAAATTCTAAGCATTAAATTTTACAAAACACCTTGTTAGATTTTCGTTTACTCGCTCGGTTTGATTCTGATTTCCCCCCCTGCACAAATACTACAGCAATGTTGCAATTTGCCTTGTGATACCTTTAACTTACGATTTTCAAGGCGGCATCTAGGGCAACATCCCTTGGTTATCTAAAAATAGACTCGTGGTACTGATTTGGTAACTGTATCGGTCATGTGCTCACTTTTTATTGGCTTATTTCGATCCACAACTGGGTATATGTTACCCATCATTTCTTTCGACCACGATTCAGACGGTTTATACTCTGAGGTGTGCCAGGCGAAGAGCTTTAGTAGGTTGCAAAATGTTTGTGCGATTAAGGCCAATATCCTGTCAACTGGATATATTTGTTTAATGTCCTTTTCTGATTTAAAAAATTTGGTAAAATGTTCTCTAAAAGCTCTTCGACTTTGGGTCAAAGTTGCTCGGAATGATTTTTCAATAATTAATTTGCCCAAACTTTTTGCCTTAACATTTTAGAAGGCAATGTCTTTGAATGAGTTGTATTTTTTCCTGCAAGTTGTAAAACTTCTTTCGACTTGACTGTTTTCTAGATACTATGGGAGAATGACCAGCATGTTATTGACATCAGGTCTTTTGACAAGAAGGAGACCAACAGTGAAATGTCCGACTGCAGATTTGCTTTCGATTTCCTAAAAGAGTGAGTAGTATTTGCAGAATTTTTTTGTTTTGAAAGTACAGTGGCGGATCCAGAGCAAATTTGAAGGAGGGGCAGTTGGTACTTGGGGCGCTGGAAAATTTTCGAAATTGGTGACGAGAGTACGCTATATACAAAAATTTCAGATACATTTTCGGAATAAACAAAACAACTTTCAGGTAATTCTTAGCGCAAATCAACCTATCGGTCTAAAAAACTTTTTTACCTGATTCTCACTCTTCAAAAGGGGCGCACAATTTCCAAAAAAGAGGCGCCAAACTTGCTTCAACTCGTTGAGGGAGGGGCAACTGTCCCTAGTTGCCCCTCTTAAACTCCACTGTGAATGTATTTTACCTATAGGTTGAACATAAGAACAGAGGCCTAGGAATAGCATACAACGAAACAGTGCATTGCATTCAGCCTCTGAACTATTTAGCCTCTTCAGACATTTTTTGCCTCTCAACCCCTTAGCTGACCAAAAGTTAGTGATCAGTTAACTTAAACGCGTTGGTAAGCAAAGTTGATTTTGAACTGTCCGCCTCGGAAGTGGAAAAACGATACCCTAAGCAGTGGCGGGGTGGCTATGTTTTCCCTGGGGTGGCCAAGTCGATTTTTGCGCCCTTTCTATATATCGTCACAGAATATCGTGGTTATATAAAGCATGTGTTTCTAGAAGGGATATCGTTTTTTGCAATTTGAATCCAAAATTTCATTTGACTAAAAATGCGAATATGAATGGAAAAGTTATGTAATCCTAACATTTGACCTTCTCGTTGTTCGGTAAAATATCAGGCTTTTTTGAATTGGCTTATTTTCGAAAGTCGGCCTATTTTCAAGGAAATACGGTAGGCAAAACATAAAATACTAATCAAAAAGCATTTTTTTCAATTACACTGATGTTTCATACAGGCTACTCGTTTATTATGTCCAGAATACCAGCTTCAGAGTAAAATAACGTAGAGCAAATTATTGTTTCGGGCTCCTTAGTTTTTTTAACTAAAGGTAACCTTTGTCCATTTCGCCACTGCTTATGTTCGATTTTATCAGCCTAGTGTCATCGCATATATGATGTATGATATACAAACATGGTTCAAGTTTGTTATTCTTTAGTAGTTATTAAATAATAGTTTTTCAACAACTTGAAAGTTTCAAGCATTGAATCGCACTATTGAATCGGACAGAGGCGGCGAGCACAAAATTGAATCTGGGGTTGGGCTAAGGATCAAGTTTAGTGACAAAGGAGGACCCACCATGGTTGGGTCTGACGCGGAAGAAAATTTTTGAAATCAAGCCTTCTAGAATGGCTAAAAATGCATCTCCTAGACTAAAATTTAACAAATTACTACACCGCTCAGAATAGACAGTTCGACGATGCTCAGAAATTGATTTTTGATTTTTAGAACAAATTTGGTAGGGGAGGATTCATGCGTTGGATAAAGAAAGAAAGGGTGATGGTCACATCGATGTTAATAACAAGAATCTGCTATATTGATTGCCAGGGTGCATTCCATGTACTTGGGTCCGAAGATCTTTAGCGTACACTCCGGCTTTTTGACGTTCCGAGTACAAACTAATAGACAACATTTTTGGCATACGCAGAATCTTCGTTAGTTGGAGTGCTATACATGAAGCCACATACATAGTTAACACGAAAACGTATGAAACAAATGTTGATTGGGTCATGGCAGCGCAACGTGCTTCGATTGTAAAATCTCACGTTATTTTATCACGTTTATAGCGGAGTGCTCTACCAGTGTACGATCACTTTTGATGTTCCTAGCCAATTATTACAAGCAAACAATTTTGGCGCCCCCTTATCTCCATTTGCGCCCCTATTCAGGGGGGCCATGGCCCCCCTGGCCCCCCCTGCCACCACGCCACTGACCCTAAGCACTGTAACAAGAATTTTACCACTCATAACTGGACAAAAGTGAATAATGCAGTCACAAGGTTTGCTCCCTAAAATTCTTATAATATTTTGATACTTAAAAAAGACTATAAAATGGAAATAAAAAGGATAAATGACAATACTGGAGAAATTTATTTCGGTTTTATTTTCAAAAATAAATTACTTAAAGCTCAAACAGAACAAAAACTCCAAATAAGGATTCATACTGACTTGAGAAAATGATCGAACAAGATATTTCTTTAGGGTCGATTGGCAGTTCTCTAGTTTTGTTTATTATATGGTGAAGATACTCATGTTGATGTGGCGAAAAAGATAGGATATGGAGGCATCCTCAAAAATCCACCTAACATCTATTTTTAGAACATAGAAACACGGCCCAGTCCCCTATTTCTTTAATCCACTGTAAATCGTGTAACTATCCGGCTATCTAAGTAAAAATTGGCGAATATATGCATCTCAACAAGCTAAAAACGATTAAATATAGAGGAAATCTTGAAAATGCATCTAAAGGTTATTTTCAGAACATGCGGGTCGGACCCAGACCCCTACTTCTTTGGATGGTTGTCGCTGTTGTATATATACGACTACCTAAGTAAAAATTGGCACATCTTTTTCGCCAGATCAAAATGAGTATCTTCACCAAGTTTCATGCTTTTATCGAAAAGTGAACAATTCCATCACTTTTGGGCAGTTTTCTGCTGCACTAATAGATAATCGCGAGTGCCAAACGATACATTTTGAATTTTTCATATCCCGATCTTAGGCCAAGAGGGGTAATCGCGTTTACACAAGCTTAAGTAAGCCAGCTAAAACAAGCTGTTAATGTGAACGCAGCCTAAGCTCTCTAGCTTCCTCATCCCTAAATCTTTAGCATAAAGCACCTATGTATTTGTATTGCATTTGAATTTGATTTACCTTACACAGGCTAATAAAGCAAATCAAGCCAATCAATAGGGCGGCTGTCGATGTAGCATTTCGTAGGCCCTTCACGGGAGCAATACGACAAGGGGAAGTTTGTGCCGACTCCATGGATGGTGCCGAAAGTGACCTTGTTGGAATTGGCCAATGCCACGGCCAAGGAAGGAACCAGGTAAGTAAAAATTTCCATAAGATTTGATTCGCATTTTGAAAAAAATTGATGAAAGCTGCAAGTTAATGAAACTTCTTAAATCGACAAGCGAACAAGACGGGTAACTAATGATAGATACCTATTTCATTTTTGAAATTTTTGTTTATAATTCCCAATTGAAATCGATGTAATGGAGCAAAAGAAGCCAAGAAAAGATAAGGTTTTTCTGTGTACACATCATTGTATGAAGAACTGCTCATTCCACATAGAAATTAAGTGCCCATGTTTGATCAAGACTCTTAGCTCTAAAAATTGTCAATGAATTTTCATGAAAATATGCCTGGAACCACAAGGATTACATCACAAAAAGTACGCTGTTAAAAAATTACCCCTCCCCCAACATTTTCTCATCGACTTTAGATGAAATACAAAATCGATCATGCCGAGACCTGGGGGATATGTCCCCCTAATCCTCCCCCGTGGCGCCACTACTGATGATGAGTGTTGTTTGGAGAGTGCAGTCAACCAGTGGCGTAACGGACTAAAGTTACCTCAGTTTAAAAACTAAGGATCCCCAACCTTTAGGGGCTCCCAACAAAACAATTGCTTTCTATGTAATTTTACTCTGAAGCAGGCATTTTGGATGTGATTAACGAGTTCAATGGGCCACAAGCCTGTGTGATTTATCAGACTAAATGAATTGAAGGTCTGCAAATGCTTACAACTGGGGGCCCCGAATTGAATATTCCTAGGGGCCCCGTCTGCTTCCGTTACGCCACTGAAGTCAACGTTCTTCTATTTCAAATTTCAATTCAAGACAAATTTTTTCGAATTTTCAAAAAATTTTTCGAATTGTCTTTTCAGTTATTTATGAAATAAGTACTTTGAAACATACCATGATATGTTCATTCATTCTTTCTCATAAAATCAGAAAACTTTCGTGAATTTATTGTAGGCTTTCGTTTTAAACTAACAAGGTTCTGGCAAGTTTAGTTTAGTTCAAGCAATATCTAAATATAAAAGCAAATTGGGGATGCGTTTTCAGTATTGGTTGTCAGGAATTAAGTTTTCAAGAAGCATAAGACCAAAGGGCCGAGGAAGGTGATACCTTAAATTTGTAGCCTCAAAAAATGTTCAACGATCTAGTAGTTTCAAAGCAAGTTATTGACGAAACAATTTGATAACATGAATAGGCTAAATAATGGTGTGAAAGAGCTAAGGATAATCGAGGCCCTTCGAAGAGATACTTCAAGGACAGAGAATGCTGTAGTTGAAAATAAGTGAGTAGTTTCTCTGATCTTCCGATGAAAGCAAGAATCGAAACCAAGAACAATCATAGGAAAAACAAGGATATATTTTCTGGTGTCCCTGCACATAAACAATGATAGGTATAATGGACATTTTTTACTTGACTGAGTGGCAAATGAATTTGTCATTTGTGCCAGAGAATATCTCAATATTTGGGGGTTATTCTTGCAAGCCTATGCGCGCTCAGATGTTGTGACCTGACAATAGAAAGGTAAGCGCAGTCCTTAGCAGAAAGTCATTTCAGAAATTCAACTTTCCGAAAATTTCGAGACACCATGAATTTGGGACATCAGCTTGTCCAAGGCCTTTGACGTACAAATACTCGACAAACACCCTACTCTCATACTAAGTTAAAAAAATGCATTGAAGAGACCTTGCGGCCCAAACTACCCACAAAAGTTCCTAAAGACAGTGTTCATTTATATATGTTGCAAGTTGCAACGTCAGGATATATATTTTAAAAACTGTTATTTTCAAAAGCAGTGTTTATTCTAACCTGCAGCGTGGAGTGATAAACTGGAATAAAGAGATTATTTCTTCTTATCTCTTGAGATATTTCTTTTCGAAAACATCGACCACCTATCTGCACAGGTTGACCATTGATTCTTTCGTTTTTTGTCAAAACATTTTGAAAATCTTTCAAAAAAATTGGGTGAAAGATTCCATAATTTCCACGATGGATTACATCAAAATGTCGTACACTTCACTTTCCGTCAGTTCGAGTTGGCGTGGCCGTCAAAATTTTTTTAAGGCAACTCCCGAAACAGATACAGCTTTAGAGGGTAGAGAATTATTCCAAACAGAGGTGGAGAAAAGAGTGGATATGTTATGTTTGGAGGAAATCGTTTTTAAATAACCTTAACAATTTCAATTTCTACTATGACAAACGCTTCATGCTGTGGCATTGCATTTAGGAATGGACATTTACGGAACTGAAACAAATACAAAGCGAAGGAACAGGGACATTATGCCTAGCCTGGATTAATTCTTTGAATGGCGGGGAAAAAAACATCATTCTTCAGAAATGCAATACTGTTAATATCAAACAGGTATCTTTAAAAAGTAATTTTATTGTTGCTTAGCAGTTCTTTAGAGCTTTATAGTTGGTAGTTTTTTTATAAAGAACCCCGAGTGAACTTAAGATGAAGAATTATCTTGGGTGAAATTCCAGAAATGATAATAAACAAAGAAAGTATTCCATCCAGTACAGTAGGTAGGATAGAGCTATGGGATAGTTATTTTGTTTAAAAGGAATAAGAGCAAAATCGATTGTTCTTTGGAATCAAAAGGTTCTTATTATTTTTCAAGGGACAAAAGCTGCTCTAAGAACAATATGGGTAACAACCCCATTTTCATTGGATTATAAAGGAGACTATGTTAACCATAAGAGCTTTTAAAAGTGCCTTTCCAATCAATTTTGCTTTATAAATCCAAATTACATTTACTGTAGTAGCTTGATTGATATAAAGTATAATGTCAAGTAAATATGACCCTCTTCTTCTAACCGCTTTATTCCTTTTTATAGAAATGGCATTTTGACAAAGCAAGAAAACACTTGATGCCAACTGTAAATCCAAGAATGTGTGTAACAAGCAAAGATACAATTCTAGTGCTTTCAAAGTGCAATTCTAGTTTGAAAACCCAAATGTGGACTGTTGTGATGACCGAAGTTTTAAATATAGAGCTTCAGGTAGGACACTAGGAAAGTTTATCAGCAAAACACATTCTTCATAGCTTTTATTCCATGGGAGACAAGAGTTGGCAAATGCCCCCCCCCCCACCCAATGGTAAAATAAAATATATCTAAAAAGGGGTGTTTTCTGGTGTTCAAAAGGGTGCGAGCCTCCAAGTTGTGTCCCTCTGAGATAAATAGAACTTCTGATAGAAGGGTGATACACAATAGAATTGATAACAATACATTGCTATTGATAACAATACATATGCAACATTGATAGCAAAGATAACAAACTGTAAAGCACTTTGATTTTAAAAAAAAGTACAACTGATTAATTTAAACAACTTTGGTCAAATAACTTAAGATAAAATTATTAATAACTAAGACGAGACCATACGGAAAATATTTTTTCCAAAAAAACTTTTTTATATGAAATCAAAAGTTTGTTAACTATATTTCTCACTAGGTTGTACAAACAGAAAGGTCGGCATGGTGTGAAAAGCAAATTCATTTCTATCCCCATTCCCGGCTCCATTCCCGGCTCCATTTCCTGCCCCATTGCCATTCTCTTTTCTTTCTCAAGCCAAAACTAGGGCCAAAGCTCATTGCAGCCCTTAGCAAATCTCCAGCCAATCTTGGCCATTTTTGTAACTGTTTTCAAGAAAACACATGATACAGGGATGGGTATATGCAAATTTTTAAAAAAAGAAACCTTGCTAAAAAGTCCATAATCTTGCATTACAAATAAAGGAAAAGAGCAATTGAATAGAGCAAGGAAAAAAGTTACCATAGAAGTTTAAATACGGTAAAAGCTCTATTAAGCGCCTTCTCTCTATTAAGCCCCTTTCCCTATTAAGCCCCTCCTTATCAAGCAAAAACTTAAAATAAGCCCCCACTCTCTATTAAGACCTCCCTCTTTAACCTTTGTTGTCAAACAAGGTAAACATGCGCATTTAGTGGGTCTCTTGATGATCATGTGCATTAAATACGGCCCATGTAAAGACTTACTTGTGCAACTAAGCAGTCAGTCAAAATTTGTTTAGAAGATGTCCCAGGGTTATCCACTGATCCTGGTGATTTTGACGAAGATAAGGACCTTATAATTGATGAATTAGCCTTTCGAAGTTGCTAGTGAAGTTTTCTGAGAACATTTGAATGAAATTTTTATAACAAAAAATAGACAAGGGCATTGTTAAAACATTTTTACTTCAAGTTTTTAATAAGCCTCCTCTCCCCAGGGGCTTAATAGAGCTTTTACCATATATTAGTCTGTCTGTATTTGCATTCTTAATTTACTATTAAATACTTGACTGTGGCAAGTTGTCATGTATTTTTATGCCCCAAGACCTTCAAATTTCACACCCCAAGATCACGAACAATTTCTACTGTAAACTTTTGATTCACTGACTCTTTTTTATCACATGCAACAACAGTAAGTGCCTTTGGGTTACCAGCAGTGAGACAATTGTTTGTGTCTTGTGAAATTAGCATGTTATCTTTGTATGACCATTTCTAAAAAAGAAAGGCAACAGTTGTACACATATTTATAATAGTGATGATGAAAATAAAAGTGAAAATGATCAGTGATCATTCTTAATAACATTGTAATTAGATGGCATAAGATAATATTTTTGTGACTAGATGAAATTTATCATCAATATTTGCTATATTGCTATTATACATGAGGCCAAAGGATAGGTTGCTTGGCTATAAGGATCTCATAGACCATTTCTCATTGGCAATTAAGGTATTGAAGTTACTGGTAAATATTATAAAGTGACTATTGCTTTTTTAGATTTCATGGTAAATAAAGATGTTGGTAAAGTCCTTTAATAGTATAACTGATACTTAAAGAAATCAGAATACACCAGAGAAACAGGTACAGGAAGCTTAATTGGAAACGCCAGCATTTTTGAGGAAATGAAATTTAAGCTTTTGGTTTGAAAAATTTTAAATGAAGTTTGAGATTTTTTAGACATTGAAAATTGACCAAGACTATACATAATTCACAAAAAATAAAACCACTTGATGCAAAAAAAAGATAATGGCATTCTGGAATTGAAACTAAGAGGTAAGATATTTGGATTAGATATGGCAGTCAATGAATGGGATGAATATGAAATATTTGTCAATTATAACAACAATCATGTGGAAGTAATACTGCTTTGAGAAAACACTCTTTCACATAATGTGAGAAAGAAAACTTTGATTTGCAAATTTTGACAGCACATTGGAAAATGGTGTGCATTCTTCTTATTCAAGAATGCATACTAGGGCATTTATTTCAGTTTAAACAAGCTTCTCCAAACAACAGTATTCTCAATGTGTTGAAACAGTAAGCACCATATTCACTTATACCATGTGAAACTATTATATGCTGCCAAATTCTATCTTGGCAGCATGTGATAATTTCAGACCTGAAACTGGATGCTCTTTAACTTCCTTTATCAAGATTGCACATGAATTTCCAATTGACTTATCTGTTGGCTAACTTCTCATTTCTTCCCCTTGCAAATATTCATAGCGGCTGAATACTTTATGTGGTAATGGTCTCAGTACTAGGTAAGGTGAAATCCTTCCTGTACTTTTAACAATCTATATTATGGTTTTGTTTTGATTCATTGATTTACCCATTTGTTTGAGTCCCAATGTGACAACAGGTGTTTCAGCACACCAGGTGTTTCAGGTGTTTCAGCTTTTTCAGTTTTTTATTGTCATATATTGTTTGTTTGATTATTTAGTACTGGCTAATATTTCATCAGCAAGTTCAGTAGTTTTATCAGTAATATTTCAAGCTATGTTCAAATTTTACAAAAAGGGTACAGAGAGAATATAAAGGAGCCTGGGGTAAAAAGGGAAAATGCTGATCAACTTCCTTCTTTGCTCCTCACAGAACCTCTATTCTCACACACATCACACTATAAAAATATTGTTCTGCTGTAATAATAGTTGGATGAAGGTAACAGTACTATTGTCTATTGTCAAAATAAAGTTCACCTGTTCTTTTATTTTTGCATCACACCTTGCAAGCTTTGCATCTCTGTTTGTTTCTTTTTCTGAAGGTGCTTGTACACACAATTCATTGTTCTTGATCATATGATCTTTTGTTATAACCCAATACTGGTAAGAAACAAATAATCATATTAACACAGGCCTTTTCATAAGAAATAGCCCACACGAGTGGCCCATCGCTGGCATGATTTTTCTTGCGCGAGCGATCTCTCTGATAGTGAATTTTTTTTTCCTGTTATAAGATACCCTTTTGTTTGAGGTAAAATCAAATGAATAAGAACTGTTATGATGATCTGTAATGCACTCCAAGAAAGATCCCCTTTATAATGTGCTTCGTTTATAAACTTTATGTACATCACGAAGGTCACAAAGACGCTATTGCTGGATGATTGCTAAATGCTGTTCCATACCTTCTGCCTTAAGTGCTATGCTATTGTAGTTCAAATACTAAGCACCGAAAGTATTCCTAAACATTCGCTGTGAAATTGATTTTCAAACGCATTTTTTCGTTGAGATGTGGTTAAGTCAGCTTACTTATATTTCTTATATTTTGATATACCGGCTTTGTATTGACTATGTCACTTGCTTGGTTCACAAAAGATGACTAAAATTGTGTTAATTGATGATAAAATTTATTTCTCACAATTTACCGTTTTGTACGAGTGATCAAGCGCTTGCATGGTTTGGTTTGCATGAGTGCTGACGCAATGGTGAGTGATCGCTTGTGTCAAACGAAAAGGCCTGTCAACATCCAAAAAGATTATAATGGTGCATTTAAGAGTTATATCTTATTTAAAGTACATTGCAAGGTTGAAAGAATGGATTTGCAGTTTGGAAAAAAGTAAAATATAGACCAAGCATCTAACAAATCAGAGTGTGGTAATGTTGAACAATTGCATGAATAACTTCAGGAAAATGTTGTGATAAGTATGGCTCATAGTGATATGTTCATGTGATCACTTTCAATATTCCCTAATGTGTGCAACACAACACTTTACACTTTAAGTTACATTCAATGGAATGTTATACTGGAATGTTATAATGCATAAGGTACATGGCATTTAATGGTAAACACAACTGAAGCATCTAAAGTATGCTTTACTGAAGCAATGAAGCCATAAGTCATAGGCAACCTTTCATCTGTTGACATCATATGCTTATTACCTGATTTCGTCCTTCACCATGGCATTCCCAAAGTCCCACCTTTTGATCTCTGTTTTCAAGTGTATCCAAGCACATTTTTTCACCATGTTTTATTTCACTGGAAATAGAATGATGATCAATGCAACAATATCAAACATGAATCTTTTAAAATAATGTACAAAAAGCAGAAAGGAAGTATCAAATGTCACAAAACAATTGCTCTTTGAGGCTGCCTTCCATTTTGGCAACTAAGCCATTTTTATCCAAGACAAAATGTAATATCACAATCCCTTTTTACTTGAGAGGTCATGTGTAATATAACATGAAAAAATGTAACATCTTCACCCTGAGCTGAGCACCCAGAAAGTCTGCTAAGGAGACCAACCTACAGGAGAAGAGGAAGAGGGAGACTGCAGACAACATTTGTGGAAAACCCTGAAATGTGACATAGGAGCCATAAACTAACAACAAGCTGGTGGCAATGATGGGTGATAGGGACATTTGGAGAAGCCATGTGAGGACCCAGGGACAAACACCTTTAGCAAGCAAGGTCATCTGTGCATTTTAAAGAATTCTGAGATCTGATCTACCAAGTTTAACATATTTCATAAAATACAGGATAAACAATAGGTTGTAATCAGTTAAAAAAATATATCTTAATCAAAAAGGAGATAGAAAATCACGCTACTATAAAGACCAACAATCAATGCAGGAATGATATCTTATGTTGAGCATAAGTAACATGATACATACCCCTGAATTTCCGGTTCATCTTTCGCTATTTCTTCGTCTTCTTTTGTTTTAATAGAAGAATTGTGGGGTTCTACCTTCTTCTTTGACGATTTTTCCTGTGACACACAGATGCTTTCTTTTAACAACAGGCATCATAGGAAGCATAAAAGAGAAAACAGTTGTCCTAGTGTAGCTAATGCCGGAAAATCCGTCGTGTAATAACGATTTCCCGATAGTTTTTCTATTTCTTATTGGTGTATATCCGACGTGAGCTTTACATGGATTCCACCCTGGCAGTTGTCATTGCAATACAAGCAGAAAGTTTGGCGCCATTTAATTTATTTAGTGAGCTGAAGCATTGAGATTTTGGCATACTTACATTATCGAAAGGAATTATCAGTTGAATGTATTACTTAATTTCAAGGAGAGGAGCACTGGTCCTTATAGGAAATCAATTGCTTCCGCCTACCTGATCAGCTTCTGATGCCGTTGTTGTGAGTACAGTCGGTCGCCCCGCCTCCGCGTAATCGCGGGACAAAGTGCTTAATGGTTTTCTACGTACATAATATATGGTGATTATTAAAGCCCAAATTACTACAATTCCTATCAATGCAGCTTTTGGTCTAAACATTTCTAGCGTTATCGTTAACAAGTCATTTCAAAGCACAGAGGCCAGAGCACAGCACACAAACACAAACATCTTAAACGTCAACCTCGCTTTCGTTAGACGTGTTGCAACCCAAGGATCCTTGGTGGGACCCCACTAAGAAAATTCTAGTTTAAAATGACTTTTTGCCATTAATGTGTGCTTTTTCGGTGGGTTTTCAAATTTGTCGACAAATAAATGCCGTTTCGCTCACTTTATTGGCACTGCTTACATGCTTTGGGGGAGGGGGCTCGGCAAGGGCGCCGGAGCCACGGGGGCAGCGGAGGCAGCTGCCCCCATTGCCCTAGTGGTGCGGGGACAGCACGGGGGCACCAATGTGCCCTTTTCAAGAATTTGATTTCCGAGCAATGTTAATTCATATCAATATTTTCAATGCTAATGAAATCTAGGTTTCAAGTGTCTCTTGATACCTTAATGCGAGAGGGAAGTCAATATTTCCCATGTTTATGAGAACTAACAGTCAATTTGCAAGGCAAGTTGACCAAATAAAGTCTCGTTGATCACTTTTTTTCAACCTTCAGTCAGGGGCGGATCCAGGATTTTTGGTGACTATAGCTCAAATCTTTTGGGATCGGAACCACGCCCTCCTTGCTTGCGGGACACGCCCACTATATGGGCAAATGATATACCATGTGTGTTTATAGTTGCTTCGTATTCATAAATATTCCTTCAAACATCCCTTTTCTATTTCCAGGGACGCCAGAGAAGGGGGTGTGGGGGTACAACCGCCCCTGTTGCCCTTTGGCAGAAGGGGCAAGGGTTGTTTTTAATAAAGTTGCCTTGAAACTGGCCAATTGTAATAATCAGAGAGATTTGTATGAAATTCTGAACTTCTCAAAACATGTAAAATAATTCCTTGTGCCGAAAGTTAGCCAATAAAAATCTACAGATAATAAAATTGCAGTTACGTATGAATTTGTAGAAGCTGAGAATTATCTTTCAAAAGCCTTTTTACTCAAGCCTGCCCCCCCCCTCTTGCCGCTTGGTCGTTCCGCCGTCCCTGTCTATTCCCTAGTAGGTCCTTGCCTTTGAAGCTACATTACAGGGGACCCAAGATGTGAACACGAGCAATAGTCTACTGTTGCTTTACAGGGGACAGAGAGCGGAGAAATACTGTGGATACTCATATTCTATTGGTTAAAAGGCCATTTTCAAACCTGACTATAGCTTGACTATAGCTCGCGCCAAAAATTATAGTACGGGTTTCATTGTCTTCGATGCCTTTTCCAGAGCAAATCCCCAGACCGACTATAGCTCGGAATATCAACTGTAGCTCAATTCTGGTTGGTTACTGTCAACAAAGAACGAAACTTCTGATTCGTCTAAGTTTTAATATTAGACCATTCTGCGCTCAGTGTTTTATATCTTATCTGGAGAGGCATTGTGATGACACATTGCCAGCAGTGCATGTTTGTTAATCGCATTTGATAACCTATACCGCTGCTTTCAAATATGAATTCCGAAAATCAAACACTGAGATTTTGACTATAGCTCGAGCTACAGTTGCTATAGTCTGGATCCGCTCCTGATGATCATGCCAAAGAGATTTTATTTTGCCACTAACGTTGGTACGCATATGCCCGATATACAGCTAAGATATTTATGATGTCTTAAGTCCAAACAAAGACGTAGAAACCAGGGGGAAACAGTTGGCACTTTTTTCCAAATGCATAACCAAAAAGTGTCATTGAATTGCTTAGGTGCTATGCGAAATGAACAAAGATAGTAGAGGGTGACTTTCTATAAAAAATTGCTTGCAATCTTGTGCACATTAAACTCGCACTCCTGTGACTATCGATCGCTAGGAAGGGGGGAGCCTCTACCCCCCTTCTACTTAAGGCTCCCCTGTACGGAGCCAATTGTTTTAGAATCGAGGTTAATACACTTCTTGTCTTTCCGAGGCTAATCTATGTACCCTACCGTAGGGCCACTGGCAAGCCCGTGTAGCGGGCTTCGTAGGGGAGCTAGTTATTCTAATATTACGCTAGATCAGGTCACGCTGGAACCAGCCCACAATGGAGTGGCTGGAATGGGACTAGGAGGCTTGCCCCTAAATTTTTTACGGCCACGCCCTTTGAAATACCAGAAAACACTCCTTCCAAAAAATGTTTGTTTCTTTCTGTCCTTATTCATAAACATAACGATTTAGAAAAGATTTCAATTAACATAAAAATGCAAAACCAAGTTAGATGAAATACAAATTTATCTAAAATACATATTTGACCACACAAGATAAAGCGCCATCAAAAAAAACAAAAACGTGTTCCCAGCAGAACTGCTACTAATGCGTTCGTTGGCGTAAACTTTCAAAACATTTTCTAACCCATTGTTGCAAGGACTTTAGTCCCTGTTATGCAACATTCCCAATTGAATGTTCCTCTCAGCTACCACCGAGAGGCTTATCAGCGTTCAGCTGCTGTAGCCTTGAGAGGAATCTTTCCAATGCTTCTCCAATTTAAACACCTTAGTTGAATTGCTTTATAACTATTTCTGACATCTACTGAAAGGTATCACATAACCCCCAAAATACGTCATAATCTCGGTTATTATGGTTTTTAGGCTCAGTGTCTTTTTTGAAGCAAGTCATAAAAGCAAACTGAACTGAGATGATGTTTTGAAGTTAAAGCTGTATACAGAGTCCATCTTACTTCAAAACAGCTCACAAAAACATCATAAAGCGCAATTGATTTTTCTCCGCAGGTACTGAAGCTTCGAGCTCTGAAGTTTCCTAATTCTTCTCTATTGTCCATTGCTTATTTCTTATCGCAATTTTCTTATAAAAAATGAGTGCAATACATAAGGCTGGGATTGGGCATTGACTTCGAATTGAAAAAATGTTCCCATTTCTTTCTTAAGCGTTTCGATAGGTATTTTATGCTGCACTTTTAAAAACATGCATTATTTACAAATCCACACTTTCTACAATTACAGTTCCACAATTTTAATTTACAACTTCACAAAGTGAGTCAGATCCACGCTTATTTTAGGCCCTGCTGCTATCTCACTAGTTCAGGATTGAATCCTCTTGGAAATTTATAGGAAAGGCAATGACGTAGCGTTGTTTGAAAACGAGGAGAAAAGTTCCATTGTTTAGAATGCTGTAGTGCAAACGATGATGATTCAGACGTCATAAAATGTGCTTGCCCCACGGAGATTAGCGTTTTCCTTTGTTCAGTGAGATAAATATCAAAACTTTTTTATATCATTCTCACCGCTGAAAATGCTCCAGTGAGAAAAAATTCAGGCTTTCACACCAGTGAGATAACAGTTAAGTTCACTGAAAAGTCAGTGAGAATATCGTTATCTCACTGGTGTGAACCAGGCTTAACAAACAATGATACCCCAAGGTGCCCTTTCTGCGGTTCCTGCCCCCGCCTCATCATGAGGCTTCCGGCGCTTCTGGGGTTCGGAGACTGAGCCGAAAGGTAATTATCAATGGCTGTCTCATGCAGAAATTACTTTAAAACAGCGTAGATGGATTATCGAGAGTATGCTTTCAAAGCCAACACTGGCGACTTAAGGATCTTTGCCAAAACTTTTAAGAAAAAAGATACATAACTGGGGCCTTCATCCTAAACTTTATTTAGGTCTGTTGACCCTGGTAAAAGACAAGTATACACAGTTGAAGATTTGCTTAGGAAATGCTCGTTGAAACCACAAAATGCAAGAATTCAAAAAAATAACTTTTTAAATACACACATCTAAGGAAAGGTAAAATTGCTCTGCTATGGAGTGCTAGGCTGCTAAATTGCTCTTACTTTATCCATGCTATCAATCTAAAAACTTTGTTTTGAAGACATAAAAGGTAGTTTATTCTCGTTAAGAGACTGTAGATCTTCATAAGCAGCATTATCGACTATGGAAAATGATATTGAGGAGAAAGGAAAGCTTGTGTCTTCAGCATACATTTGATGAACTGAGTGACAAGGTTTAATCGTTGACGTGTGGGTTATCAAAAGGGTAAATATCCGCGCAGATTTTAGTTGAAATTTTTATCCAAAATTCTGCATTCAAAAATTACTGGAAGATGCTGCTGGCCAGAAAGCCAAGATTTTACAAGCTTCCTATATACCATGGCAACAAGTGAAGAAAACTTTTTTGAAAATTCCATATTCCGTGTATCATTTTAGAGAAATCCGCGTCCAGCAAAGCAAGAATGAAGCATTCGGATATTCCGTCAAGAAATTGTTAGATTTTTGTAATCCGCGACAATTTTGCCATTTTCCACAAAATCCTAATGACCTTTCATGTTGATTCAGATGAAAATGCAAGAATTTAAAGCAGGACCCTTACGGACCCTTCCTCAAACTTAGAAATATACGCATTCAACTTGCAGCCCGGACAATAATTTTTAGATAAGATTTAAAGCACCTAATTTCTGCACTTATAAGACCATAAACAAATTTTGCAACAGCATTTGATGATCAAAGGCTTTTTAAGTTCAAGAAAAGCTACTAATGTCCACTGCCCTTTGTCCATTTTGAGGTACTAGTAACTGGTAATTTCACTAAATATGACGATGCTAACCAAGATATGAATATACTTACTTCTTTGCGTGCTATTTCAGAAAAAATTAAGCTAATTAATTACTGAGCAGTGATGGAAAAAACAAAATTTGAAATCTGTGCTCTCAATGTCCTTTTCTACCACTGTAAAGACACCCTAAAGATATACTATGGTTTATGAAGAACGAAATGTCATGACAAATTAACATTAAGATGGAATGTTTTGCATAAAGATAAATTGTTACACAAGTGAAACGCTTTCAAATGAAGCATTATGTGAGTACATTTAGAAACTTTCTTGAAGCCTTTGATTTTGATACCGTCATGGATGAATGCGCACACAGGCACTGCGATTGTAATGGCCGCCATACGGTCACGTGGTACTATTGACCCCCAGCGTCGTGTTAATGGAGGACAGAAAAATGGCCGAACAAGACACTGCAGCTGTGGCAAATGAGGTCGAAGTACTAGTTGAAGGAAATTCCGATAGCCAATCGGGCTTGTCACTTAGTATTGATACACAGCCAATGATAGCCTTGCAACCTTTTGCAGAAACAGAAGAACTCATTATACAGACTAACGATGACGAGTTAGACGATTCTCAAGAAGTACCAGCAGTCGGCGAGGAACATGAAATTGCTTCAATACCCTCTTCACCGAAGGAAAGAAAGAAAAAAGGAAAATCCGGTAAGGGTAAATCAAACCAGAGTGGTGGCAAAAAGGCTTTCAAGAGGTCTTTGCAAGGAGGAGATGACGACGGTGGTCGAAATGAAGTAGATAAACCCAGAAAATGGGAACGGAAGAAAGTTCAAATAAAAACGCTGGAAGGAGAATTTGCAGTTACGATGTGGGCATCAGGTTAGTTTTTTGCATTTAGAATTTCAAAAATATTATCTTGAAGCTAAATCAATACTATGCATCTCAAAATTGTGATTTCTGTTAACTTTTACTCAATATCAGTGATGATAATATGTAAAATGTAAACAAAGTAAACAAAGGGGCTATTGTGCAATATTGTTAGTGTAGGCCTTATCAGCTGAATCAGTTTGAAATGTGAAATCCCTAATAACCTCACTCAGATATTTTTCACATATCATTGCATGTACAAATAAAATTTTTAATCATGCCAACACCAGCATTAAATATAATGATGCTTGATAAATATTCAAAATCTAATTTCCAAATCAAGCAATCTAATTTCCATTTTAAAATCAAGGATTTATTATTAACCACAATTTTGATTGTTTTATTTGAAAATATACAATACTATTTTATAATCTACTATCTTATTTACATTTGATTCTAGGCAAATGAGGTGCATTTATTTGAAGTTTTACTAAAGAAAATTGAAAGATCAATTGTGTGTTAACAATATATAAATGTTATCAAGAGTGATAGGCATATATTTGGAATAAGATGAAGGCTGAATACTAGTACTAATGATCTGGAATAAAGTAGAATGTAGCAGAAAATATTTTAAGTATCAAAGCTGAAAGTTTATTAATTTAAGAACAAGAAGTTGTTTCTTATGACATATGCAGGCTTTTTCGTAAGAAACAGTGGCCCAGTGATCGCATGATTTCTCTTGCACGAGTGATTGCTCAAAAATAATAATAATAATAATGAACAATGCTAAAGGCCTCCAAGTTGTTTATAAAAACCCATATATTGCGTGAACGATCAACGCCACATGCGTTGGGTTTGTGCGGTGCTGACACAACCATCTTTAATGTCGCTTGTGTCAAATGAAAAGGCCTGCATGTGATATATCTTTATTCTTATAATTCTAAGGTTGCAAAGGTAATATGAACTGATTATGTTCAAAATTAATTTTTAGAGGACAAAAAATTGCAGATAGAACAAACAGACCTGAACTAATTCAGAAGTATATGATACGGAAGTAAGATTACCACCAGGTGGACTTCCTGGGATAGATTTATCTGATTCAAAGCAGTTATCTGAATTTGCAAGGTACTTACTTGGATAAAATTTAACTTTTTTGGAAAGAATGACATCTCTGTAGGCCAGGTCTCTGTAGCTAAAGCTTGCTGCGTGTTTTGATAATGCGCATTGCCGTATAGGCAGAGCTGTACATTCTTTGGTATATAGAACAAGGTGGTTTTGAGCTGCAACCCTAGTTTCACACTAATGTGATCACCACTCTGTAAGTAGTATTTTTAAAGATATATACCTCTAATCATATCAGCAAGTATGAAGTGTCAATTTTTGTGCACTCCACAGAACAAGCAAAGTTTTGGCTGTTAACCAAGCAAGCAGAGAGGGCCAGAGAAAATCTGATATTTGGCATGAATTTTTATGTTATTGTTGACTTTAGTTAACTATGATTTTTTGCAGACAAGAGATACCTTGTAAGAATGTTTGACAATTCTTACAAGATTAAGGTTGTGCACCACTTTGTTAACCTGAAAAAAACTTTGGGCACAACACATAATCATTAAATACAGGCACATTAGCAATGATAGCTTAATTATGACATATTCATTTTGCTGTGCAAAAGACAGTTTATTTTGCAGACAGATGTGTGCTTGATCTGCTCTTGTGATAATGCATTTAATATTTTATTCATAGCTTATTTCACAGCTCATTTTCATAAAGGAATGTTAGTTTTTATTTGTTATTTATTCCACAATTTAGAAAGACTCCTTTTGTATTTTTTAGGATGAAGCCAAAACGACCCAGGGAGGATGACAGCATTAAGACAATAGCATGTCCTCACAAAGTGAGTCATTTTGTAAAAACATGATTAAATGCATGATTATGGATTAAATATCTTTAAAACGTATAGAAGACCAAGTAGACTATAAGCAATGTGAAAATTTCTATAAAATTTCTAGAACTTGAAGCAACACTAATAATCGCTAATTATTATTGCTGTTTCATTTTGAAAAATTGCTCTTATCTTGTTAAAGTATTCCCAATTTTCATTGTGAATCAAAGCCATGAAGAGCTTGATGACACCTTTACATGGCCTCCCAGTCTCAAAATCCTTATTTATTTGGTATTTAGATTAAGAAAAAAATTTAACCTGATTTACTTGTCAAGATATTGTTATCAGTCGCCTTCCCTAATAGTCACTTCATTTAAAGTCAAACTACCATTTACAGTCACATGAAATTTAGACCCAAATATGAAAACTATTCAATTTAGCTCTGTTTACAGTCACAGTCCCCTTATTATCGCAGATTTTCACACAACATTTGGTGTGACTTTAACGGAAATCTACTGTACATAAATATTATCTATTTGCAATATTTTTTTCAAACTATGTGGCCTATAATTTGATCTTTATAGCAATTGTTAAATTGATACTAAAGTGCTCCCTTTGTTTCAAGAAGAAATTAACTTTTCTACATTCATACCAGGACTGCATGGCTCTGACTACATCATGCACAGTATTTGGAAAATATCATTCAATGACAATTATCATTGTATATAAATTGTCAAATGGCTTCGTTAAATATTGCACACAAACTTTCCACATGTTTTAATCAGTTGCCTTCTTCCTCACAAGGGATGCACTAAGATGTTCAAAGACAATTCAGCAATGCGAAAACATCTTCATACACATGGTCCTCGAGTGCATGTTTGTGCTGAATGTGGCAAGGTTTGCAACAAATAGATTTTGCCAATTCTTTTATCCTCAAAATCCCCAGTTTTTTAATGAAAATCTGCTCTTTTTCTGTTTCAATTGATAGTGTTTGACATCGTATTTGTGGTTATCATATCTAAAAGTTGACAGTGAACTCAATCCTGGTAATATGAAATTTGTTAGTGTGCTAATCGCATGCATTGAATGAACTAGTAGGAATAAATTTGGAAAAAATTGCAAAATATTGAAATGTTAACATTGTAGAAATTCTGGACTAAACCAATTCAAAGAGTCAAGTGTGAAAGGAATCTGAGGAAAATATTGCCTGGGATTTTCAAGTTCTCCCTCATGTATATTTTTTTATTTGTGCCAAATTTTGTAAAAAAATTCAAATGACAACTCATAGAATTATGACAGGTCATTTCTCAAGTTGTAATGTCATTCAAGTTAAGGTGATTATCACTCTATCTTTGGAGTGCACCCACTGGTCAGCGTATGTGATTTTTGTCATGCATTGACTTCAAATGCCTCTAATTTCTAGGCATTTGTTGAAAGTTCTAAACTGAAAAGGCATCAGTTGGTTCATACTGGTGAAAAACCATTCCAGGTAAATAATTCTGCATACCTAAAGTTTCCTTACAGAAGTTTTAATTATTTTTATGAGCTAAGAAAAAATATTATCACTCATGTTTGCATCCAGGTTTTTTTTAAATAAACTCTTCTAATTCTCTTCTAAAAAGAGAATATTGGAAAGCATTGCTAATTTCAACCATCAGTTTTGCAATCCATTGGTTTGGTTAAGAGGGAACTTTGGAAACCCCCTCCCTATTTTGCCTCATTTACATGTTGAAAAGGCAATGTTGAGGCTTGTAGATTTCGAAGATTTAGACAAATTTATCAAAATTTAAATGCCAATTACCCAAACATTCTTTACTGAGATAGCTTCTTCGCTAAGGTGAAGGGCTAGTCCTGTGAAAAATTTAGAGTGTGTTTCAAAAATTGAAGGGTTTGTCTCAAATCCTTTATCCCTACCCCTTTCCCCATCTTTATTGGCCCTGACTGTGGTGCTGTTGCAATGTACGTTCATTATTTTGATCTATTCTACATTTGATTACTTATCTTATGATAGCCTGTAATATCCACAGCATAGTTTTTTAATTACATTTTGGTGTAATGCTTGAATTTTCATTGATAAAATCTCATCTTGATTTTTTGCTAGAATTGTTTGCCTCAAGTACTTTGTCTAGATAAATTCTTGTTTTTTCCAGTGCACATTTGAAGGATGTGGCAAGCGTTTCTCGCTGGACTTCAATCTACGAACGCATGTTAGGATTCACACTGGAGATCGCCCATATGTATGCCCTTTCGACTCGTGCAATAAACGATTCGCTCAATCTACGAATCTCAAATCGCACATTCTAACACATGCAAAATCAAACGCAAAACAAGCCCAAAGGTCGCAGTCTGAAGAGGAAGACATGGCGCCGGAGATGGAATTAGAAATGGAGATAGGAACAGAATCACCTTGATATGCACTGAGACACCTTAATTCTGCAAGGTCAGTAAGCTGGTGAATATCAATTGTAGAGACTGTTCTAAGTGATGCAGTTATTAGCAAAGGCTGCAATTGAACACTTTTTGATCAGGGTGAATAACTTGAATATATACAACGAGGTGGATGGTTTCTTTATGTCAACGGTAAGAAATTTATTTACATCTGATGCTCGACTCATGGTGCTCTTGTAGATGATATTGCAGGCTTGGAAAGACTGCGGAAACAGAATTGTGAATAGATTCGTCTTAGACTGTTTTCTCTTAAGTATTATGATTCGAAAATGCACATGTGCTTCTTCGTAGCCTTACTTAACAACAACGTCAAGGGGAAGTTCGTTACTTGTATGTATCCCTTGAACTGCAGCACAAGATCAGCTCTACAAATATAATCTTAGCAATAGTGGTAAAATTCAATCGCCCGCAGTGTTGTGTTTGTAGGCCATGTTTTTTATTGACTTACATCTTGCTGCAGTAGCTATAAAAGTGTATATAAAAAAACTCCCAAAACTATCGACTGCTGGCAGAAAATACCGTCTACGCGACAAAAGAGTCTCAGTTACATTAAATCTGAGCAGAATGTCCACTTACGTGTGATTCTCCGGTAGCGAATTTCTGGTTACAAGGGGGTTAATTGGAATTAAATGGGGCTTCTACATGGTTAAATGCTCAAAACTGTACCATAGGGACATGTACAAAGATTAATCTAAAATTTTCAATAACATCTTTTAACCAAGGTAGTTTAGCTTCAGTCGCAATCTTAGATTTATCACGAAACCTAAGGCAAAAAGTGATATGTAATGAACTGTTCAATGTTGTGGAATATGCAGACCCAGTTTAATTTTGCATTTTTAGTTAGTTATGGTAACAGACTCGCTTTGCATTTGATTGGTCATGCATTTGAATCCCCCCCCCCCCCCCATAAGGAAGAATCCGTTAACTTCCAGTCACAGTTTATTCAACGTTAGAGGGACTTAGATTTGAACACCAGCACCCTGGTTATGTATTTGGTCGTTTAAGTAAAAGAAAGTACCATCTTACAAGCTTTTTTATTCCTACTTCTCGGTGATAACGGCTCTTTGTGATGCCTATGTCGCATATTGTCAACCAAAGAACATTATTGATTAATGCGATACTTCAAAATGTTGTGTGTTGTTATGGTGCTGGTCATATTTTGCGCTGAAGTAAAGGTATGTTCGTGGCAAAGTGTAGGTATCAACGGGGGTATTTTGTAGAACCTTTGTCGATCTGCTTTTTGCCAAAATCTGCAATTTTTCTGCTGTGAACTCGAAAATCGTCTTTTTTAATTTTCAGTAACGAATGTTTACTAGACTCTAGTCCGTTATAGTTTCAAATTATGAAGTTGTGTTTTCAGTAACTTGTCGTCTTTGAACATGCTATGTTTTTTGAAGAAGCACTGTTCAAATCTTGTGAAATCTTCTTCTGAAGATACATTATTTTAACGGGGTTATTATATTGAGTAGTCCTTAAGAATGACCCTTTTTGAACCCTTTTTGCTATTTTGAACTACACGTGAAATGCTGGTGTTCAATAATTGATATTTCTTGATTCCACACCAAACGTGCGCTGTTTCTGTCAGAAAATACCTTGGATTGATTCTTCTGCCATTAGCTTCGACCACTCCCTTTCACTTTCATCAAAAAAGATCGAGTCCTACGACGCCTCAGCTTTCTCTTACGCAATAGTTAACGCAATACCTTTCGCAGTACTTTACGCAATGCTTTACGCAAAACTTCACGCAATGATTTGCGCAATACCTTCCGCAATACTTTAAGCAAAACGTCTCATTCAATTTAAGCTATTAATATTTTATTTTAGTTTAGATTGCAGATAAAATGCAGGAGATTCGATCGGCCATGTAATTATGGGAGAGGGTGAGCTTAGAGGCTATCTGCAGGAATAAAAATTCGTCACTTCTAGCTGGCTATCCAAAATATTTGCTGATTTAAAACCAAAAATGAGCAACAAAGTTGAAATAAGAACAACAGAAGAAAAATGATGCTAACGATAAACAAACGAGTTTAAGAACTTTGACGCAATAGTTTCTCGGAAAAGAATATTCTGAAATTGCTCGTCAGCATTTATTTAACCAATCTCCGTTTTCTATTGTTTTGGTATTTTTTAAATTTCCAAATATCTTTACTCTCAAAATTCAACCTTCCCAATTTATTTCTACCCCACCGGTTTATTAAATTTCAGAAACGAATTATTAAATTCGAGCCCTCACACCTCATCCATCCGTATTTTTTTTTCTATTATTTATCTGAATGAAGATAAATGAGGTTTAAGAAAACAACTTGATTGATGGTATCTCAGTAAAAACGTTTACACTAAATCACACTGCAAGGTTTTTGAAGCAAAAACTTTCTTGAAGTAAATTTTAAAATAGGCCAGCGTTCATGATACCGGATCGCCACCGTAGATGAGCAAAGTAACATAAACTCTGAGACGGCACTTTGGATAGAAGTAATACCAAAACCCTCCTCAAGGTTTTATTGCATTATTCGCTTCTGCCATCCGGGAATTCATAAACATAGATCAGCACATAATTTTTTGCAGCTTTCCTTGGTCCAACAAAATTTATCTTCCTATTCTTCCTATTCTGCAGTTCCCTCTTAAAAGCCAGCCACGAATTGTTGCATCCCCTGTGTAGCCAAAACCTTCGACGAGCATTATATTTCTTCGCAACTTATGTGACCCCGCCCCTTTGTATTCAAGCGCCAATCCTGGGTTAATGTTCTTGCCTATTTCGGGCAGGGGCGTCGCCAAAGGGGGTACGGGGGCGCTGTACTCCCCGCTCCACATTTTGTCTGTCGACGCATAAAGGATTTTTGCCGGGCAAAAAAGACATTTTTTTCTCAACCTTTAGTATATATAATTCTAACCTTTTTGTACAAATTTTAACGTACTAACATTTCTGTAGCAGTTGAACTTTCAAAGTATGCAGCAGCACATAAGAGTATTTATCTTTTGACCACGCCCTTAAAGAATGAGTTACGCCCTTTTTTGTACCCTTCCGATACCTTTTTGTACCTTTCTGTACCCTTCCGAAAGTTTTTTTTGGCTTCGCCCCTGATATTGGATTCTAGATAATTCGGATCAGATGCAGAACAGAGAGATTTCCATTCCGCTAATCAGAGCGCTGTATGGCGGAAGCGGATTGCCGTGAACCTTAACCAATATTTGGAAACCACACACGTGGACGATTTTATTTGCGGCCTCAAATTCCCAATCCTTAATCTAACATTTTTTTTCGGATGTGGGTAATATGCGAATGTACAGTAGCATTGAGGAGGGGGCAGAAAATGTCCTGTCGGGATTTATCGATACATTTTGCTTAAGGTAAGCTTGAAAACTTCCTTTAATGATATGATGGATAGGGATAACTTAATGTGTAAGAAAATTCGAGTGCAAGTCTTTTCCATTTTTTGAAAGTTTTTCCAAGTATGGAGATTTTTCACCTTCTTTTCTGTCTACGAACCTTTGACCAATCGCAGCCGAAAAACCGGTACGATATTGACCCCGAAAGCAATGGAGTCCACCTGCAAATGTAACTGGATGAAATACACCTGCATCAAATACTTTTTTGAACACGATTTTGCAACAGGCTTATCCTTTATAATAATATGTTATTATGTTGCGGTTTCGACAGTTTTCATTTGCATTCCCCTGACATAATGTATCATTGAGTTTTGTTTTGAATGACTGGACCAAAGTGGGCCTGACATTCAGACATCCTCCTGGTTGTTCGATCATCTTTGGTGCTTATGCTTTGAAAACAAGAGACATCTCACCGTTATCTTGCAGGTAAATATTGTTAATCATGCGCGTCCATCACACCTTCTTTTGGCTTTCGTCGTGAAGAGCACATTGCTTTCTTATATGCCTGGGTCAGTTGTCATCCCTACGTTTGCTTTTTCACATTCTTTCCAGATAGCTTTGTCGTTTCTTTCGGCCCACCGTGATGTTAAATTTTTTTGCAAGTGCGGTTGGTGCTAAAATGCAAAATCAAGAAAATTAGAATTCAAAATCAAGAAATTGTGTTTAGATGGAGTTGGTGTTTTATGTTTCATCTAAAATCTGCAGAGACTTCCCTTCAAAGTTACCCAGCCAGAGTGTTTAGCCGACAAAGTAGGGGGCTGAGAACCTAGCGAGGGGGATGGTGCTAAATTTGGTACATGACAACGGATTTAAAAATAATAGTTATGTTAATTCACTCATTCTATCGGGATAGACCCTGATTATATACGCTAATAGCTAATCGTGGAAACAGCCTCGATTTCTTTAGTTTTGTCTGATTGCTTGTATAGCATCAACTACGTGGGATGGGATTTTAAGGGGGGACTTTGCAACCCCTGGTATTATATACTGGGCCGTAGTGAAAAAAGCGAGGGGCAAATCACTCCAAGAAAATCTCGTACACCTTTTGTGAAAATCCTATTGGTTTATCTGAAAATCCCTAGAAATCCTTTTGTTTTAGGGAAAATCTCGTACGCTATTTGCAAGAGTGAATTGCCCCTCGGAAAAAAGAAGTATTTCGCGGCGAATAAGAGGGTCTGGGATCAAATTCAAGAGCTAAAAGAAGCACACCTCTCAACTGATAATATGACAAGAAGGTGATAGATTAATAAAAGTGGACTTCTTTGGTGCCAGGTCAAGGTTTATGAAACAATGATAAATAAATAAACTTTTTTATCAACTTTATTGTTTCAATGAAAATGTAATCTGTCATCTAACAATATCTCACAACGTACAGTGGATGTTTTTATACACTTGACTTTTATTGGTGGCAAAGGTCCTCAGGCCTCATAGTTGCATCAATTGGCTAAGAAAGAGACAGACATCATTTTTCACTAATAAATAATTTTGGCAAGTGTCAATAGCATGGTTATATAGATAACTTCCTTTTGAATTGCCAATACATTTGGATACGACAAAGCAAAGAAACTTACGAGCTATCTGTATCATCGTTATTCCCCACCAAATACCCCAGAAATAACCAATGAAGAAGTAGAGTACAGTTATCAGTTGAAATATTGACGCCATTATGTTCCAAGTAAACACTTCGACCCATCTTGCGGCCATATGTTGATCACAAGGCCACAATATTGAGACGAACGCTCCTGTTGCTGTACCTGCAAGGAGAATGGAAAATAGGGCCTAATTTTACAGCCTAAATCTAAAAATTCAGATATTTTTCTCTCAAATATACTTCTGGAATTTGATTGTCTGAACAATAAATTACACTACCTAAAGTAATTACTTGTCGTTAGAATCATAAATATTCATACTGATGGTTGGACTGTTTGCTTTTCTAAGTATAATTATTAACATTGAACTCAAGCACTTAAATATTTGTTTCGACATTATGTTTTGATTAAAGTACATTTACAGTGCCAATTAAAGCAAATCCTAAAAAACCAGCAATTATTTGACATAAAAGCTTGACAGTTAAAGCAAATTAATTTCAAAGATTAGTCTTTATATTGACATTATACTGTCGATCAATGGCCTCGTTTAGAAGATTCAAACAATGGATTCAAATCAGCTGGTATGCGAGCTATTACACCGTCCGTGCTCTAACTTTCTTAATTAATACAGCACTATACCTAGGTAAATGGCCAAAGCTAAAAACAGAAAAAGATGTTATTGAATTCTTTCAGCTGCAAAGGGTTTTCGTGCTCAGATGAAGTGAACTTTGCCCTCCAGAACGCTAATCTTCTATTTCTATTTTTATGCCCCTCCCTTCTTGATGCGTAAGTTATGATCTACCACAAAATTTAGTCATATCCTATCGTAGTCTGAAGGATTTTGCGGTGTTCAGGTTCTTTACTAGAAGCGAAAATTTGTAATATCTTATTTGCTGTGATTTGCACTCTTTTGTACAAGCGTCAAAAAATTTTTCTTGTGTTCGGTACAAATGATCCCTCGGTTTGTCTTTAACTTTTCTGTTAACCTGAGCGGTATCGAATGGTGATAGATGCTTATCATAAGGAAAATCTTGAATCAGAAGAGGTTCCAGAACGGAACATTGATGGAATAAGTGTTACACAAATATTAGTCTTCGATAACAAACAGTTCCACCCATCTACTTACCAAGGCCTGGAAACAAGCAGTTGAGAATTAGGCATATAATGGCAGCTCTTCTAGGGACAACAGGGACTGATTCTTGCAGCCTGAGGTATCCTGCCTTTTGAAAAACTGATTTCTCTTCCTCGACAAATCCTGTTGTTCCTTGAAACCTGAAATTTTCTTCTCGTTCAAAGATGGTCAAACCTTTTGAGCCTGGCTCTTCAGGTTCTTCTGAAGACATTACCTCATTCGGAAAACTTTCTTCAAACACTGCAATTTTGTTTTTCTTGGCTTCCATTGTCCTGCTGAATACAAGTTACCTTATTTCAAGGAAAGCTTCTATCGTTTTAGCAGCAAGAATTTGTATTATTTAAACCTTTACGACAGACTGTTCTATAAAATTGCTCTTCCTCTTTTCATTTTGAAAAATTTCACTTTTGTTAAAATATGATTTTTTAGAACTACATCAAAAATGATATATTGCACCCTTTGAAATGTTCCAAGCTCTACTATTCCAACGATGAATATCATCAATCTTGATTTGGAGATGACTGGGACACCCTCCATTCCAGCACCCTCCTATTTACTGTTCATTCTAGCAAAATTTGTGGGGGATTTGCACAATCTGGTAGAATTGTAGCTTAATGAAGCAAAATAGCACAGCTAAAATTAGATGATACAATAACTGATGATATGTACACTAGCAAAACAAAGGATGCGCCCAAACAATTATCAGAAATTTGGTTTCAGTGGAAAGCCCAAATCTGCAACATATTAAAGGACATGTGTCGTGAACATGACTGGCTACTGCAATACAATTATCACTTTTGTTTAGTACAAAGCATGGAGTCGAGGATGAATTTTTACGGCAAAAATTAATTAAGAAGAAATGAAAAGTCACGAAACAATGGAATTCCACTCCAAACGCTTTTGTTTTATTAGCCAAATGCTAATGCGACATATGCCCTTTAAAGCAAAGTCAATGACACAGATTTTTTCATACAGGGCATGCTCTGTCATCCCAAATCAAATGGTGTGGTCAGAAAAACGTTTCTAGGAGAAAGCCCTTATACCTCCTCCAGCTAAGCTCGCCTTTGCTCCCTTCTTACCACCTTGGCTACATTATTTAATATGGAGTAAAAATTGCTATTTGATTTTGCTTTATAATTGGTGAACTGTTGGCGTGTACATATCCAGGTTCAGGTTTCCTTACTCCCGATTGGTCTTGCCAGTCCCTTTGATTTTAACGTCATGCAGCTTGACATTTTTAGAATGATCGTAGGTGTAAACGTATTCTGGCACCCAAAGACACAAATAAAGTAGAGACCTTGGACGTCGGGTCTATTTCTTATCTAAGGGCAAATGTAGGGAGGGACAAAAACTTCCGAGGAAAGGGCACTTTTACAAAAGTGACAGGCATATGTCCCTGGTGCTCCTCTGACGTCACAGATAATGAATGCTGGGGACAGTACAGAAGTAATTGTAAATGGGAAAACAAATTTGCAGAATCGAGGTTCCTGCTGGACACAAAAATGTTTCAGAGGGAAAGCAAAGTTATCTGGTGAGTGCTTTAAAGTTTTATTAAGATTAATTTCCATGGTTTTCATGGTTCATAGTTACCTTTATTTCTACTTGTGTGATTTAAGTAGATGATGCTGATTTTTTAAAAAATGATGTAATAGAAAGGCTTACGAAAGCTTTTGCTGTGAACTATGATTCTCAATCCGAACCTCAACATCCACTGAGACGAGTTTAAAAGATTTTGATCTTTATTCTGAAACCCCCAGAATGTTAGTTTTGAGCTTGAGAAAAGATATTGATAGAAAGAAACAATCAAAATTTAAGTCTTCGATTATAAAGCTTTATCAATCGTATGGTATCAAAAACATTAAAAATTGCATTGTGTCGACTCTCGTCATCAATCGTCATACGAAAGCCAGTTTGGATACATGTTTATAGATGAAGTCAGTCTGTCATGTTGCTGTTGTGCTTACGCTTAGATAAGACACACAAGACACATCAGGATTTGTATTAAGGATGGAATTCTGCTTCCATGGTCCACTTACAATTTTTTTTCGACTGCTGTAGAAAAACGTTTTTATGGAGATAAACCCTGTCGTAACTAAATGCCTGGAAATAAGCACAAACCCATGTTAAATATCTAAAAAACATACCACCTTTTTTGCTGTTTTTTTTCTCAAAGAATGTTTTTGAAGATTTTGCCGCGTCAGCTATCCAAGGAAGTTCTCTTTCCTTGCACTGTCTGTTGTTATTGCGTTCGGCTTTAGCAACTACGACGTTCTTTACTGAGTACAATCATAATTGTTTCGAGGGAAATCTGTTGCTCGAGAGCGCAAGCTGGTAAATTATTTTTTATTGTGAATTTGAAACCCTTTTGTTGATCTTTCTTCTTCGCTGTACCGACAGATTTTAGGCTTCTATAGCATTACCAACAGATGCTCATCACTATGATATCAGGAACAGCAAGTAAACCGTTGTGATAATTGAAACCTCTGATTCTGCCAGGGGGTGGGACTGGTGTTCTCTAAAGTTGTTGTGATATAAAAGTGTATTGATTAGAGTACTGCCTTCAGCCCTCAAAGTATATTCACATATTACACAGAAATAGCAAAGAGAGTGTGCCTGTATTGAACAAAATTCAGCTTTATTGTGGAGACACCAAAAAGAAATTCAAAAATTTATAATTGTTTTGTTTCCGCCTTTTGCAATCAAATCTACGTTGTCAAAATCACGTACCGACTTTATAAGCATATTGATTTCTATTTTAGACGACAGTGATTGTAACAGGTAAATTTTATAATAAATCATATTACAATTATGATTACTTGCTTCTAACTCTTAATTTATCTTGATGAATCTTTTGTTAGAATGATTGATAAGATAGGGTCCATACATCTGCTGCGACAAATGCTTGTATTTGTGAAATACGTATGCAATTCACAGTCAAAATTGTTCAGGTCATAACTTTCTTAAAATATCTAGCAGGTGCCACACTGTTTTTAATTGGTTGTAAAACACCGAAATTGACGATTCCTATTGCAAGATGATAAAGTAATATTTAAATAAATCTTTGCTAGTGACACCACGAAACTTGCGAAATGAATAGCAAACCGTATTTTTTCTCCAAATGCTGAATACCAAAAAAATGCAGCATTACTATTCTGCTGTTTGTATTAATGCCAAAAAGAAACGAATTTAATGCTTTTCAAAATCCACAAACTGTCCTAAACAAAAAACTATGAATTAATGTGATTATGGCTTAAATCTCAGGACAGCCAACTATTTCCAAGTTCATCGTAGTGACGAAAAGGAGATGCTTGACGTTTTCATAAATTAGTTATTGGGCTGCCTGCCTATGAAAGTGCTTCAAGACAAGATCGGAATTCAACTTATGTTTTACTATGATAGTTACAATAATAAAAAGTGTTCACCGTCTTCAAAATAAAAAAATTCACTTTGAAATATCTATAAACTGCAAGGTTTAAGGCATCATGTATTTCAGACATTGCATTTTATCAACGTAATTCTTAGAAGCAAAGTAACTTTTAGCTCTTTCAGATCAAGCTGTCTTTAGTCGTTTTTTGATTTTGTAATCAAAAGTTGAAAAATTTGCCAAGCCTTTATCAATGCCTTTGGGAAAATTGAACACATCTAAAAATTAGCAATGTTCTTCAAAAATTGCTGTACAAACTGAGTTACTCCATAACATAGTGACCTTGAATCTATTACATTTTAGAGAAACATTCGCTGTAAACAGTTGAAGATTTAATGCTATGAAACATTGCAGTTTTTTAGAAATGTTATCTAAAAAATATGATTTCTTCAAAAGCCTTGAACAATTCAAGATACTACATTGATTGCTAATCAATTCTGACAAAAGCTCTTAAAATTTGTATTTATCCAAACCATGAAAACTAGCTACAAATATGAACAATTTGCCAGCCTAAAAGTGCTTTTTACGTTTTTAACCAAAAGTAAAATCTTGTTATGTTCTGTGAAATTGCGCATCCTTCAACACATAACGCAAAAACTAGCTTTTTATAGCCATATTATCATAAATCTGTTTTTTAGAGAAAAATTGTAGCCGACTTCCGTTTACAGGTTTTTGAAGACTAAAACAATGATCCTACAAAAACATTACATGCATAGAAACTCGTGATTACATTTGCTGCATTATCTGCAGTTAAGTTAATTTCTAACTCAGTCTAGTCTAATTGCCTTTAATTTCCTTCATTTTGTAACACAACTTTTTCCTTCAGAAAATGACAATTTCAGGAACCCCTGGACTTACATTTTAGAGAAAATTTCCCACACAGGAATATTCTTTGTTAAGAGTGCTGCCTGCACATTCTTCAAAACTTGGTCAAATTGTTTCCTGCATATTCATCAAAACATTTTCTGATCCAATTGTTTTGTTTTCATTTGAAATTTTAGAAAAAAGTTTGCCTTCAGAATTGACGGTTTTGATAAGCCTATAGCCTTGCTTTTTTACGAAAAATGCAAATATCAAAGTTAGACCTTTTTGAAATAATTAGCTGTATCCTTCGATAAACAAAGTTGGTTTTTACCTCTTCCTGGTCAAGTTTCCTTTCATCGGCATTATTTTGAAGCAAAAATTTTCTCTTCCAAAATTGACGATGTTGGTAAGACTATAGCCTTGCTTTTTCACGAAAAATATAAATATCAAAGTTAGACCTTTTTGAAACAATTAGCTGTATCCTTCGATAAACTAAGTTGGTTTTTACCTCTTCCTGGTCAAGTTTCCTTTCATCGGCATTATTTTGAAGCAAACATTTTCTCTCCCAAAATTGACGATGTTGGGAAGGCTATAGCCTTGCTTTTTCATAAAAAATGCAAATATCAAAGTTAGACCTTTTTGAAATAATTAGCTGTATCCTTTGATAAACTAAGTTGGTTTTTACCTCTTCCTGGTCAAGTTTCCTTTTATCGGCATTATTTTGAAGCAAAAATTTTCTCTTCCAAAATTTACGATGTTGGTAAGACTATAGCCTTGCTTTTTCACGAAAAATGCAAATATCAAAGTTAGACCTTTTTGAAATAATTAGCTGTATCCTTTGATAAACTAAGTTGGTTTTTACCTCTTCCTGGTCAAGTTTCCTTTTATCGGCATTATTTTGAAGCAAAAATTTCCTTTTCCAAATTTGACGATATTGGTAAGCCTATGGCCTTACTTTTTTATGAAAAATGCAAATATCAAAGTTAGACCTTTTTGAAACAATCAGCTGTATTCTTCGATTAACTAAGTAGGTTTTTACCTCTTCCTGGTCAAGTTTCCTTTCATCGGCATTATTTTGAAGCAAAAGGTTTCTCTTCCAAATTTGACGATACTGGTAAGCCTATGGCCTTACTTTTTCACGAAAAATGCAAATATCAAAGTTAGACCTTTTTGAAACAATTAGCTGTATCCTTCGATAAACTAAGTTGGTTTTTACCTCTTCCTGGTCAAGTTTCCTTTCATCGGCATTATTTTGAAGCAAACATTTTCTCTCCCAAAATTGACGATGTTGGGAAGGCTATAGCCTTGCTTTTTCATAAAAAATGCAAATATCAAAGTTAGACCTTTTTGAAATAATTAGCTGTATCCTTTGATAAACTAAGTTGGTTTTTACCTCTTCCTGGTCAAGTTTCCTTTCATCGGCATTATTTTGAAGCAAACATTTTCTCTCCCAAAATTGACGATGTTGGTAAGACTATAGCCTTGCTTTTTCACGAAAAATGCAAATATCAAAGTTAGACCTTTTTGAAATAATTAGCTGCTTCCTTCGATAAACTAGGTTTGTTTTTACCTCTTCTTGGTCAAATTGCATTTTATTAGCATTATTTTGAAGCAAAAATTTCTCTTCCAAAATTGACGATGTTGGTAAGCCTATAGCCTTGCTTTTTTACGAAAAATGCAAATATCAAAGTTAGAACTTTTTGAAATAATTAGCTGTATCCTTCGATAAACTAAGTTTGTTTTTACCTCTTCTTGGTCAAATTGCATTTTATCAGCATTCTTTTGAAGCAAAACTTTCTCTTCTAAAATTGACGATGTTGGTAAGCCTATAGCCTTGTTTTGTACGAAAAATTCAAATATCAAAGTTAGAACTTTTTGAAATAATTAGCTGCTTCCTTCGATAAACTAAGTTTGTTTTTACCTCTTCTTGGTCAAATTGCATTTTATCAGCATTCTTTTGAAGCAAAAATTTCTCTTATAAAATTGACGATATTGGTAAGCCTATAGCCTTGTTTTTTACGAAAAATGCAAATATCAAAGTTAGACCTACAGTATTTGAAATAATTAGCTGCTTCCTTCGATAAACTAAGTTTGTTTTTACCTCTTCTTGGTCAAATTGCATTTTATCAGCATTCTTTTGAAGCAAAAATTTCTCTTATAAAATTGACGATATTGGTAAGCCTATAGCCTTGTTTTTTACGAAAAATGCAAATATCAAAGTTAGAACTTTTTGAAATAATTAGCTGTTTCCTTCGATAAACTAAGTTTGTTTTTACCTCTTCCTGATCAAATTGCATTTTATCGGCATTATTTTGAAGCAAGAATTTTCTCTTTCAAAATTGACGATGTTGGTAAGCCTATAGCCTTGCTTTTTTACGAAAAATGCAAATATCAAAGTTAGAACTTTTTGAAATAATTAGCTGTTTCCTTCGATAAACTAAGTTTGTTTTTACCTCTTCCTGATCAAATTGCATTTTATCGGCATTATTTTGAAGCAAAAATTTCTCTTATAAAATTGACGATATTGGTAAGCCTATAGCCTTGTTTTTTACGAAAAATGCAAATATCAAAGTTAGAACTTTTTGAAATAATTAGCTGCTTCCTTCGATAAACTAAGTTAGTTTTTACCTCTTCCTGATCAAATTGCATTTTATCGGCATTATTTTGAAGCAAGAATTTTCTCTTTCAAAATTGACGATGTTGGTAAGCCTATAGCCTTGCTTTTTTACGAAAAATGCAAATATCAAAGTTAGAACTTTTTGAAATAATTAGCTGTTTCCTTCGATAAACTAAGTTTGTTTTTACCTCTTCCTGATCAAATTGCATTTTATCGGCATTATTTTGAAGCAAAAATTTCTCTTATAAAATTGACGATATTGGTAAGCCTATAGCCTTGTTTTTTACGAAAAATGCAAATATCAAAGTTAGAACTTTTTGAAATAATTAGCTGCTTCCTTCGATAAACTAAGTTAGTTTTTACCTCTTCCTGATCAAATTGCATTTTATCGGCATTATTTTGAAGCAAGAATTTTCTCTTTCAAAATTGACGATGTTGGTAAGCCTATAGCCTTGCTTTTTTACGAAAAATGCAAATATCAAGGTTAGAACTTTTTGAAATCATTAGCTGCTTCCTTCAATAAACTAAGTTGGTTTTTACCTCTTCCTGGTCAAATTGCATTTTATCGGCATTATTTGAAGCAAAAATTTCTTGAGAATGTTTTTGCTATATTGAATAACTCTATCTTTCTACAAATTTGGTTGATTTCTAGCCCTTTCTGATCCAATTCCCAGTAACTTGTTTTATTTTGGCTCCAAACTTTGCCTTTAGAAATTGGCGATTTTTGGTTAATTTGTAGCCTTGCTTTTTAACGAAAAATTTACAAACCTAATATGATGTTTTTATAGTTGGCAAATGTTTTCATTATCTGACAATTTTTGCAAACTTATATTGAATCGAGTGTGCATCATTTTATTGAAAGAAAAGCACCTTTAAAACCTAGATTAAGAGTTGCAGAAAGAAATATAAGTAGCTTAGAAAGGGAAGCGATTTCTAATGAAAACTTTTAAGCATGGAAGGGCAAAGAAACATACAGTACCAATATTTGGTAAACGAAATTTTGATGGGCAATTACAAAAAGCTGAAAGTTCCAAACAGATTAAAGATAAAAAGGTGAGTCTGAAACACTGAGAGATTTCAGGAATTCTTAAAATTAAATGGAAAATATAGAACGTTAAATGAAGGTAACTACAAGATGTCAAGCATTTCTCTATTTCTTTTAATATCAATCTGGCTGAATCCCCAGTTGAAAGTTATTATAAGAAGCATTTCTAAACAAAATGTAGGTATATTTTGACAGATATAAGAAGACAGAATCAAATGTAAAAACAGTTCTTTGAAAACTTTCAAGGCTCTTTTTAAAATGGTGATAAATAATACTCTAAGTTTTACTGTAATATATCAACTGATACATCAATTAGTAGTATTTTACTTTTGTATTTTCATATTTCACTTTGATGAACTCTAACACTGGCAATGCAGCAAATATCAATAAGCCAATAGTGTAACCAAAAGTAGCACCAATACAACAGGGAACTGGCCAGGCCTAAAAAACAAAACAACTTGATGATTACATGGCTGGTGTAGTCAGCAAGGAAATATAAAGGCCCAATTCAAGGAAATAAAGATGGCACATCAGAAATACAACTGGCTCAAGAAAGAAAATGCTGGTCAAAACATTTCAATTTATCAATAAACGTAAAAAACCAAAGAATTACTTCAACATTATGGAGTAGACTAAGACCACAATAGTATTGTTTTATAGCCCAAGTTGAGACTTCTATCAAAACTTAAAATTAATTCAAGTCATCTTTCCACAAAAATGATACGTTCATTGAAACCTTAACAAAATAAAAACAGTCTTAATGCATTGATAAAAAAATGTTATCAACAAGGCAAGCATATGAATGCTGCAAATTGAAAAATTCCAGTAAATCTTACAGAAACTGCAATATGTTGCCAATAGCTTGTCTTTCAAGTAAAAAAATCCTGGTTTCTCTTACCATCAATTTCCAGTTTCTGTCTACATTCTGTCTACATTTGTATTAGATGACTTAAAGTACATGAAGCTGGTTTCTGTATTGGTTTACAAATTAAAAGTCAAATTTATGTAATTAGGCAAAATATCCACAATTTATTGAATACATATTGACGTACGCTAATATGTTAATCAAAGGTACATATTTGAAGTTTGATCAATATAGTACACCTTAAAACAATTGGCAACAAGTTTCCCAGGACATAGAGGAAACTAAAAATGTTTTACAACCCCAGTGACCTGTTACTTAGGTCATAAAAAGTTTTCGGTAAAAACTACTTAATGGGGCTATCAACAGGAATTCTTTTAAGCTTCTAGCTGAAGTTGGTCCAGAGCCTTATGCATAAACTAAAAACAAAAAAGGCACAGGAACAAAAAAGAGCTCTGGAACAAGAAAACAAAAAAGGTATCTTGAAAAGCTCCTGAGGACTTAAAATTCCACAAAGAAAACATCAAAGACACACCTGCCATGGTCTGTCCCAGTCCAATGGAATTGCAGCTGACCCAGCAAGAGCTCCAACAATTGTTAGAAAGGAAATCAGCCTAACGTTGTCAACCATTTGACCAGACTTGTACCTGAAATTTGTAAAAATATCTTTGAACAATGTTGAAGAATTCTGGAATTATCAATAGGAGAAAATATCAGTACCAGATTCAAGGTGATTGAAAAAAGTACATGCAGCAAACAAAACTGGAGGATACAGAAAACCATTCATCATAAATCTTTAACAATAACCATCAAGTCAGTATAATAACAATTGTATCTAAAAATTGCTTCACTGCATTTTATTTTATCAATAAATAATTATTTGTAATAGCACCAAATTTGAGCAGAATTGAAGCATTTTTCCTACAAATTAAAAGTCCAGTCACTAGCAATTTTTTTTACTTTACTATTTAGTTATTACTCTCTTTTCTATTTCAGTTATAAAAACATTTGCCACTTTTGTTTCCAATGAACTGTAGATTGAGACTATATATTCTTATTTGATTAATGACAAGGTTGCTCTTAAAAGACTTCTTGAGAAGATTTCTGTCATTGTAAAAAGTAGATGCTGGAGAAAACCTACAATTTGAAATCCAGAATTTGCAATATATTCCACCATTTTCCATCTGATACCAAAGACAATGGCAATATTGTCATAGCAGACATGAGACATGAAAATAAATGTGTTTCTTCTAAATTCCTGAAAAATTATAAATTGTTTGAGTAAATAGTAAACAATTAAAAAGCAAATAACAATCTCCAGTAACTGTAGCAAATCATTGACATTCAGCCATTCAACTGCAAACTGCACAAAGTTCCCTTTGGAAACTGGTGGTATTAATGCTACAGTACACTATCACTTATAACTAGAAATCAACATGTATTTTGTCATAATTGTAAATTAGAGATAGACTTACTCTATAAAAGGGGCTCCATAAATAACTGTGATAAAATGATACAAGAAATTTCCACAAAATGTTGCAAATACTGACTTGAGCAAACAATATACCTAGAGAAAAGAAAGGAATCAACATTTACAAAAGGACATCAGAATTACAAACAACATCCTGTGTTAATTGAAAGATATTAGCAAGGCAAATTACACAATCTGATACATTAAAGCTGAAAAAGGGCAAATAGTTCTGACTTTATAGGTAATAAGGTACTACCAACACTTAGATAGCTTACTTTTGTTTTTTCTAATTTCCCTAAGCTCTTCTGTATTAGAGTATCAATGCTTTAACATTGACTGTAATAAAGCTTGAATCATCATATGAATTGAATTTAAAGTTGAATAGCTATCTCATTCATGTCCCATCTATCCTCTATATTAGCTTTTCTCATTTGATATTTTGAAACAAATCACAACTTGATTATGTGGTATGGTACCTCTCCAGCAGCATTGCCAATCCACTCAAAGCTAGACGCAAGTTCATTTAAAGCACAAGGACTGGCAAAATACTTCGGGAAAAACACTATGCAGCATATTGCAAACCAATAAAAAACCATATGTCAGAAAAGCCACATATCAATCCTGTTTGATTGAATTACAAAGATTTTGTTTTGCTTCCTTTACAAAGCTGAATGCCATTAATCTCATGTAGACAGAATCTAGCAAAATTTGCAAGGGTGCAAGAAATACCTGATCAGGACAAGCTACAATTTTGTAACAGGCCAAAACAAGTTTCTTTTGTTAACTGGGGACTACAGCTAGATACGTATTCAAACTATATGAGCTGAGTAATACTGATTAACATCTTTTAGGTCAATTCAGTATGGAGCAGTTATGGTTCCTCTTGTTATCCATACACATATTTAAACTTGATGTGCACAAACAGGGATTTAAATTTTGCAAGGCTGCCAATACAAAATGAAATGTGCATAAGATGCACAAGTCATGCAGCCACCATCTCACTGTAGACACAATTTGGCAAGGTTGTGTAAAGTTGTTCAAAATTGGCTCTTACAGCATTGCTATAAATCAAAATTAGCATCTGGGCTAATAAAAGTTTGGAAGTTTTAGGGGACACTCTTACAGTGGATGAGGGGGCCAGGGGTGTTCATTTGTGCTTAAATATTTTTCTTGTTTGCATACAGCGGAAGAATTAGATTTTCGAAAATCCGTTTGATATCAGCTCTGCTAAAAAGGAAATTTTTTGTTCAAATGTCTAAACATCAAACATCAACAAAAAGTTGATTCTAGAGATCTTCTTTGGAGGGGGCACTCATTCGATGAGTGTACTCGTTGGCAGCAGACAGATACAGCAACAAGAAGGGTATGGCTTGATTATATATGCAACATCTGAGATGACTACCTTGCTTTTTAAATCTGTGCATATTAAGTCATCTCCATCGATGACTGCCGCTTTGGTAACAAACCATCCAAGCAGGATTGTTGAGTACATATTCAACAGAAATGTTTTCACAGAATCGAGAATACATTGCCGGTTCTCCAAACAAAATCCAGAGCCTATTAGAGACTGCACCAGCACAATTGATCCACAGCAGATCAGCTGAGTCAAACATGATATACTTAACAGTTTCCTGTTAGCAGTCCTTTTCATCTTAAACAGGTTCAAATGATATGCCTGAGCCTGCCTAGGCCTTTCGCATATTCTTCAAGAAGATCAGATGCGGATAACAGATATCAAATTATGATGACGCTAACGCTTTTAACTGTGTTTCTAGTGGTAAAGGTTGTAAAAAACTGCCCATCATGCATTTCTTAACATCCAATTTCAACATGTTTCTTGTCCATATCAAATATTAACTGTTTTGTCAGGCTGAAAAAGAGATGCACGCCGAGTTTCCCGAAGTTTCGTTCCATTATGATTCCGCCTCGATACCAAAAGTGAGAGTGATAGGAGCATAGAAATTTCTATGGATAGGAGGCTACGAGATTTGGCGCCAATTTCTGGTTATGTGTGAATGAAGAAAAGGTCACTGTAGCAGGCTGCTCGACGGGCTCCAAGGAGTTCTTGCGGCGAAAAGTCGATAAAAATGTAGCAAATATGAAACACCGCAATACGCCGAGAATAAACAACAATAAAAACACGAAAATCAGTAAAGGCTAATATTTCGCCCCGGCATACGGGGCTTCATCAGAGCAAAACTTAACGGGCTAATTTCTGGTTACCAAAGTTTACAAACTATGGCCCAAAGGAATCCAAAATAAGGCCCTATTCGCACTGCATCTAGAAACCTGATAATTGCAGTTTTCTGAGATGTTGTATTGTTATCTAACACGTTATCAGGTTGCCATTAAGAAATTGTACCTTTTTAAATTGTGACACTTTACCGAACTTTGCCAAGCCTATTTCCAACGTATTGAAAGTCCACACAACCATCTAAATACCAGTGGCGGAAATTCAGGCTTTCATTTAGGAGAAGGGGGGGGGGGCAGGCCTATGATTTTCCGACAAGATGTCATCTTGGATTATTTCTATTTTTAACAACACTGCAAATTTTGACGAAAATAAGTGATTTTTCGGCGGGACACTTTAAGCCCCGGCAAAACGACTCAATTTTTCACTCCATTTTTTACTCGACAAGAAATCGAGTAAAATATCGAGTCGTTGAGTGAGCACGTGCGCAGTTATCATCTCTTATGCTTAGCTATTTTTAAAAGAAAAGCGGCCAAAAGGGGGCAGGAAAGCATACTACCCTGGGACCTCTAGGTCCAGGGTACCTTTCAAAGTGATGAATTCTATTTTAAGAGTTGAATTAATCAAACGAAACAAACGTATGCATAGAAATAGTAAATTGCTTAAACGAAATAAAATATTTAGTGACGGCTACTGCATGAAACGAACGACCAGGGTCTTATGACGCTAGAGTTCGTCGAGAGAAATGTGAAAGGACATTTGCATGTACAATAAGCACGGCAGCCGCTTTGCGTTTCTTTGTTTTAATTTTGTTGGAATGAGTGAAAAGTCGAGTGAAAATCGAGCCAAAAATCGAATCGTTTTGCCATCACTGCTCGACTTCGCTCGATTTTGAGATCACGGCATAATTAAGTAGCAAGAAGAACAATCCATTTATGAATTTTGATATCAAGATCGATATCTCATCTAAGACAATTGATTATACAAGCGATCGAACGATTATACTTTTGACAAGTCGTTCATGATAACAACATGATTGTAGTTGTAATGTTAATTTTCTGCATTTAACCTATTTTCTTCAGTGGGAAAAACGTTTGTGGGAATAATTTGGAAGAATTCGATGGAAATTTCTGCTAATCTTTACGGAATTGAAACTACATATACAATTCACAAGCAGTTTTGATTTTGTCACAAATTGCTTGCTTGATTATTTAGTATTGGCCAATATTTTATCAGCTATGTTTAAATTTACGAAGAAGGCCCGAGTATTCCGAGGAGATCGTTGAGCGTCGAGTCCCCTCAAACCCCCATATTATCCGCTACTGCTAAATACCATCAACCTATTGCTATAAGATTACAAGATTCCCTGATATCAGTTAACACACAACAAGCCAGATTCGATATTTAACAGAATTAACTGATTCGATACTTTTTCGACAAAGAAACTTTGGAGCGGTGCAGGGTAATGCACTGTCAGGCAAAAATAAGTGGTAATGGTTAGCGGAATGCAAACATTGAAGGCAAGGTATGAACATTTAGCAACCTTACAACAAGGTGTTTTTTACAAACCTTAGAGCTATTAGCTAGATCAAAGAGAATCAACGAATATTGAAGTGACGATCTTTACATCTAAAAATAAAGACTAAATAATGCTTCTTTTGATTTTATTGCAAAGCGATCATGCAATTATGACTAAGAACAGCTCAAGTTTCATGCAAATTGAGTCGCAGTTTTCCAAAACGATCATGGCTTATATGGGTAAATTCTCTTTAAATTTTGAATTTTGACTTCGTTTTCTAAGTAAGTACTACACGTGATTGTGATATTCAAGATTAAGAAGATTAAGAACTTGACCAATAACAAGGCCATCCCAGCATGGAGTTACTGGAATGAAGCCTGATTCTGTGTATCTACTACAGAGGAAAAATCAGACAAATAGCTGCACCGAGGCGTTTATCACTATGTATAACAAAGGTATCTTTATCGCTTGGCAGAAGAAGTTGTGAAAATTCTTGCACAACACCATACAGATAACAAATGTTCTCCATCAAATCTAAGAAAGAGTCTGGACAAGTGGCACACTTTTTTTCTCAATACCCCCTTCACTCGCGTTACTCAAAGTATCTTCTTCGTCCTCTGTTTGACTGGGAACGGGGGAAACTTTAGCTTTCGAAAGCTTGTGCAATGGCCACATGCCTTGTTTGATGTCCTGATTGGGAATCATCATTGATAGCCTTTTCTTGTTTTGTTTATCTTGCTTCTCCAATTTTTGATTTTCCTTCTCCAGATTGTAAAAATACATAAAACTGGATACAACTATAGGTATTGGTAGTGCTAGGACAATGATGCCACAAACCGCACATAAACTTGCGATGATTTTACCAGGGACGTTAGTTGGTACACTGTCACCATAGCCTACATTTGTAAGGGTGATTATTGCGAACCAGAAGGCGTGGGGAATACTTTCAAAATTCGGATCGGCGTAATATACAGCGCTTGAAGACAAAACCACGGCAATGAGAACAAAAAACAACAGTAGCATAAGTTCACGGAAACTAGACTTTAAAGTAAGTCCAAGAATCTTGAATATGCGCAGATGGCGTGAAAGTTTAAAAACTCTAAGCACACGTGCCAGGCGAATGACGCGAAGAAACTCAAGCCGTGGAGCTTGTTTACTGCCTTGCACCAAACTGCTAAAAATTGTCATGTAGAATGGTAGAATGGATACCAAATCAATTAAATTCATGAATGACTTTAGAAATGTGAACTTATTCGGTGCCGTTGCGAATCGCAGCAATAATTCAAGGGTGAACCAGGCCACGCAAACTGCTTCTAAACCGTCAAACGTGTTCGCATACTCAGAAGATTTGAACATTGGCATTGTTTCCATGCAAAAAATTATGACCGATATGCAAATCATGGCAACGGAGAAAAATGCGACAGCCATTGCCGGTTTCGATTTTGGAGCCTCTATAAAGTTCCAGATTTTTCCACATATAGTCCGCCCACTACTTTGTTGGACGTTGTCATCTTCAGGGTACCGAACTGTGACCATGAATCTATTGATGATGTCTTCTCCCATTTGGAAAAACTTCAGCTCTTCGATAAACAGCTTTAGTCCAAGGTTTGCAGGCTTTATCAACTTTCCGTATGACTGATAGAAGAACAGAATACTTTCAAACGCGTCCCTGTTACGATCGAAAAAGTAAACATCGTCCGCTTGATCGTAGTATGTCACTCGCAATTCACTGGATCCGAGAAGGGTATCTGGAAAACGGTTCAGTGTTTTCGAGAATGTTTCGAACATCGTGCCACTTACGTTGAATCGAATCCTCTCTTTCAGAGCTAGGGGCTCTACGTCACTTTTCTCGTTAAACGAGAGGTTGCGAATATCGGCCCAAAAGTTTTCACTTGTTTGGGTGTCTCTTCTTCCCAGCTGATTTCTACTCATGGATCCAGAATCCACCTCGAATGTCCTTGAGAGCAACATGATGCAATACTGAAAAAAAACAAGATTCATAGATGACTTTTAATAGATTTTGATCTAAAGGCAAAGTGCAATCGGGTTAACATTTGATGAAACCGCCGCAGTTCCTAATTCTCGCTTTCTTTTGCTGAAATAGTGATGTAGTCAAGGATTTTGACCTTCTACTTTCCAGTAAACAAGTTAATGGAGTTATGTCTTTTAACTGCAAGAAGCTTTCTAAAACAGGCGACAATGCATTTTAAATATGCATTAAATCAGCAGACAGCTAACACCCATGATTTAGCGTCGAGAATTCCAAAAAAAATCCAACATTTTTTCTTTCGAAATGCTACGAAAGTTAATCTTTGGAGGGTAAAGAGAGACGCAAAGTTATGAAAACACCTGGAACTGACTCAAAGTTCTGTCGCCACTGTCAATAACAGTGCATCCCAAAGGGCAGGCATTGTTTCTTTTCATAAAAACATGCACCCACAAAAACCAGTAGAAATCCAGAGCTTTCAACGAGGCTGCTATTAGAAGTCAATTTGTAACCAAAATCAATGATATGAATAGCTTCATATGGAGGCCGAATCCGGGATGAGAAGATAATTTTTAAGGAGCTTTGAGTTGTTCTTTAAAAACCAGACCGACGCTCAAAGGTAGAAGCAAGTAATTGAAATCGAACTAAGTCAACTTGCGTTTTTGCATAGAAAAAGTTTGTTTTTCATAAATTAAATTGACCGGAAAAAATTGTTTTCAGAGTAAAAGCATCTCTAGACTGACTGAATGTACCCGAAAATGCATATACAATCTCAGACTGTAAATGATGTGCTTAGAATATCAAAAGTGACAAAAAGTGACAGTAAAATCGGAATACACACCACGGTCATGATATTGAAATATTAGTAACTAAAGCCAAAGTTAACTTTTTTAATCTAAGGTAGGGTGCTAGTCGAAAACCAAAGATTTTAGGAGAAATCTTATTTTTGTTTTGGGTTCGAAAGTTGATACAATTATTCACCTTCAAGAAAATGCAATTTCAATAAGTGCCAATTCTCCTTTTTGATGTAAATTTTCTAGTTTTACTACGAGCTACCCTAGGAGGTTTTAATGAAATCGCCAAACGATAGAGGGAAAGTAGGCTTTCTTCTCAGGCCGTCCGCCATGTTTCTTTTGCCGCAAGATAATGTGACTATATATCAAACGATAGCTCAAATTATAAATGTCATTTTCATATCATTTTATTTTGAATGTCTTTTGACCAGTAATATCCTACCTTTTGGGTTATTATTCAATTTATTACCTGTACTTAAAGTAGCTTTGTAGCCTATTATGCTATCTGAGTGATTTAAACTTTTGGAGAGATGACATACTAGTCTAATATTGATTATGTAATTTTGATTTTCAACATAATTCATAGTTACACATAAACAGTGGCGTAGCGAGGGGGAGGCAAGAGGGTGCTGACGTCCCTCCATTGCCAAAGATCTCTTTGAAAAGGGGCGTTTTCTGGCATTCAAAATGGTAAGGACTCCCAGTTACCCCTGGCTCAACTCGCCTTTGCCCCTAATCTTACCACCCTGGCTAGACTACTGCACATAAATGATAAATGTTAATAAAAATTATGGGACGTTATTTACATTTCTGTGTCTACACAGAGGACTGTTTGATAGACAATACTTATCAATTCTATTATACTCTGATCATAGCCATAAACCCACTGCAATCAGCAGAAATGTATAATCAACAGCAATTTAAGCTTACTTTTTTAGAAGCAAATTAAATATCAGAGACAGCATTATAGTGATAAAAATCATTGTGAGTCTGGGGGCAGCAATGTTATTAGTTATTATTCTGTCTTGAAAATTTATTCAATATTGTAATGCTATTGTATTGCCCTTGAAGCAAACGAGCAATGAATGCTTTACCTGTTTTAATTGAAAGTGTTCGATAGTAATTTTTGATTGACTGTCTCTAGCATTACAAATTCCATGAATATTTAAAGAATCTTGTTGGTTCAGCACTACTGTACTTCTAAAACGCTACATGTCTATTGTTCTATCTTATAATTTGCTTTTGTTGTTGCTTCTATTGTTCTACAGCTCCAGTCCCTCTCCAAAATACCGAAGACTTAGTCCAGCGCGGCAGACTTGAGAACGGTTGCACAACAGAGAATGGCTATTACGCATTCGGCCAAGTTTAAAAGGAATAAAACTACGACATGGATGGTTTTGTATTAAATTCAATATTCAGTGATTGTTAATTCCTAATCAGGGGTTGACCTGGGCCACACATGGCTTCAATGGTTGGCCATGAACAAGACTAATCTAGGCACTTCTATAAATGTGTTATAAAAGAGTCACTTTACAAAAAACGAGAAAGAAATTAAAACTAGCTGTCTTCGAGCGAACTACAAAACTGCAATTAGAAAATGATATTTATTAGGATTCTAATTTCTAAGAAAGCTTTTGCAGTTACTAAGAATTCTATCTACTTTCTTATTAAAGAGGAATTTCCAGGGTGAAATTTCGGGGTCTAGAACTTTTTCGATAAATTTTTGCACTGGAGGGTGCCGGTCAGTTTGATTACGATTCTCGTTCTTGCAACAATGTCCCTGTTACAAAGAATGCTCTTTAGGCAGTTGCTTTTCCAAAAATTTCATCAAAAATTTCATCAAAAAAACCAAAAAGGCGTTTTCCACGTTTTCCAAGAGTCTTAAAAGCGTGACCGAGAAAATTGTTTGTCTACCCCAGTTTTTGTGGCTGGCGACGCCTCTGATAGAAAATACTACAATAATTTACTACTCTCCTCTCTACAAACGTATCTAAGAATAACAAAAGACATCCAGTATTCTTTTCCCCTTTTGTTGACATTTTTATGTCTTAGCTTGCTTTCCGCTTATTTGGACAGTAGACGTTATTATATTACAATAAGTTGTGCTCATGACTGTAAAATGATGTATAGCAAATCGTTCATACGTATTTTAGCATTTAGCAGATGCACCGAAGCAATAAGAATATGACTTGCGTATTAAGAGGCGCAATGGAAGATGCACTGGTATGGGCATTGTCAAGATGATATCAGGATACCATCTGCTTGGCTCAAGAGGCACTTAAGTTTGCTTGTAGCTCGCTTAGGTAATTCAAGATTTGTATAGGATAGGCAGTGTTTGTATAAGGTCGCGCTGGCTCTTGCGGTACGCTTTAGACATGGAGTGGTTGAATATAGCTGCGCTGCGCCTCGTCAATTATTTAGGTTCTCGGAGAATCGAGGATGGTGTTAGAAGTAAAGTCACGTTAAGCTTGGAAAAAACTGCATTTATTATAAAGGAAAGATGACGATTAGCCGCTGGCAAAAACGTTGTACTTCCTTATAATTTCTTTTATGAGCAGAACCCGAACATCCATTTTACAGCACCACTGTTAACAACCTGAAACCAAATCACAGCAACAATGTTTTCGTTCGACTCTTGCCGAGCTACCCCCTACCAGAAGCAAGACATTTATGGGGGGGGGGGAGAAATGTACATCGCACTCTTAAGGGTACAGCCCTAGCTACACCCCTACTTCTACGGTATGATGAATTTCTGATTGTCTTGTTACGGAGCATGTACTGTAATTCTTACTTGCATGTTGCCCCAGCACCAAGGCAAGCCCAAATTACACACTCGTCACGAGCTGTGCTGAGGGAGGGGTCTAGAGTGGCCATGTCAGCTACTTTTCCCACTAAGACATTCTTTTAAAAATTAATAAATAAAATTTTATCTGTATAAAGTCCTTGCCCCCTTTACGAAGCTAAAGGTATGATTTCTACCCAACACTCTCTGAGGACTGTCTATTTCTGAAAATTCAAAACTACCATCTTAAGCTGTGTGAAAGTGCGAGATAAGACCTTTCACGAACTTATCTTTTTTAAATGTACAATCATGCTCTGATGTGAATGCTGTATTTCTAGGTACGTCTTATCATGGTGAAGAGGAGACAATCCAGCGCGGTGTAAACTGGGTACATGTCTTCTGCTGAGAGCTGCAAACACTTTCGCTAATAACAATACTAATGAGCTAAGATAAAAACGGGTACCCGATGACCAGCAATAGGAAATTGCTAAGCAGCAATCAACATGCGAGCGATAACTAGAGTGGAGAACGAACAATTTGCAGTAAACATCCTCAGCTGGTGAAGAGCAGTTCTTTGAAGCAGGAAGCAGGATTCTCTGACACAAGAATCGAGATACCGGGGACCCTGCCCCCCCCAAAAAAAACTTAAGTTACATAAGTAAAATACTTTCATTTTGTGAAATATGTCTGTTGTTAGACTGATTTATCAGGGCTGCCCTCCCCCCCCCCAGACAAAAAGTTGATTTTCTTTCTCTTCTTTGACACATTGCTGGTGCTAATAATCCACCACTAGACGAAATGTCTACTGTTAATCGCATACTCTAATTACAGGGGTTGGAAGAGCAAGCGCAGAATGTTGGCGCGTTGCTTGATAAATACACTTTTAGTTCAAACATGTTCTCAAAGCTTGTTGGTTTAAAAAGTTTGATATAACCGGCCACAACAAAGAAAAATTAAAACTATTTGCGACAATTAAAATCTACATAACTGAAAATGCTGTTGACAAGATCAGGTTTGCCGGGCTACTCATGGTAATAATTGAAATGAGATTCCTCTTTGTGGTTCATTCTAAAAAAGATTTATATAGCGCTACAAGTTAAAAAACTTTGCACAACTGAACCTGAGCAAAATCTGTTATGTTCTGGCTCTGATGAAAGTCGAGAAATAAAGAAATCCTCGTTTTTGCTGGTTCAATGAGTAAAACCACCAAACTGTATGAAGATATTGCTACAAGTTGCATGCGTCATGTATATAAAAAAGATGCGTCAATTTAACACGTCGCACAGACGATTAACTTTTCGCATAGTTATAAGGAATTTCTAAAAAATCGATTCATACCTTCGGCAGTCACTTTGCGATAAAAACTTCCAGCTTCTATTTAAACATGATTGCAAATACTTGCCAATACGGGCCGAGCTGTAGGAGTAGCTATGGTGTTTAGCGGGTGCCGTCTTTCACCTTAGAACAATCGGTACTTCAATTCGTATGAAGCAATAATTCGCTACAAGTAGGGAGTCGCCACTTGCTTGTACAATAGTGATTCAAGGAATATGAATGAGGATTTACAGGTTGTTTGGAGCAGTCAAGTAGTCAGCTTTGCAGATGATTCGTCAACAAATAGGAACAGAAAGGCGACAGCATGGGTACAGAATACGAGTTACAGGAGAATGGGATTGAAGAACATATTCAACAGCACATCACAAGACATCAAAAGGACTTTACAGTTATGAATAATAGAATATTGTATAGAATAAATGCATTCATAAAATATATTCGTGGCCAAAATATAATCTTAACGTCTCGAAGGGTTAGCTTATATTACAGTGATTGGGCTGACTCTAAAGTTTAAGAATTAAAAACAAGAATATAAAGCTTTACCTTATTGCTATTGCAGCGGAGTAGCTATTTAGAGTACAAGTTGCACTACGAGCTTCTGCTTGCTTGTAAGCAAATCCTTTGGATTTCTGGTCCACGACACAGAATAGAAAACACAGAATAGAATAAAAAAATGTCCTATTCTGTGTTCACAATGCAGTGTGCTTTGGCAATCTGTAAAGTGCACCAGATTAAATCAGGTCATGATCAGGTGCTGGTTATCCAGCGGTCTCCCAAAAATCTAAGAAATCACGATTGTTCACTGATTATCATCAAACTGCTTCAAAGCTAAGAATTTTACATTAGTGATTGCTTATAGTTTGAAATTTGATGTCTGCAGAAGCTCGCTAAGAAACTTAGCTACTTCGTATTGCGCAAAACAGGAGGTGAGTACAAGCAATGAGCAATTGTTGCAAAAAACAGCAGTGCATTGATAAGATGCTTTTTTACTTTTCACTATCACTGTTCAGCTTATGTGAAGTGCCCGCAGGTAGAAAATGGAGAATGGCAGGGCAAGCAATATAAAAACTGCCAAAATCCAAGTTGATGAGCCTGCTATGTAAAACAAGTAAAGCAAGTAAAGCAAGTAAAGCAAGCAAAGCAAGTAAAACAAGTATAGTAAGTAAAGCAAGTATAGCAAGTAAAACAAGTATAGCAAGTAAAGCAAGTATAGCAAGTAAAACAAGTATAGCAAGCAAAGCAAGTAAAACAAGTATAGTAAGTAAAGCAAGTATAGCAAGTAAAACAAGTATAGTAAGTAAAGCAAGTATAGCAAGTATAGCAAGTAAAACAAGTATAGTAAGTATAGCAAGTAAAGCAAGTAAAGCAAGTATAGTAAGTAAAGCAAGTATAGCAAGTAAAACAAGTATAGCAAGCAAAGCAAGTAAAACAAGTAAAGCAAGCAAAGCAAGTAAAACAAGTATAGTAAGTAAAGCAAGTAAAACAAGTATAGTAAGTAAAGCAAGTATAGCAAGTAAAACAAGTATAGCAAGTAAAACAAGTAAAGCAAGTATAGCAAGCAAAGCAAGTAAAACAAGTATAGTAAGTAAAGCAAGTATAGCAAGTAAAGCAAGTATAGCAAGTAAAACAAGTATAGCAAGTAAAACAAGTAAAGCAAGTATAGCAAGCAAAGCAAGTAAAACAAGTATAGCAAGCAAAGCAAGTAAAACAAGTATAGCAAGCAAAGCAAGTAAAACAAGTATAGTAAGTAAAGCAAGTATAGCAAGTAAAACAAGTATAGCAAGTAAAACAAGTATAGTAAGTAAAGCAAGTATAGCAAGTAAAGCAAGTAAAGCAAGTAAAGCAAGTATAGCAAGTAAAACAAGTATAGCAAGTAAAACAAGTAAAGCAAGTATAGCAAGTAAAACAAGTATAGTAAGTAAAGCAAGTATAGCAAGTAAAACAAGTATAGTAAGTAAAGCAAGTATAGCAAGTAAAGCAAGTATAGTAAGTAAAGCAAGTATAGCAAGTAAAACAAGTATAGTAAGTAAAGCAAGTATAGCAAGTAAAACAAGTATAGCAAGTATAGCAAGTAAAACAAGTATAGTAAGTAAAGCAAGTATAGCAAGTAAAACAAGTATAGCAAGTAAAACAAGTATAGCAAGCAAAGCAAGTAAAACAAATATAGTAAGTAAAGCAAGTATAGCAAGTAAAACAAGTATAGTAAGTAAAGCAAGTATAGCAAGTAAAGCAAGTAAAGCAAGTATAGCAAGTAAAGCAAGTATAGCAAATTAAACAAGTATAGCAAGTAAAACAAGTATAGCAAGTAAAACAAGTATGGCAAGCAAAGCAAGTAAAACAAGTATAGTAAGTAAAGCAAGTATAGTAAGTAAAGCAAGTATAGCAAGTAAAGCAAGTAAAACAAGTAAAGCAAGTATAGCAAGCAAAACAGGTACAGCAAGTAAAACAGGTACAGCAAGTAAAACAGGTATAGCAAGTAAAACAGGTATAGCAAGTAAAACAGGTATAGCAAGTAAAGCAAATAAAACAAGTGAAACAAATAAAACAAGTAAAACAAATAAAACAAGTATAGCAAGCAAAACAAGTAAAGCAAGTAAAACAGGTATAGCAAGTATAGTAAGCATAGCAAGTAAAGCAAGCAAAACAAGTAAAGCAAGTAAAACAAATAAAACAAGTAAAACAAATAAAACAGGTATAGCAAGCAAAACAAGTAAAACAGGTATAGCAAGCAAAACAAGTAAAGCAAGCAAAACAAGTAAAGCAAGTAAAACAGGTATAGCAAGTAAAACAAGTATAGCAAGTAAAACAAATAAAGTAAGTAATGCAATCGTGCGTGTAATAAACCGTCACTTAACACATGTAAATGGGTTTTAGCAATACCATACTTTACGTTGATGCTCTATGCATTTGAAATCATTGACAAAACACAAATCCGTTGACATCTTAGTCCTTAACAAATACTGAAAGAAAAGTTTTACCCAAGTTGTAAAAGAACGAAAATTCACCTCCACTTGTTGCTCATGTCACCTCCCCTGAATCTATCACTGACATCACTGTTAAACAGTAAATCCCCGACAAAAAACCTAATTCAGTCTGACTCTTCTAAAAGGCCAATAAAAGAGCTGCAGAGTTAAGGTTCTTACATCAGGTCCCTGCCAGATGGATAGTGCAACTGGGGCAAGTGCAATAAATAGTTCAGGGGATAATGCATTGTAAAATCATATGACTGTCAGGCTTGAAAAGGTCCTCGAACTTAAGGTATGCGATGAAAGAAACACAGCCTGTGGGTTCTCAGATTCTGAAGTTGTTTGTGGGGATGTGCTATAACGCATATTGAAACAACATAGTTCTTAACCAATAAACAGGTTTTCCAGCTCATAATATCGAAATAAAATCAAAGAACGGCAGAAGCTGATCGCACTTACATTGTAAATATGGGCAAGACACTTATTGGTGTAGCCACTTTTGAAATAAACATGACGTCATAACACTAGTCGTTTAGACGTAGAGCAACCTTACTTTAATTTTCATTTCATTATGTATAATCTTTGTGTTTGTGGTTGTTTCATATTTGAAAAAGGAACAAGATAGAATGTTTTGACCAAAACGACTGTCACGTTATTTGTAAAACAAGGTAGTAGACAAATTTTCTAAATATAATTCGAGAGCCTTTGACCCTTATAAAATTACTTTCAAAGATTTTGATTTTGATAAATGTCTGGAATTTCTTTACCATGGGACTGCTTTCATTCAATAGAAAAACGCCCTTTCATTTTTTTATCATTAATGACGGAGTCCAAAATCAAATCCATATTCAAGGATAGTTAAATAAGTTACAGTCTAATTTACAGATCAAGTTGGTGAGCTATTTGACTGCCTGGGTATTCGAAAACACAAGTCGTAAAAATTGTATATATAGTACCTTTTGTATCATTCATGCCTATATATGAAACAATTAGAGAATTCAAGATAAACTGAGAATAACTCCATTTTCTCTGTTTCAAATGTTTGGAAAATTTACAAAGTTGATCTTTAATGAGATTTATTCTTAAAAAGTGAATAAATCCATTAAAATATCGATGGTGAACTTTCGAAAGCGAATAAGAGGAAGAAGCAACTTCAATGTGGTCCACAGTCGTCGTCTGATAATGAACAATGCTCGGCTAGCATCACTTCATTGATAATATGCCTGCGTCCATTAACTTCTTGATCTTCATGGCAATCTCTGGGTTACGCAAATGCCTGCAAAATAATTTGAACATACGTCAGGAAAGACGCACAGCTTTTGCAAAGGAGAGGTTTAGGAAACAAGTGTAGACAAGAGGAGTGATAATTATCTAATAATAAAGATACCGTATGAATCAACATTGCGAACACAATATGATTCAATAGCCTTTGGTCATAAAGAGGAAACAATCAAAATTAAACAACAAATCTGCGAAGAAAGGATCAGTAAGCTAGTCTTGCTGATTGGATATCTATACAGCCTGGTACTTTTAGCCTCGCTGTTGCTTAAATAGTTAAAATAGAGCAAGAGCTGCAAAACTGATGTATAACTAAATAGTAGTTTAACAGGTCGGATTTGGCTTGTTCCTGATTTAGTTGTAAGTTGGAAAATATAACTTAACAAGGCTTTACCCATTTGCCTATTCGGTGGCAGAGTTTAACAGCACTGGCTTTACTAAATTCTCCTTCGATTAACAAAAGACAGCTTCGTGAGCAAATGAGAAACTTACTCTGTGGCAGCCCTTGGATCTTCCTGCATTTGTTCTAAAATCATTCGCATTGCTGGGTCCATCATGATACTCTATCAAAGTAAAGAGCTGAATCAGATGCTAGAAACAACGATGTGATAGACTGAGTTATTTGAGGGTACCCAATGTGTTTTTCGGGGAAGCGGGAATCGTCATTTTTGGAAGCCAGAATCGTCATTTTTGGAGGCTGGTATCGATAACACCAGGGATCGGAAACTGATGGTCAGGAATCAGGAATCAGGCTAAAATCGTTAGGGGGGAGTCGGGCATCAGGGGACCCATTGGACACCCTTTTATTCCTCTACATGATTACAAGGAAGTTTTTTAATCGAAAGCATTTGAGCTAATTTGAGTTTTGTTCACATGCTGTTGACAAGAATATTCTGTTCTTGCAAAAACATATAATAGCATCTATTTGATTTATACAATTTCCATCACATCATTTGAGCCCTATATCTCATTACTCAAGCGAAGGAGTTAACAGATTAATTGTAACATTCTACAAGCACTCGATTTTAACTGGTTGCTTGTTGAAGGGGAAACCGTTATCAACGGACACCTACACAAAATGTATTGTTCCAAAATTCTTTCCCTGTAGTCAAGGCCATGTACAAGCACCTTTAGCCAATGAACACTTCCTTACAACGGACACCTCTTCAAAATAGACAACCTGATCTGACATTCGACATCCTTATGGAGGTTTCATTGTAATACATCAACTTCAAAAGGTCATACACAGAATCTATAGTGGCCAAGTATGAGTGAATAAGCAAATAACGAATACAAACCTGGACTTCAGGATCTTGCATGGCTTCTCTTTTTCTTTGCTCTGGGTCAGCACTATACCTAGCGTACATAGATTTATTCAAGCCTTCCTTCGCTTCCTGCATAAAGGAAGAATAAGGCATTACAAGCATGGATAGTTTGAAAGTAGGAATAGTAACAATGGCAAAGAATACCGGGCATTTTTAGATTTGAATACCTATAGTCATACACAAATCCATAAGAGTTTCTCACAGAATTTCCAAGGGGCACGAACATTAGTAAAACTTTTTTAACAAGACGCTACTTTATATTATGCGTAGTTAAATCGAGGGAGTGTGTGGTAGAGAGATGAAAAGCATGCTTTGCTTGTGTATGCAGGTCTTGCAATAGTTTAAAATGACTGTAGCTTGGTTTTAAAACTGGCCAGTTCTTCTTGGGAAAATCTCTTCTATTCCCTGTTCGAGCTTGTAAAGAATTTCGCCGCAAACGGTCTGGCAATTTTTCATTCATCAAAAATACCTTTGTTACAAGATTTGAAGGCACAGACTTGCCATGAAATCTTCTACGTGGTTTCTACTTGCTATGAAACCCTCTTTTTAACTCTATTGCTACCTAAAAACAATACCGGATGAAAAAACGACTCACTTGACAGTTGGGATCCAGTTCAAGGGCCTTTTTATAAGCATCTTGCGCTTTTCTGTTCTCTTTTACTGCCAAAAGTGCTCCTGCTTTTCGTAAATGTCCTTTCACTGAAACAAAATTCGTTTGGCGCTCAAGCAATGATGGAAAATGATGGTATTTCTTTTCAAAGAAAGTTTGGATGATGTTCATTGTAGTTTAGGCCGCATTTTTCAGGCGTAAATTTTTTCTTATTTGATGTATATATCTCTACACAATGTCCTGTGAGTTAAGGTATTTGTATGCTAACAAAAGATTATATAATCCTTTAACGGACTGAGCATCCGCATATTTCAATCGATTAGTGAGCTTAGGCCTTGAATTTCTCTTTCCAGAAACAGTGCAACCTTGCTGGTGCTTGCAAAAATAAGGATTGAAAAAACCTTTTTTTGCCGGCTTTTAACCGACCAATGAAACACCTCGTTATAAAAATGAACGATCATAAGGTCGGTAATGAACCACAAAAAAGCGGAACAGGTGCTCATAATACCAAAACACTTTTTGTGCTCATTCTTTTCATTTCCCTGGCTGTCTTTTGTCAAAAGACCAACCAATAAATAAATCTGATAATCAAAAGATAATGAATAAAAAGCTTAAAACTTAATTAGCTAAAAACTTACCAAAGTCGGGGTTTATCTTTAAGCAGTCATCACAATCCTAAAATCAGATGGAAGGAAATCAAGGAAAGGAAGCTGACGTTTAGTCGAGATGGGCAAAATGGGACAGCGATTGATCTTAAATTTGGGATTGCATTCTGCAATTGACTGAGAGGCAAAGTAGGCAACCATACATGATAATTGTTCAACGAACAAACTCCAGTATCACGGAAAAGAATTAAACATTTCATATTGGTCCATTCAGATCTTTTCGCTAAGTAAGGTTACCATTACTTTGCAGGAATCATCTTTGTTTATCCCTAAGAATTTAGAGAAAGATTACTACGTGATACTTTGAAAATTACCTTGATTGCTAGTCGGAATTCTGCAAGTTTCGTGTAGCAAGCTGCCCTGTTACTGTAAACTCTTGCATCGTCAGGGTTTCGTCTCAGTGCTTCAGTGTAATGCTTTATTGCCTCTGGATATTTCCCTGCGGAATTCAGTTGGCACACATTAATGAAAACTGCTTTGCTTTGCAAAGCCCAGTAAGAATGAAAACAAAAATGTTACGGTATAGACTTTACATATGCAAAAGTATAATTGCGAGATTTGCATGCGTTGTCCCTTTTGACCGAAAAGCAGACACAGACTTAAAATGTGAACTTTAGACCAAGGTTTCGAAAACAATAATACAATTCTAAAAATCAACGTTACGAGAAAATTCTTAAATTTTGTCAAATTTTCATTTTATATACCTCTAAATCTAATTCATGATTCTTCTAAAATGACTTCATATACTGCAATTCTGGATATTCCTTCAAGTTTCATAAAATTCCAAAACCCTTTAAGAAATCTCTTCTGATTAATTCAGTAAATAGGGGCTATATAAAAAACGCACCTTGGGAGAAAAGCTCGTTGCCCTTTACTCTTTCTTCCTCAGCCTTATCTTTGTCAATATATTCAAGTCTTTCTTTGTCTTTCATCAATTTTTTGAGCTAAAAACGAATTGCACTTTTCGTAAGTTGCGATCAAAATGACTCTTGCAGAATTTTTGAGATCTGCCAGGAAGGCTATTCTTTAAATTTCTATTGAGGGTTGGTTAGCGAACACAAAATTAAACCTTAGCACTTGGAAACAATTAAAAGACTCTGCCACAGTTTGAAGCTTTTAGACTCACACCCAGATAATGTGCTACACACTGTAAAGAGGCTCCTCTATTCAAGACAATAAAACTCCTACATGAGTGATCTCATTAGTGCTAGCAAAACCATTAAAAAATTGCATTGTTGTGTCGCATATAATTATCAACGATGTCATTTTACGAAAGAATGATAACAACAATAATAACACAAAACGTTTTGTTAATGAATAACCTATCAGAACGACATACTGTTATCAATAGGATATTAGTTAAAACAAATAAAAGAATGGTAAAAGAAACAAAAATTAATCACTAAAAAAAGAAAGAATCACTAAAAGAGAATGGGATTACCAAAAAGTGGTTCGAATTGTTTTTGTGGGTGTTACAGAACAAACTCTACTGATTTTATCTCTGTAATTCTGACCTCACAGGGTACATTCTAGATAAAACTGTAATTTGAAAGCTAGAAATTGGCAAAAAGTTTATGATCAAAATAAAACGTTTCCCTTTAGGGCCATAAAAGTTGGCGAACGCGAAACGACTAAGTATTAAATGCCAAACCTCATCTGCTCGCTTGATGACGTCAGGTGACCGGAACTCAGCCAAGGATAAGTCATAGTACCGCATTGCTTTATCGAAGACTTCCATCTTTGCATATGCATTGCCTATTCTCGACAAAGCCCTGGTGAAAACAAATGAGGAGTACAATTTTAAAAAACGAGCTCTTTGGTAATAAATGATGAATCATTTATTATATTCTTCTAGTGGTACGATCTTATAGTTTAATCTCATAGTACTTTAAAATAAATAATAAAATGATAACTAACTTAGCGATTGCTTTATATTCAGCTTTGTTCTTTCTCCCAACCTCAACAGCTTCTTCGCATTGCTTGATGCAATCTTCATACTTCTTTTGTTCAAAATAAACGGCTAGAACAGAAAACAAACAGTAAACTACAAAGCCTCGCGTTTCCCTTTAAAATATAAAACACTGCAGATCATTACATTAAACATATAATTTTCTACCAAGCCATCATATTTTTGCGACTATATTACTATTAGCAATAAAAAATAGTTTGCTGCTAAATTCCTGGTACCATAAAAATGGGAAGCAAGATACCCATTTCTTATTACAACTCAATATTATCGCTGTTCTGCAAAAACGTAATAGAAACACAAAAGACGGACAGCAGTGAAAACGCGTTACCTGCTCTGTTAGTGTAATAGGCAATGTTTTCTGGATCTAGTTCGATAGCTTTCCCGTAATGCTTTAGAGCAGTGTCAAAATCCTTCTTTTTATAAGCAGCATTGCCACTTTCCTTTTCATTTTCAGCCTGAAAACAGAACATCGTTGAACAGCCAAAATTACAAAATAAGTGACAGAAAAAAGCAAACAAGAATTTTAATTGAAAATAAGTAGCCTTAAGTTCGTAGCCGCTATTACTAACGGTGGCGTTCTCTGACCTTCTAGTCTGGGGAAGGGGTGGGCTGTATTGTCACAAAAATGGGGTAGAGGGTAAACATAAGTAACATCTACCGACAAAGACATAGATATGTTCTTATTTTACCTATGATAAAGCGGATTTACCGACCAGCCAACAACTTTTCCAACTAACTGAGGATTTCACTGACTAACTCGATGGGTCTCATACTCCAAAACCCCCTGATTATGTCATACACCTTCATAATTACAAAAGAAAAGTGTTCTCCGGAGCAATAAAAATGTAAGAAGGAAATTCTCTAGATTTTAAGAGGTAATTACACGAGTGTTATTTACAATGGTTGCAAACACATCCACTTCATTATCTACCTGATGAATCTTTTGCCTTAAACGATTATTACTGAAAAGTGACATAGGTTTAAATGAAAGATAGATTACCGATTAGCAAAATACATTTAGACGGATAGCTGGTTTTACTACGTCTCCTAAAAAGGGCGAATGCCTAGGTCAGATATGAATGAAATTTCACCTCTTTCTGGCTTTCAGTTCTAGTATCAACTTCAGTTGCCTCTTCTGTTTTCGTTTTGCTTTCTGCTTTCTCTTCCTTTGGTTTTGGGTTTGGTAAATCGTCTTGGCTTTGAGATGCACCTTGCCCACCTTGATAGAAAAAGCAAAGCTTTACTATCAACTACACTGACTTGTCATATGATAAATAGCTTACAAATATCTTTAAAATATCTGTGAAGGGACGATGACATTCCATATTTATGTACAACAGATGCCGAGGTTACATTATAGGGTTTTACAAAAACTCATTCGAATTTATTACGAACATGACTCTTATGAAAAAAAAACAACACAATTTGAATAACATTAAAAGTAAGACAGTGTTATGAAACAATTCCTTTTTAAAACCAGGAAATTCAAATGAATCTTAAGAGACAGAAACAATGAGCCAACGAGGCAGACATAGTTTAATCTGAAGCAGCTACTAAAAAATTGCGAGTTCTTAAAATCAATAAAGACGAGGGCCCTTCTCCACAATGGAGAACGTTATTCGATTTACGTGAAGCGACTTGAAAGTGTGACAGCTTTGTGATAAAAAGAAACTAATATTTCAACTGTCAGTTGAACTGAAAAATATAAATATACACTTCCTACCAGCAGTCTGAATATTGATACCAAGAATAACACCAAGAGCTTGCATGACACGAGGGTCGTTGATATACCTTAACGAGAAAGAAAAACCCAATACCAGTCAATAAGCATAAACACAGATACAGGTTCTTTTAAAAGGTCACACGAGAATATCTCTGACGAACATCCTTGGTGCAAAATGCTACTGGAAAATGTGAACTTTCTCTAAAAAAGTATGACAGCAAAAACTTAAAAACTCTCTAAAAAAGTATGACAGCAAATAACTGCAAAACTTCTTCTACAATGAACTCTTACTTACTGCCACTTATTTGAAGTTTCACGCTTATGAAGGAAATGTTTTGTTCTCATTGATTTCCATCTGAAATCCTTGTAAATGATCATCACTTATTTGAATAGCAACTGAAATAGCTTTTTACTTATTTGAAAGAATTACACAAGCTATTCAAAACAGAGGGATCCAATCAATGGTGGTGGCACAGCAATTTAAAATTGTATGGGTTTTATCATTTATCAGCAGACAACAGACATTTTAACCATTTTCTGTTGTTTTTTAAACTCAGTTTGCAAGATAATCGGATACACTCTCCATCTTTATATCTTCTTGGCTTTCTGTGGTGGTTATTTCACAGGTCTTCAGCTTCTATTTTCTGCTGATGCACCCTTGGTAATCTGACCAAAACTTTACTTTTCTTGTTAAGAACAAAAACATTATAGATGTCCTCAATGTTCTCCGACTCCATGCAATTTTTCAAGTCTAATTTAGCCTTTGGTTCACAAATCTTCCAATAGGCAAAAAGCCCCATATAAAATTGAAATACTGTCTCCATACTTCTTCATGAATTCTTGAATCTAATCTTTTAGGCAATATTTATACCTTATATTTAATCTTTCTACAGAACTTCCACTGCTCCAAATTACAATTTCTAAGCATGTTTTCCTTCCAGATCATTATTTTAATTAAACCTCGAGTAAGAGGGAGTCAATTGTATATTGGATTATGGAAATGTAAGAAGATTGGGTCATTACTTGAAATTGCAAAGAACAAAAATCAATCTTAATGAAATCTTGAAGGAAATTTTGCTTTGGTGATTTATTTGATATCAATACTAGACAATATACCTGAAGATAGTTTAACAGAATAAACACAAACATGCAGATAAAATGTATTGTACTCACATTCCCAGCATATCAGGGTTGCTCTTGATATTATTTAGTATCTCAAGAAATTCAGGATCTTTCATAAATTCCTTTGTTGAGGGATCAGCTAGAAGCTTTGCTTGCACATCTGCACTATCAAATGGGCTGGCTAAAATCGTAAATTTGCATACATGAATACACAAGAATACTTTAAAGCCCGTGTTTATCAATGTGATTATCAGCAACTACGAAACTGAGCTGATTACTATTGTGAGTTCTTTAAAATTTAAAAGTCAGTGAAATAGCATCATTTTTATAGATTTCCTATGTGCACACAGAAAGCAAAAAATTTGCATACTGATGAGGTGAAAGTACTATGAGTGAATTTATAGAGAAAACTTAAAGGCTAACATAAGATAAATTTGACTTGCAACGAAATTCAAGAAAATATTAATAAAGTATTTGTAGTGTCTGAAAATTCAACTCTCTTGGTTGTAATACACATGGGTCTAAAGATTGTGTTACAATATGTATAATTAATGATGAAAATAACACCCAGAGCATTTGCTAGAACATTTGGTCTGACCAGTTTTATACTATTGCTTAGACAGTTTGATAATTTAGGATTATATGATCATCCTAACTAGTACATGCTGCTAATATGTGTCTTTCTAGAAGGATTACTACCTCGCTTTTGTCTATTGGAAGATGATGTGGTGATACGACTTTTGACATCCTCCAAGCCACTTTTGAGTTGCTCGTTGTCTGCATCATACTTCAAACCATCCTCGTAGGCTTGCTTGGCCTCAGCATATCTACCCAAATAAGTGAGAGCAGCTCCAAGCCTTGAGTATCCCTGAATTCAAATTATTAGTTATTCAAATAATAAGCCATCAAATTTTGTGCAAATTCAAAGAAATTTAACAATGTATTTGCCTCATGAAAGTGATTTCAATTTACAATCTTATCTTAATAGCTTGAACCCCCCGATAACTCAAACTTAATTAATTCAAATTTTGAATTATTGGCACTTGATTAGCACCCTCAGCTGTTTATTTATAAAAGCACCTGTTAACTTCAACCCCTTATAACTATGCTCTGATATGCTCTGGGAAAGAGAAATTCTACTATTTGAATTTCATAAATAATGCTTTCTTTCACATAAAGTTTTGTTGATAACACAAAACATAATGTGTAGTTTGTAGGTAACCAAGGCAGATGGTTAACATGCGAACTGACATTGAGGCGAGCGTGGAGGCGCATTACTCAATGTACCTAACTAAGCACAATAATAGCAATAATTACCAAAGAATATAATCCTAAAATGTTACACTCAAGATTGATTTTTTTGGCAGTTAACATTTGCAGTGAAATTAACTGTAGAATGACTTCAAAGAAATTGAAATTTGGCTTTTGAAAATTGTGCACTTTTCATTTTTTGCAATATCTAAAAATTTTCTAATATCATTTTTGACATAGTATACTAATCAATAATATCTTCTGGTTTGCAAAGAACATCTAAATCTTTATCTTGCTTTTGGATATATACATGTATCCTTTGGTATGGGCCTCAACAGTGACAGTAGTTGTCAAAATCATATATGTAATTGATCTTGTTGAACAATCAATGATAATGAAGAACTTGCTATAACTTGACATTATAAACTTCCAATAACTTGAAGTTATATTCACTTTTCCCTAAAAGCTTTATCATGTGTCTGCTGACACAAAAATTTATCAAATTTTTTCAGTAAGTTCACTTTGATGCTGAAATTATCAGTTTGATATTGAGTTTTTCAAAGCTTTTGACAGGAAGCCTCTCATCTCTTTCATACTTAGCAATCAAATACAAACTCCCTTCTAATCATAAATCCACACCAAGACCCAAGATAAGTGAGATTGTGTGCATTACCAGATTATTAAGCAAATGCAATGGAAGGACAATCAGCATGCCTCCTCTGCTTTATAGCATTGCCACAGAAGCCTTGAATATATCATTAAAAGACTACACAGAACCTACCTTCCCCCACTGAGGGTTTAGTTCAACTGTCCTCTTAGCATCTACCAATGCTTCTGAGTATTTCTCTTGCTTTGCAAATGCTGCAGATCTGTTGCTAAACAAAACATGGTTTTTGGGGCACAGCTCTATGGCTTCTGAGTAGCATTCAATTGCTTTGCCAAAATCTCCTTCTTGAAGAAATTTATTTCCTTTAGATTTCAATTGGTTAGCCTGAAAGACAAGTAACAATGACCAAATAGTACAAAAACTTTCCTAATAACTGTAAGATTTTAATGCACATATTGGAACAAATAAAGATATGAATTACGTAAAAATTCGCGAATTCATTCCAATTTGATATTTCACAAACAAAGGGGCTCCAGCAATAAGTAAAATGCAAGACGGACTAAAGGTTTTAAAAAGATTATACAAACTGGAAATACTTTTTTCCAGATTTTAGTAGATGCAATTGGCACAAAAAACTAATAATGACAACTGTTACTCAAAGATTTTCTATCAATTTGTACAATACATTTCAGCCATGGAACAGTACATCTGCGACACAGATGAGCATGCTGTCTGAGAAGTTTACATCTCCATGACGGTGAAAGAATAAAACTTCAGACTGCTTAGCATGAAAGATAATAAATTTGCTTCGATTTTGCAATGTATCCTGTTAAGTTAAGCAGTGTAATCAAAAGCGATCAACATACCTCTTCCTCTGCCATCTCGACAACCACTTTCTCCCTGGAAATTTAAAAGAAAGTTCTAGTAATCATGCTTTCCCTTAGCCTCGATTTCAAAGATCTTGTTGTTGTTGTTGCTGTTTATCTCCTGTCTTCTGGTTGCTGCTTTGTCTTTCTGGAAACCTGGAAACAGTGTACCTTTCTCTATTTTTGTGTTTTGTCTTCTCAAATTGTTAGCAGCTAAAAAGTGTGGGATTGGAGTTTGCAGAAGGGTGCACATCCTAAATAATTTTCGGATATGTTTTATAAAATTGTGGACATTTGCGTGAATGTGATTTTTAGACCTTAAAATTATTTGGTAGAGCTCGATGGTCAATCCATGAACTTCTTCTGGAACCTTCAGAGTCCAAAAAAATTATCAACCTTCCTCCGGCCAAAAAATCTTACTATTAAACATTCCTTATGGGTTTGAAATGGGCGTGTTTAGAAAACGGGGTATACAACTAGTCTTGATCTCTCTCCTTGCAGTTGCAACTCTGTTCTTTCAAAACTTTACTAAAATTTTTGATCTTGTTTTCAATCATAGATATTTTTAGAAACTGTTGTAATGTAATATGCTCATATCGATTAATAAAAAATCGTATAATTCAAAGAAATTAATTATAAAAAGTTAATGCCTAAAATTCGCAGTGCAAAGTAGCTTTCTAAACATAATCTTAAAAACAGGAGGTTTTTGAATTTTATTTTGATCTTTGTCATTTTTTCATGGCGGTATTTTGAAAATCAAGAGACTTTCAAATTTCTCAACCTTTTAAATTTTTGGCCACATTCCTTAGTTTCTCTTTGTTTTTATAACCTTCCTCCGGCAAGTGGCCACGGTGATCCTTTCCTGACTCGGGGAACTTACATAAAAATGAAAAATCCCTGCCCTACGCGCTTCTTTATAAGAACACTTGGCCTGTTGTTTCTTTTTTCGCATAATCTCAGTCTCACCCTTTTTTTATTTTCTTTTTAATTCTTTATTGGAAATTCCTGTACGTAGGTACCGGACATAGCACGTGCTGGACAAAGTAATTAAGATACTTTGATTAAAGCTTTATGATGTTCTGTTGCTATTCTTTCATTTTTCACTGTTCGCTGGTATTTATATCTTGAGCTTTGTTGAATTTCAGCCTGTCTTGATTTTGATGTTTTTCTAATTTTTGGGCAAATTTCAGCCTGATGTTTCTTCTGAGGGTTGCTTTATAAAAAAGGCGTGTAATTGGAAATATCTTCTCAAGGCATTTAAAACTGTTTGGGTTACCTTAACCATAATGTTACTGCGTTTTTGATTTACCTATTTCGATCCACAACTTAACATTTTCTAGCTTCACACTTATGATTCATAATGTCATTTTATATTGTACGGCACGCAAGGTAGTATATTTAAGATAGTCAAGCTTTGACAAAGATCTAACACTTATCGAAAGCTTTGATCAGGTCAGACATGCATAAGGGTCTTATACAGACTCCCGTCACGAAAGTATCCGAACAGTTTCGAATTTAGTTGCGAATCTGTTGTTAGAAAAAAGAGTTTACAAATTTAAAAGGCAGTTTTCATGCAAACTTCTTTATTAAATTTTCCAATTTTTTTCTTGAAACTTCTTTGGCCGTTGCACTATTTTTTCGTCAAAACATCTATGGTATTGATAGGTACGCAAGCTTTGTGATGGATATTTGTCAATGGGGTAGCGACCAGAACAAAATTATTGACTGATGAACAGTGTTTAGGAAAAATGTTTTATCACAATGATGAGAAATGTTATCATTGAATTGCTTTACCATGGAATGCACAAAGACTGCTGCTTTCAACATAATACTGCAGGGGCGGATCCAGAGGGGTGCGAAGGGGGCTCGAGCACCCCTCAGATTTGAGGAAAAACTTTTTGGGGATTAAAGCTTATTCTATCGCAATTTTGTTTATAATTATTTAAACCATTTATTATCTCTTTTACCGAGAAGTATGCACATCTCCTGAAATTGTTATATCCACTTCAATGCCCCGTCTCACAACTGTTCAACATTGTTATTTCAGTCCATGCATTGAAGTGTTATCAAACTCCCCCTGGTTGTACTGTATAGCATTCTACAGACTCGGAAAGCATTGTCTCCTCTTATAACCAGCCACTTGAGGAACCCGTGGCCTGTAAATTATACGATTTTCTGCACCCGTGGAAGTGAATCTGGCCAATCACGGTGCCAGGTCGAGGGGTTCTAAACTTTGGCGCGAGAACCCATGGATTTCAAAATCCAAAACATCAAAGAATACCGACCAAACCAGGGGGAGTTTCTTCGCTTCAATCTACAGTCAAATGTATAGTGGTTTTATGACCAGGGGGAGTTGAGCTTGAACAGGGGGAGTTGAGGTTGACCAGGGGGAGTTGAATTATGATACAGCACGCGACGAATGCTTAGGTGAAGTGCAAATTTGCAATTTTCGTAGGTCTTTTGACGATCTTTACCTGGTGCTCGATGCTGCAACGGCAGAACTTGTAAACGCTTTGGTTTATATAGCAGAACGGTTTCAAGTTTCAACTCCGTGTTTCACGTCTTATTCATAGACCATGAGGTATGATTTACATTCAGAGGATAAAGCTTGCCCGAGCCCTTGTTATTCTTTTGTTAATCATTCAAGAACTACATACAAAACATTTCAAAAACTTGCCCATACTATTCTTGACCAAAAGGGGTTTTCTTCTTGTTCCTACTTATATTCCTACGAATACTTTTTTCTCTAAAGATTTCAAATTCATAAAAATACTCAAAACGGCAGGCCCAGGCGAAACGTTCAGGGCCTCATTTGTTTGGTTTGGTATCATATGTCGATGCATGCCATGCATGCTGTGTTCGAATCCCTGTGTTCAACTTTTGTCCGACTTTTTTCTATTGTTCTATTGTCTCTAATCACGTGCACTGCACTTCAAGTTCAAGGGCTTCATTCCACCAGCCATGATCAAGTTCTAATAAATGGCTGCAAAGAGTCAAAAATTAAACTTTGCTTTGGAAATTTGTGGGCTCGGGCCTTTTGCCACTGCGGGCAATGATATCATATTTGGCTACAGTTTCTATACTTTTGTACCCTAAGTGAATATGAGGGGGAGAGCTGCAAATTGCGTTTGGCATAAAAGCTGAAGCCAAAGTTCCAAGTTCTGATCAAAGTGTAGCAAAAAATTACTACATCAATCAAGGCATCCATATCCAGGCTTTTTAGTTTATGGAAGACTTTCATTTCATTATGGCTTATCAGCAGGGGGTGTACGGAGTTTGTGCATAGCAACACCCTTGGTTACCAAGCCTTACGTTTTAGCACCCCTCAGAATAATTTCTAGATCCGCCCCTGTACTGGATGACAAGAAAGAGATAAAACAACTTGTCTTCACTTCTTGCAGGTTGTGACATTCAAAGAGGGGAGGAATTTGGGTATAACCAGGTACCGCTTTTTGCTTGAACCGTCGATAAATGTGAAACAATTTTCGTCCTCTCACTCCAGAAAATGCTAGTTGTGATTCAGGGGCGGATCCAGAGCAAACTTGAAGGAGGGGCAGTTAATAATGGGGACGCTGGAAATGTTTCAATAATTGGTCACGAGAGTACGCTGTATACAATAATTTCAGATCCATTTTCGGAATAAACAACATAACTTTGAGGTAATTCTTGAAGAAAATTAACCTATTGGTCTCAGAAACTTTTTCACCTGATTCTTATTCTTCAAAAGGGGCGCACAGTTTCCGAAAAAGAGACGCCAGATTTGCTTCAACTCGTCGAGGGAGGGGCAACTGAGCCTAGTTGCCCTCTCTTAAATCCGCCACTGTTGTGATTCAATTTAACTAGTGGTTATATAAAAAGAGTATATGACATCTCTTTTTATAAGGTATGCAACTGCCAAATTTGTATAAAATAAAAACATTCTTTTCCATGTATAATATTCTTTTTCTTCCTTTTTGTTATTTCCATAGTATTTTATTTGTATTTAAATTTTTTTGCCAATAGTTTTTCTGAATTAGTTTTATTTTTCAAAACTATTTAAAAAGTAACACTAAAGAGTTTCACAAAATTGATAATAACACTTGTAGTGATTCAATTAAGGCCATTTTACATAATCCATTATTGCTTTTTCTACATACCTACGCAATTCTACATTCCTCTTTCTTCATGCTAATTACATTTCATTCAGTGGTGGCGCTAGGTTTCCTCCGACAAAGGGGCTAGCACTTCCGACGGAGGGGCTAATTTTTTTAGAGAACGATAGGGCTAGGGGGCGACAAGGAATTGTAAGGGTACTGGAGACCGAAGGCGAGCGTTGCGAGCCGAAAATTCGGGGGGTCCGGGGGTACTCCCCCGGGAAAATTTTGGTGGCTACACCCATTAGATTGGCTAAAAATGCTATCAAAATGGTGTAATCGTGTTTTTTACTACGTTTTTTGACATATTACTAAGGGCACGTTTGCCCCCTCCCTTGCCCCTCCTAGCAAAGGGCAGGAGGGGCGCTTGCCCCCCCCGCGCCCCCCTTCTCCGGCGTCCCTGGAAATTTTTTTTGAAAGCTGCCTCTAGATAAGCTTAAAACTACTCTAAATCTTTACAACTCATCAAACGTTGCCAATTCAAGTAGGGCCTATCTTTGGAAAGTATGAATTTAAATAAAAAGCAACCAACTGAACTTAAGGAAAACTGGAACACAACGTAACTTTATAGGAACAGACCTAAGCGGTGGAATACGCACTTCTACATATCGAAAATTCAAGTCCAAGAATCAAAATTGTTTCACAGAGCAATTCTACTCTTCGGGAACTTAGCCTTAAATCTGTCTTTTTTCTAATTTCCGCCAAAACTTAAAAAATTCGCTCCGACAAAAAAAATTCAAGCATAATTTATCTTCCGACGGAGGGGCTAGCCTCCTCCGACGGGGGGGCTGTAGCCCCCCCTGCCCCCCCTCTGGCGCCACCACTGATTTCATTTCATCCTAATCAATCACACCATTGTTACCCATCAAGCACATCATCTCCTTTGTGTAACGCTTAATCAAATTTGCTAGTTTTTTATATCAATACGCACTTTTGTAATTTATAATCAGTCAGTAGAAATCACGTTACACACACAGTTTGCATCTCTCTGGCTCCGTGTCCTCTGCACGTTAAATAAGATCGCACTTGTTGAAAACAGTACGGTTTGTCATTTAATAGAAAATTTAGACAATCATCGATCGATGTTCCGATGAACACTAAACACTCGAAAAGGTGTATAAAAAGATTACTGTATGTAACCAGTAACCAAAGAAGCCCTGGCTCTCTGGCTCCGTCAGTACGAATCTCGTTTCAATTCTGGTCTCGATCCTGTCCATTTTAGGAAATAAAAGTATTGCAAGATCATGGTCAACTGCTTATGGAACATTTATTATTCGATTTGATCATATTCTATAGAAGATTCAGTTATAATGTAAGAAAGGGTAACAGTTCACTCTATCGAAGAAGCTGGTTTGCGCTTTAAAATGTCACCAGCACCATCAGATATCCCTGTGCGAAAAGATGATGGTGAAGAAGAAACTCAAATCAACAACATAGGCAGTAGTACCATCACAAACATCGAAGAAACTCAGTCTGAAGAAAGTAGTGACGATGAAAGTGACCAGGATGATCCATACAATGGCTATGTGGCTCTAGAACAGCAACTCACTGAAGAGGAACAGCAAACCACTTTTGGCGAAAATGATGAGAATGCTAATGACCATGAGGCCCAAAGGAGAAATGCAGCCAACGACACACCACCAGTGGGTTTCAGGTTCTTTTTTATATCGGCATGCTAAGTTATAAAACATAATAAAGCCAATATGTTCATATTCCCCAAGTACGTTAACAATGGCTTTTAATTTTCTTGAGATTAAGCTTGGACTAAAACTGACCAAGCTAGCTTACATGATGTTATCGCAGCTACCAAGGATTTCTTGCGCTTGCACTTCACTGTAAGCGTTGACGATAAAAGTTTCCAGCAAACAAAATATTTTAGGCCGCACCTATTTTACTGTCAGAAAAGGTCAGTTTACAAACAAGGAACGCCAATTTTGCCAGTAAGGAAAGCTTGTGAACAGCTTCCTTTACCTCTAAAGGCAGTTTCAAAGTCATAGGATTACACCACAAACAATACATTGCCAAAATATTATCCCTCCCCTAATATTATCTCATTGAATTTAGACAAAATACAAAATTGATCCTGCTGAGACGCATCCTTCCCGTGGTGCCACTACTGATCCCCCCTAAAAGTGCATGAATAAATAAACTGCAGAAACACCTTATATTATACTATAGTTGTGTATATATGAGGGTTACCTTCCTTATGTAGAAGCAGCACCCAAGACCAGACCCATAGTCACACCCTACATTCTTGCATTTATTGTAAAGATTCTCTGTTGTGTTTATGAGATCATTCAAACAATTAAATGACTTTAAAAAGCTAAAAAAATTGCTATTTTATTGAAAATCAACAGCATAATACTGTAATTGGGGGTTAATTCACATTTTCAAAAAGAAAATGGGCCAACAAACATACACTGGCTTGTTAAGTGGGGGGCTGATATCCAAAATCTCTCTTAATCTTAACAAGGGTGCAGAGTCCCCCAAGCTCCCCTCCATAGCAATACTGATCTTGGTTTTTCTGATGTATTTTTCCCAATCTCTAGATTATGCATTGAGGGATCACATCCCCCAGAACAAAGGACTATTGATAGTCTAGAAATTAGCTACATTTTTCAAAATCTGCTTTCATTTTAATTTAAATGTGCTTTATATTTTAATAACCCACCCTTATTGAGCTTCTAGTTGGCAGGTTTTAGGAAAATAGTTTTGTTGTCCTTACTTGATTTTCATGGTTGTTTCAACAACATTCCAAAAAGATTTGATTCAATGCAAATAGTTATCTTGATTCTTGTTTTTTATGAATTTTCAGAGTGGTATTCCATCTGGTACATCAGTAGATTCATCAGTGCCACAGGCAACCATGTCATTCGCAGTTCAAAATTTTCAGATGACAGATTGTGAGTGTATTTTCTTATTTCTTGTAAACATTCCTTCATCCTTTTTTCCATTTTTAACTACTCACTGATTAAACTTTTGTGCAGGACATAAGATGCTCCATATTAGATATTAGTCAGCACTTAACTTTCATATCATTATAGATTGAAAGTGTATAATTTGTTTGTTCGAATGTACTTATTTGGATTCTTTCCCAAATGAACTGTAGGTACACCATTAGATTAGCACTGTATTGCCAAAAATGTTACAGTGTTGAGATGATGAACTTTGGAATTAATTTCTATTTAATTCAAAATGAAAACCAGTTATTGTGGATTTATTACAAGCAGAAAAATGAAAAAAATGTACAAGAAATTATTTTCACACTAAGACCAACATCTTAATAACTATTCTTTGTGAAATTTACTATCGAGTTCTAGAACTTTGATGCATCATTCTGAATTCTAGCCCAAGCAGAAGCTATCAAAGAGGCTATGGCTGGTTTCAACCTACCAGTTAACAATATTCCTGACTGGGCCAATGTTGTTTCTGAGGATAACTGGAAGACAAAATTAATGGAAAGAATAGCAAAAACCAGAAATGATCCTTGAAGACTTGTTATGTTTTCAGATCTTGATTTTTCATTTTGTACATATAATACCTGATTGTTATTATATATAATATTTGTTGTATGGTGTTGGTTTTGAATCTCAAATGTGATGCTTACCTAAGGGTGTATTGAGAGAAAATACAAATGTGAATGCAAAAAAATAATACCCAACTTTCCAAAGTAAGTTTCTTTGGCCAGAACTTTTAATAGTTGAAACCACTTGATGATGTTTTGGACAACGATAATGAATTTATTGGAAACCAACTCTTTATAGAAACCAACTTTTTGATATATTTCAGAATATTTAGAATTATTATTAGGATGATTACTTATGAGATGCAAAACGTCTTATATTGTTTTTTTATTATTTTATCACATGGCTGGGATGTTGTCTTCTAGAAGGTGCTATTTATTAATCACTCACTCAAACACACTGCATGGTTAGGTGAATTTTTTTCTTTTGTTCCATAGGTCAGATTTTCGAATTTGGTTATTGATTCACCTGTATAATTGATATCCATCTTATACAATCTTGATTATTAATCTACTCAACTTGAGCCCTGCAACATTACAGTAAAGCAGTATGGAACAACAAATACAAACCTCTCATTTAACAACATAAAGCCTTACTAGTTTCTCCTTTGTGCATCTGTGTGCTTCCTTTTCTGCATAGTTGTTAAAAACAACATGTAGGTTGCAATAAAAAATATACCACTTCAGTTCGGACCTCATAAACCTTCAATCATTCAGCTCCTACCAACATTGAGCTTTTACTTGTAACTTGATAGATTATGTTAAAACTTTTGTATATTGGTAAACTTGAGAAATTGTTCAAAGGAAACTGAATTTTCATGACAAGAAATAATATTGGTGAAACCCTTGATGGGGAGAATAACTATGCTTACATGCACAGAGTTTTCTACAACCTGGCAAATAAATGTTTTTGATAAATTATAGAAGAACATGTTAAACAATCCTCATAATCAAGGAAAAATGAAGTAACATACAGCACTCCAAGCAAACAAAAGTGGGTGACTAAAGGTGAATTGAACCTTTAAAAATCACTAAACAAGAACATTGTTTATAAAAAAATACAAAAACAGATTAGAATACTAATGTAGACAAGACAAATCTCATTAATATCTAACAAAGTTAATGCATCGAACAAACTATAAATCTGAATTGTATGCAAATCAATTGGTTAAAAACATCACATGGAATTTCACAATTCCAATTATTTACAGCAGAAAAGTATTATTCAACATATTATCTAAAATTGATAAACTTTCGATACCATGAATTCATTTTGCATCTTTAAAATGCAACACTGTTTCAATGATGTTAAACAACTAGGAGAAGAAAGTATGAAATAATATTTAAAAAGTTCGGTATCATTAGTTTATAAAGAAGATTTGTTCAAAAGAACAAAGGGGATTTAATTTTTTGGTGCAGTAGTCATTCAAGTAACCTGTTAAGTAAGTTGTTTCCAAGCAATCATATGAAAATGGCTGAAAATTTCCAATGGTATGTCTTTCAGACAACACCGCAATAAGACAAGACTCTCAAGCAAACTATTTTTCTGAAATTTGTGCCCTGACAACAATTATTTAAAGAGGTGTCACTAACAAACAAAGAGAAAAGGTAAAACTTCTAAGAAAGGGACAATGAGGAGAAGGCAAAGATTCACAATCAAATCTTGTAAAACTCCAACAGAATGACAGTTGGTCTTTGTCTGTAAGTTTATATACATATTTTCTATTGTAAATATTTTTGGCAACACAATATTATTTCATTCAATATAAATTTGCATTATGTAATAAAAAACCGAAGTGGTTTCAAGAACTTTGTAAGCATATAAAACATCCTGAACTGACTTTTTGGTTTGGCCAGCATGCACTATGTAAAAATAAAACATTGCAGGAATGAACAAACTCTAAAAGCATGTTCTTGTAACAAGCATAATTGTGTCTAAGCGTAAAATTATGATCTTTAAACCACTTGCAAATGACAGGAAACTTCTAATCATGAACAAGTGGAGTCTGCCATTTCCTTCCAAAATTCTGCTAGATCTTCAAGACACTTGGATGCAAGTTCTTGTTCCTTGTCTATTGCCTCTTGCAACTCATTATCCAGAACTGTTTCAATACATCCATGCTCAGCAGTTGCAGGGAATTTTAATCTTGCTAGTCTTGTTTTCACATATTTGTTATGACGTACATCTAAAGGCATTGTTGGACTTGTTTTATTTGACGATGGAACACGACCTCTCTTTTTCGGGCTAGGCCTTTCAAAGGATAGTTTCTCATTGTTTCTCATTTCTTTTAGTGTTGATGCAATATCATCTGAAAACTTGCAAGATCTAAAAATATTGTTTACTTGCTTTAGCTGTTCCTCTAAACTTGTATCAGGTAGTTCTCCCATCAACAGTGCTTCATTTTTGTGGTGAAGACCCATCAGCTTTGGTGCCAGAACAGGCAAATGGGGTTTGGTGATACAAAGTCCATTCTTCTTTGTGAGTTCTTGGGACTAAAAATGAGAAACAGCAGAGGGATAATAACAAACTGAAAAGTCCAGTTACCCATTACGAAAATGTATCTAGGAGGAGTTTTTTTAATAAACAATTTATTTCAACATCTTATCATATTGTCTTTGTTGTGATTTCCTTCCTGTAGAGCAGAGAAATAAATTAGGTTTTGAGGAAGGGAGACACTATACTAGGCTTTTCTTTATTACAAGGGTGATTAGCTGCACATTCATAGAATCTGACATAGGAGCTAATATCTACTCCACGTTTTGTGTGTCTCATCAGCTAGCGACATTACCATAATTTGTTCTTGAAGCCCTTCAAGGCTTTCTCTAACTGCTCTTATAGTTTGTAGAGCAACCACCTTTTCAATTCTAAGAGCACAGATCATCTGTCACTCTTGCAGAATTAATTTATAGACTCAGCTTTGAATAGAAGCAACATGTCAACTTTGGCCTCAAATTTGTATCCAATGCAAAAAATTTCAAAAAGTCTTTTTGGAATGTCAACACAAATCTATAAATATTTTTTCCATAATTCAGTAAGAAGAAACCACAAATCTGCAAACTGTAATGCAAAGTTTACCCCCATAACATGATAGCTTCAGATCTTTGTGGTTTTGGAAATTTAGATTCAATCAGTCGTTTTGAAGAATATTCAAAATATGAAGGACTAAAGAAAACTAAAGAAAATACCTGGTCATAAACAATGTCAACAAGGGAAAGGAGTGCAGCAGCAAGTCCTGTTGCAGCTGAATTGATGTTGGCTATGATTGGCTTTGGATAGTGCTTAAGAGTTTGAAAAAGATACCTAGAGAAAAATAAGTTGCTTGCATAAATAAGACATATATAGCAAAAAGGTTAGCATAGACAAAAATTTAAAAACAAATTCAAAGTTAGTCTTGAGCATTGGAAATTAATGCCTACAAGTTTAGAGTTTTGAAGGAAAAGTCATCAAGTGTGATAATAAATAAAAACAGCCAAATATATTCTCAAAAATATTGAAGACTTCAATCCATTACATACGGCCACTCTAAGATCTTTTAACATGATTTCCAACAAACATGGTTTGCATCAAGCTTGGCCAGAAGACTTTTACAAGGGTAGCAGTAAACAGCTCTCCTAGTAATTTTCAGGTGAGCTATTTGTAGATAAATATGAAAAAGAGTATAAGAAAAATTGATTTCAAGGCGAGCTATTAGCTTTTTAGAGTAATTAGCTATTTAGCCTTGCTTGCAGTAGGCTTTAATTAGCTTTATGAAAACATGATCTTAAAAAGGCAAATAATACAATCAAAGCACATTCCAAGCCTGGAAGTACCTTCAAACCAGCATAGAAACAATAAGCAATCAATACCTTAAATTAGCCATCTTCTCATCATATCTTGTCTTTTCAGATTCTGCAGGGAACTTTATCAGTTTTTCCATGTCCATTGTTGATGAAAAATAATCTTCTAAGCCAGAGATAACAACCAATTTACATTTTTCATCTCCAATTCTCTCCTCTAATTGTTGAATCAAATTATCACAAGTTTCTGACCTTATCCTTTTTGACCTTTTATCTTTGTGCTTCAAAATTATTTCAACATGATCAGATTCTAATACTTCCAGCTCTCCGTTTCGGGAAACAAAAACAGTTGCGGCATCAGGAACATACTCTTTCAAAGTCTTTATGTCTATTGGGTTTGCCTTCTCATCTGGTCTAAATTGAAGCTCATCACTGCTATCACAAGAAAAATGTTCATCACCATAATCATGAACATGATCATAATCAGAGTCTACATGTCTCAATAAACAATTCTTTGATACATCATGGTTCAAGTTTTCTTCATCACATACAATAGATAATTTATACTTCATTTTTTCTTTTAATTCCTCATCAAGCAAACTCTCATCAATAACAGGGGATTCATCAAGTTGCTCATCCAAGTTTACCTTGTCTGCTGAGGAATGATGAGGACTCATGTGTTGAAACAAACTTATATTCTTCATATCAACCTCTTCAAATAAAGTTGCTCCATCACTTATAAAATTTCCTTTATTGTTATCACAAATTCTATTGTCTACAAAGTCTGAGGGTTGAGGCTTCCTTGGTTTCCATGAACTGGTAAATGTTCCAAACCAAGAAGATGGTAGTCTGTGTAATATTGACAAGTCTTGATTCGGACATGAAAAGTATTCTGAGACACTAGACAAAGGGGCATCCATTTCTGATAACCCAATCCAATTACTAGTTTCATCCATAAACTGCACAAGAACCTGTGGGCTGCTTGAATCACTATGCCGAACACCTAACACATATTCAACATTTACATACTTATTTTCATTTGAATTCTCATCTTCTTTTTCACAACTAACAAAGTCATCTGATTTTGAAAGAGCTCCTGATTTTTTATTAGAGACATTGCATCTCCGTTTTCCTCTTGCAGAGCTTGATTTGGATACCTTTCTATTGTCCCCTTGCACCAAATCATTCTTTTCCATCTTTTTTCTTTTCACTGGTTTCATTTCTGTTACATAATCATAATCATTATTCCGTTTTAAACTCCTGTTAGTTCTTTTGGGCCTTTTTTCTAAAAGGTTTTCTTGAACACCATTTTTTTTGTCTTTTACTAATTCATCACAATGACAACTTCTTTCTAACTGTTCTTCCGATAGCATTGTGCTGCAATTGCAAGTTTCTGCCCCTATGCTCTTTTGTAACACCCCTGCCTCCGTATTATTAACAGTGGAAACTTGGCTTGAATAAATAAACTTCTTCTCAAAATTTTCCACTAAGGCATCTATGTGTACTAACTGACTTGCTGCAAAACTTAGAGAGTGATTATCCATGTGTAAAGTATGTAGCTTTTCAAAACTACATTGTCCATTTTTTGGTAAATTACTAAAGCTAGCATTTTTCGTTTTCAGTTCTTCTATTTTCTCACAATCAATGTCAGATTTAGAGTGAATGGTATCAGGGGTTAAATTTAAAACGCTAGGCCTACTTTCAAAAGTTCTTTCGTCCTGGCGGGAGATGCTCTTTTCATAACCACAATGGCTTGCTGCAGAGGGCTTGGTCCGCTTTTTGTTATTCAATAAATGTCCATTCCAATCACCGTTTTTCTTGACACGCACAGGCGAAATTTCTTTATAATTTTTGCTTGAAACCTTTTCTGAATCTACGTTAAGTTCTTCAATTAAATTATCGATGTCTTTGTGCTCAAGTGTTTCCTTTACGGATAACGCATTCAAGTTCGTTCGATTGTCCGTTTTAACGCCATCTTCGATTTTACCCTCGCCATTTAACTGTTCTACACATTCTTTTGGCTTCTTGCGAGAACGATGCTGCTCTTGGTGTTTTTCATTGGTACCATTTCGGCAAAAATCGCTAGAGACTTTATGTAAAATACTGTCGTCTTCACAAGGTTTGCATTCATCTACTTTCGCCGCATTCAGCTTTCCTAGCTTGTCTTTCCACGGCAACAACTTAACCTGCAAGCCTTCCTCCATGTTGCTTTGTCTCGCCACATCCATACCACGAACTTTAATTTCGCTGGTCGACTTAGTCCGAGTCGAGCGCTCATGCAATCTTGTTCCAAACAGTCGACCAGTCCTGATCAAAGTCTTGTCAAAATACAAAATAACTTGACTCTGCTTCGAAACACTACGAGAACTTTTTCTGAGGCAATAGGCCTGTTCAGCTTGCTTCTCCTCTTTTATTGTTCTATTATAGACTTTACAACCAGAGCGAAAGGTGCTGTTCAATCGAGTCATTCCAAATTTCCAAAGACAGCGGACAATTCAAAGCCTGCAAGTTTCATCGATGCAGAAAGCGTCTTTACACCTCAAGGGAATAAAATTGAGTCCTTAAACATCAAATCCCTCTGTCTCTCCTAACTATTTACGTCCCCTGATTAGTGCTGTGAAGCTGCCTTCAAACTCCGTCCTACAGTTTCGCGGCCATTTTGAAAATGCTACGCTGAAGGCGGTTAGATATTGTTGTTGTCTTCTATACGCGTGAAGCGTGTGCACGAGACTCAAACAAAAGACAGCGATTAGGAACAAAAAGAACACGCGGAACAAAAACAAAGCAACGAGTCAACACCAGCAGCGTGCGCCTTCTGTTCATTCAAATAAAATTCATGTAACTGCGTGGCAGTAGCAAAGGATTGGAGCCAAATCGAAGTTTTTAACTTTACACCTTCTTAGGTTTAAAATGAAAAAAGGAAATCTTGTGCATAAAAATACATTAAACCGAATAAACTGGAAAATCAAATTAAGCAGCATATTACGTTAATCACGGATAAAAATTTTCTGACGCTCTTGGCTTCTTTGTTCCGAAGAACAAGTTTGATTAAAAACCTCCTTCACAGCAACTGTGGCATTCATGAAGACTGATCTATGAAAAGATATTAATATTGAAAAAAGTTGTTGATACACGTTTCGTTAAGAAGAAGAGACTGCTAATTTTTGCTGTAAACCGGGGACTCTAAACTCGTTGAGCTCAAATCTCAAGGCCAATGTTTTGTTGGTAGACAAGGAAACAGAAGTTTTTCATTTGCATTTCATTCCCTTTTGCATTCAAAACAAGCTTTCTTGGAAATTTCACGAGAGAGAGGCTACTGATAGACATCTAGAACATGAATCCGTTCGACAATGATTGAAATTACTGACTCCTAATACACATCAGCGAACATGGGAGGAATTCTGCTGAAATGGACCTATATTATCTGTTGAAACGACAAATCAATAATACGCTGTTTGCTAACGAAATGAACTAAACCTGCCGAAGATCAGTGCTGGTACAATACGTTTATAAAACAGCACGTTTCGTGCCTCCAAAAGTACCTGTGTTGTTAATCAATACACGCTTAGTTTTTCTAAACGAATCTACTGTCATTTCAAGACCTGTTTCAATCGCACTGACCTGCTGATACTTTTGAATTCGGCTAGCTGTTTCAAAAGAACTTAGGCCAAACGTTAGTTGGAAAATTCAGATTCATTACTGTATTGGTAGGACAGCAGTGACAAGAACCTGGAATGTTTTTCAGCAAAGACTCCCATGAATACAATTCATATCCGCACCAATTTAAATTTAACTTCATATTTGGTCATTATCAAGCGTTTTTTGCTACGAGGTTCTCAGGCAAACGACAAGTTTCACTACACACATCAAAGAAAATACTAGGCACAGATATTCTCTGTGTGATTGGAAAACCTCCCCATTATACACAGCCTTTGGATTTGAATAAAGGAACGAAATAGTGACATAATCTGTACAAGAAATGTCAAGGTTCCTTGTTGCATCGTTGCTTATTCTCTCAATGCAGTAGCTGATCCGTTTCCGACTTACTTTCACATCAATTTAAGCAAATTGATGAGATAAAATGAATATTTTCATTTTGTTCGTTATGTGAGTACTATTCTGAAATAAAATGAAGGCACCTTAACTCCACTGCAGGAAAGTGAGTCTAGAAAGTTTTTCATGTCTTGCTGCGAATAAGCTAGAACTTTGAAAACCTTCCTGAGAGAAACAAAAAAAAAACAAAATTGGCGCGATAGCTGAAACTTCTCTCCATTCTCCTTAACCACCCCCCCCCCTCAAATTCCACAGACTCTGGTACCCAGAGTAGGTTAATGTTCGATTCATAAAGGATACGTCTTCGCACCTAAATGGTAAAAGACCCTCCAAGGTTGGGTTCCAAAAACGACTAAACTTGGTTTTATTTGTTCATTAAAGCATCACTAAAGAAGGATTGAATTCTTCTGTAATTAAAACTGTAATTCCTTAGTGCCACAAGTCAGAATCTCGTTTGCAAGGTTTCGAAGCGGTGTGTATGGGATAGAACAATTTTCATTATACCACGCATGCCTAAGTGATCTTCTCATACCAGACTGGGTACAGTTGTGTAATGTCAACAGTACCCCTATCCTATAGGAAAATGGCAGTGCCACGATAGCGTGGTGGTAACAAGATATCACGTAGTACCAAGTAACTGACTGGGTGACAGGGTGTCTATAAAGATGCAGTGGGTAAAACTGCAAAGATATTCGTATAGAAACAATATCAAGATACGGCGAGTTTCCTATTTTTTACTCATCTTGACCAATACACATTTCAAATTTAGCATATCAGACCTCTCTCTAAAGGGGAACAGAACGGGATGAAGCTGAAATATCTACTGGTCTAGAAAGAAATGAAATTTTTAGAGGCATTCACAATATAAATTTGCGAGAAGCTACCCTAAGCATCAGACTGTCGGAAAAATTCTGAGCTGTCTTTCCATCACACGAGCACACTCAATTTCTATCATATAAACAAGCAATGGTTTGCCGTACTTGGATAAGAATCACCCTTTCAATAATAGGTCACGCCCAAACTGAAAATGCTCTATTTATCAATTTAAAGGTTTTTTTAATATTTTCAAATATGCGTAAAGGCAAGCTAAGAAAATTTCTCCATAATCGAAATAACTCCTATCAAAAAAGGTTTGTGCCACTGGTTAAATATCGATCAAAAGGCAAAAAGTGACTGGAAAATTCAAAATGTCGGGACGCTTATGTTGGAATAGTAACAAATCAAACTTGGATACTACGCAGAAAATGATTTATGTTTCAAGTATTGAAGATAACAGTTAAAATTTGTCAAGTTATTATTCTACCGAATCAGTTGAAAAAGAGATTTATCTAACGTGTACCATTTTATAAATGTTGTCAGTCCTCGTGGAAACTAGGGTGAGGTAATTTTTAGCTGACACAGAAAGTTTCTGGAAATTGTGTAATTTTACTTCCTGTACAAAGATCAGTTAATCATATTTCTCTTTTAATATAAAATAGGCTGGATACAATAACCGGACCAGCAACAATAAGGGATCGAATCCCTTTTTGCTGCAGATGTCGCCCAACTATTCTGCATGCTTTTCGCGTATATTGAGAAATTTTGCCGGGCAGATTCTAAAAAAATAGGCCTGCATCGAACATCTCTTTGCCCCCCCCCCTGTAGAAATGAACCGCTGTGATGCCCCTGAATGATCTTGATAGAAACCACAAATTCAACTTTAAGATTCAATTTTAAAATACACTAGATACTTCATACAAACTATTTCTATCACATACTTAAATACAGTGAAATTAGCAATGTGTAATGAGATAATCAAAACGTTGCTATCTACCCTGCGTTATTCTCTTCAACGAAGCACGTAAAGCGGTCAGAAGCATGCCAAAATTTCTTTTATACCACTGCCTAGGGAAAAAGTTGAAAATTATGAAGATTTTAAACTTAAAGTTTACAGTGCTTATGAAAAATTTAGTAGGTGAGGGAATTGTTGGAAAAATCTCTACAGATTGCTTTATAAAAACGCTGCTTTCTGAGGTTTATCTTCGCAAATGTTTATTTGAAATTGGCTACCGTTTTGTGGATCTGCGACGTGTGAAACATTATGACTTAACGGTGTTAAAGCGCAAGCAGCAGATATGTTTTTAAGATTATGTGTCTTTATTTGGAAGGAAACCAAGGTATACGAAAGATCGGTTTATTGTAATTTCTGAAGGTAGTTTACAAATAAATGTTGATATACCTATTATAATCCATGTGCATTTTGTAATGCCTGTCAAGGAAATCCTTGTAAAACTTTGACATCTCGTCTGACATATCTTTTTCTACAATAAAGACATTAACATTGACACATAAATTGAAACACACCAATGCTGTACTCTAAATATGCTAAAGATATCCAATCTAACAAATTTTTCATAAATCAAAATATGAAATTAGTCGATTTTTGAACCAAATAAATCATTCAAGAGTCACGTAATGAAAAGATAGACCTACAACCGTAAAATGAAGCGCAAAAGAAACGGGAAGTTAAATTAGAGAGTGAATCTCTAATTGCTTATTAGAATAGGTTTGAACCTGGGTTTCCATCATCAATTCTGCATCGATATAATTTGTTTTAGTTTTATTCATTTGCTTCATTGTATGAAACTCTCATTCGAAACTGTTATAAAATCTATCATGAGAGCAAGGTTTTTAGGGTAAATATGATTATTTGATTCTTTCGAAAACTTTCAGGCGATTTCATGAAGAAATTTGAGAGAGGGCCAGAGATTGAATAGCAATAAGAAACTTCAACAGTTGGGAAAAATTTAAACTGCAACTTCTTTCCATTCCAAATCTCCCGAGAAAATAAATGAGCAACTCCTACTGTTAAACGTCCACCGTGAATAAGTGACCAGGGAAAAAGTCGAAATATTGAATCCTTGCCGTATACGCTTTTTTTAATCCTTACAGTCCCTCGCTCTACGTCTGACAGAATTTCCATCTTGCATGAAAAATGAAATAAATCTGATAGTGTAAACAGGGCCTAAATTTATGATTTGTAGACGACATATTTGAGCTGAAAAATCATGGCGACCAATTAGGACACTACTTTACTGCCTCTTTCATTGCAATGATTGGCATGCACAAAGGAGCTTGTGATGGCATAGTGAGGTAATCCCAACGTAAAAGAATAACTTGAAATTAACTTACCTGATAAACTGCCTGAATCTGCCATCCTTCTTGTGAAATCTTTCTTTTCCTAATATCAAAATGTAAACAAATTTCTTTCTTTTTATTGCATGAAAAATATATTGGCATAAATGCAAGAAAAATTATATATATCCCCACCCCAACATATCCCCAATTTTTGTGAAAACAAGGTCCATGCGACTTTTATAAAAATTGATGAAAATGTATTTGGTAGGGGTAGACCTGGTATAAGGCATTGAAATGCAGTAAAAAAGGCGCTACACAAACCACGCCCAACACCATCCAACGCTACTTCAGTGGCACTAACACTGACTATGTTCTGTTTTAATTTTACATATTTTCAGCTTCACGTGTATTTAGGGCTCTTTGCAGCCTCAGATAAATTGTTTTTGAGCCTTGATAAATATGAATTAAGGCTGATTTTGTAATCAATCAATTTTTCTGGAGATTTCTGGCTTTATTTGTTGTTTAATTGTAGCTTTATCAATTAAAACAAAGCAGTGAGAATTGGGCCTAAGAGGTTAGGTCTGACCACAATCTATTCATCACCAAGTTTCCTAAATTGGTGATTATTCTCAGCTTGTAAGTATTTGTGATTAAGATGCATTTTGTCACTAAAATGAATGTTGGTGCTGAAGAAATTATGCTGGAAAAAGTGGAAGGTCAAACCAATATTGTTTTATTTGCAACTTGATTCGTCAGCTGAGGGTACCAGCCTTCAACCAAAAGTACTTTTACTGCTTCTACAAATTGTATTTCTTGCAAGCAAAACACCTTATTGCAAGAGGAGTCATTACCAAGCATAACAATCTTGGGGTATGGTAGGGTGATAGCCTGCATAAACTTAAAAGGTTCAGTAATGATGCCTCTCACCTGGAAGAATTTCTTGTTGTGGCTTTTCCAGAACTCATCATTCCATTCAAAAGTGTCATCTCTTTCTTGAATAAGCTTCTTGTCATGTGAATGTAGCTTTCTAGGCACAGCAAATGTGATTCTTCTCAAATTTGAATCAGAATTGGGGGGCTCAACAAGGTGATGTGTGTAGATTCTCTCATCAATTTCCTGCAACATAGATAATAGAATATAAAAAAATTACAAAGCAAAACCTAATGTTTATATCAATGACCAATACATTTGTTTATATTGGCTTGAGCATACTTTACCTTGGACCAAGAAATTATGCAAACACCACCCCAGAACACATCCACATTCTTACAGTGATGCTATTCAAAGGCATCAATATATCCCTCAGTCAAGATTTCTTTACAGTCAGATCTTTAATATTGACATTAATAACTGCAGCTATATATATACTAAGCTTTTTTTCTTATTCTTTTTTTCTAGCAGATGTTGGCCTAGATATGGTCATTATAGTCATTTAGACTTTACCATCAATAATTTTTAAGGATAGGCTCTTGCCTACTTAAGCTTACCAGCAGGATTTCAGACTATTTTCAAGAAAGATCAGACAAAAACATAAACATTCCTAATTTCTTTCAAAGCATATTACACTATGACAAGATTACTAAAGACTATAATTCACTTGATTTAGCATACAAATTCAAGTGTTTGAAGGGGTTCTCATTAGGAAATTCCATTCTCTTAATGAAGACTACGCCTGCCATCAAAAGCTTTCACTATCATCCCATGATTACTACAAATTAAAGGTATCTTACCCACCTTACAACACCATTTCAAATAAATGGAAAATTGGATAAAGTAGAGCTGGATGAACAAACAAACAAAGGTGTTGACATTGACTGTAATGAAAGTATGACAGAGGACAATGTGATAATTGTTGAGAATGATGTTAACTGAACTTCGTGATTGTTAACTGAACTTTGTTCACAAGATGTGATATTTTTTCACTTAGTAGGCATCCCTTACAACATGTTCCCTATATATGCTAATTGTGCAAGAAATTCAGACAATGAAAATTTCTGACCACAAAAGTTTAGGAAAGGTAAACATTTCAGATGCTCTTGCTGTCTGCAAAATATTAACATCCAAAATTTTTGGAGTTTAATATATTCAGTCAGTTGCAGGGGTGGCTGGCACACATATAGAGCTGCTATTAGCTTTATACAAATACCACTTTGACAACCCCCTTACATGTTGCAATACCACCCACAACTTTTTTGATGTGTAGTTGAAATATCTATTGAATGTTTTAAAGCAACACTTACTGCGACATTAATTTTCATTATTAAGCTAAGAAATCAGAAGAAATCTTCTACTGAAATGAAATTTAGCATCAAATTTTGGTTGATTATATACTAAAGCTGCTCTTAATAAGAATATCAAGGCTGCAATGAAACAAAGTACTCCCACCCAATGCCAACACCCAAGACCGAGCAGGAAGGAATGGGGGTGAATGACTCTATCTTGGGTGTTGGCTTGAAAGCACGACCTGATAGCTTAGCAGTAGAGCACTTGATGTACAAAGTCAGGGGTCGTGAGTTCGAACCTCGCTTGGGTCGGTTATTTTCCCACACTCTCTACTAATTATCCTTCAAAATTCTTAGTCTTGGCAGAGGAAAGTCAGCAAGCAAAAGGAAAAGGAGTTTTTATCATACATGTGAATAGCATGACCTAGACCTATGTTGTTGAATTTCTTAAAACGATTTTCAAACGCAAGCAAAAACATGTGAAATTTCCCAACACACACGCAAAACAATCACACTTCACGCTCACACTGAAAACAATAACACTCATAAACACCAACGCACAATAATACCTTTAGAGGCGCACCCAAACTCTCATCGAAAAATGCAGTTAACTGGTTTGTTGGATTGCAAACAAAAATAGAAAGCTTGATTTGAAAAAAGTGTAAATTTGGGCCATCAGGTGTGCAAGAGTGAACTTATATTTTTAGAAAAAATTCTTGGGAGTGCAGCTGCCAATATAGAATCCATATTGATACAGAATACAGGCTTTACGTCATCAACTGACGTCAGTATGTCATGACATGTTATGACATTAGTATGTCATGAGACATGTTATGACATACTAATAAAGATTTAGTAAAAATTACGGTCTTACTGTATCTTCTTTCAGTGGTTCGCCGTTTGCTTCATTACTTCTTGAACCTTTGAATCTCCTCTGCACTGAAATTGCTCCAGCTCCACAAAAACAAAACCGTACCCTGTCCTGCACGTCATCACTTATGAATTTACTTCCAAAACCACCTTTATAACGTGCACGGATGGTACTTTGTGATCGATATAAACTTGACTGTGATACAGAAGATAATCCTTTTTTTAGAAAATATAACAAAGGTGTTGCATATCGCCGGGCGTTACGAGCTATTGACTTTGAATTTGGCGAGTGCATCTTTCTTCTGGAATGTAATGGCGGCCGCCAGAGAAGCCTCATTTTGATGGATCTCTTTGAGGCTCGTTGCGAGGCAACAGTCACTAATAATTATTCGAGAAATATGGCGGAAGCAGCCTTAGAAAGAACATCAGTGACAGCTCAAGAAAACCGATCCGGTAGAACTACAGAAGAGGGAATTGGAAAAGAAAGTCACGGCGTTGATACAAAAATCAATGATCCATATATCGAGTCAATTGATTATTTGGAAAAGAATAACATACTATATTTATTTCAGGTAACTCTACTTTTCGCATAGAAATTTGTAATTAGGAAACCAAGAATGCAACACGTACAATAATTGCAAAAAAGTACTTGGAAAACCCAGAAAATTTTCGTGTTTACTTATATTTTTCAAAATTCTTTTCCCGAATACCCCTATTTCCGCACCCCCAAACAATTTTGATAATTCAGATAAATTCATAGAAATCGCAGAAACAACGTACTTGCTACCGAACCAACATTGTTTAAAGGGGGGGGGGGGGAATAGCTGAATTTGCCTTTTAAAACTGATGTTAGTCTAGAGTGGCGGAAATTGCGGGGGTGTTTGGGGGTGGTCAAGCCTCCTCAGGTTTTGCTAAATTGTCGGTTTTGTCGCTAAATTATTTCATTTCTCGGCAAATTTGCTCGGTTTTGTGGGCCCGGGCATTGTACCAATACTAAAGCGCATTTTTATAAATGTACCGTTTTTATTAAATTGGGCCCTAAAATGATCCACATAAACCAATGTAAAAAAGCTGCTTGAAACTGATTATTTTTAAGATGAGAAAAAAATGATTTTTTGACAATAAGGTAGCTTTTACGTGTTCAACTGACATAGATAAATGTAAAGACAAGCTCCTTTTGACTGAAAATTAATAAGATTGAATAACAACTTTGTACATTTTAAGGAAATTCTTCTTATTATTTGATGTACAAAATGCTGAATTACATTGATTATCCTTTTGACTGACTAGGTGTAGTATTTCTTGTTATCTAATGTTACTTTTGTTGTAGTGTCACTTCCGTTGAAAACCTTCAAAGCAGTTTAGTTTTCAAATCAGTGAAAAAATATAGAAAAGTTAGTAAGTACAGATCCTGAGCTTAGTATCTTTAAAAACATTAAGTGTTTTTAGTAAAAGAAAATGAATTTATTTTTCATTCAGAAACTGACTGCAAAAATCATTTACAACAAGCCAGATAAGCCATTAGAGTTCATTTTAAAGGACCTAGAAAGCAAGAAACAGTAAAACTTGGATTGAAGATGAAAAATATATTTAAAGAAGAAACATGTCACAATTGGAGGGAAAGGTTTAGCAAGGAAGAAACTCAAACCAAACAAAGCACTGAAAAGTGAATAACATGTTTAATATTTATATTAACTGTATTCAACTGGAGGAGCAAAACCTAATCAGGGGGTGCAGGGGTCATAGAGGAGGGTAGCATGAGCATGTGTCCACCCAGTTTTCATAAATGTAAAAACTTCACAATTTAAACCTAACTTATGCTATTTTACATAAATGTATTTGCAGACTTTTGTGAGTAAATTCAAACTTTTTGCCTACTCTGAAATCTTGGCCCTTCTGTATACCTGCCTCAAACTCTCGCAAATAAAATGTATTCCTGACTTTAACTGTGTATATGATACCTTTACCTTTAATTAAACCAACCAGCTGGAATTTGGTGGAATTCATGCATTATGAAATTTTTTATTTTATTTCTTACCATTTACATTTATCCTGCATCAAACCGAATACTGGTTGTGAATCTGTCAATTTCTCTGTTTTCTATTTTTATCAGATTAAAGGTATAAACCTACAATTTTAGTAAGTAAAACATTTGAATTAAGACTTGACTTTAATTTAAGTATGGACTTTAATCCTTGCAAGAGCCGTTTTGTAGTCAGAAGAGTTAAGTAAAGGGTTGTAACTTATTTTCCTTGTAATACCTGGCTATTCTTTGACTTATTCCAGGGGTATATGGGTAGAAGAAGCAAAGGCTGATTCTACAGGGATTTAAAATAATTTGAACTGTTCTTATAGAATGCATTTTTGTCATAAATTCAATGTATAATTCGCCAAAACAATTGGTTTTATCTGTGCCTCTAACATTTACTCACAACTTTGAGCATATTCCTAGCAAATATTTCTGGCGCGAATATCATGTTCCAGCCTAGAACTGTCTGTATGATGTCGTAATTGCTCCTCTGTTTAAATATGCTCGTATTTGGTAGCTTTATTGACCTTTGAGAGAATAGTTACAAATTTGATTCTCAACAAAAAGTTATATCCTAGAAATAGCAAAAAAATGATTGCGTCTACTTTTAACTATTGAAATCAATATTATATTGGAAGAAGTCTAGCGGGCGCCAATTTTTTTTAGCGCTCGCAGCTTCTAGAATTCATATGTCTGACTATTTAAAAAATATTCGATAAGAAATCAACGTAATTTTCTGTTCTCATGTTCAAATATCTATCAATCATTCATGGTAGGTCGATGGATCCACCAATTTTAAGTGCTACATTTTCGCGACAAGGGAAACAATGAATTTTATGGTTCACGTTAAAAATATTGTTTTTTCTCGTCTTACTGTGAAAAATTTGTTATAGTTGCAAGCTTTTCAAGAGGTAAAATGTACTTTTCAATCATGGGTCATGGTATGAGAACAAGTCAATCCAGAGCCATAAAAAACCCTTTACCTCCCTACATTTAGAGCAAGCGCTACTTTCGGCGTTAGAAGCAGCGTTTAAAGTTCTGTTTGCGATAAATTTAGTGCTTGATCCTTGATTACATTCACTGAAGTATTATTCTATAGGTTCGATGCTGAGTTTCTGTTTATGTCGCTCACTTTTATCCCCACAAACAACTGATTCGAGCCTTTTCGGACAAGTAGACTGCTGTTTACGCAACCGCTTGATTTGTCGGTTTTATTTAAAAAACGCCTCGAAAATATGAAAATATTGTTTAGAGGCAGTGATTCCTTGGTTGAGCGAATGTGCATGTCACAACCTGCTGAAAGGCGCAATGAGCAAATGATTAATGGCAGAGTGACATCGCACTCGCACCACCCGCAAACATCGACCACGAAACACGAGAAAAAATGGCGGCGAAAATTTATATCTCGATCTTTTTTACTTTTCTCGGCCTAACCATGGCTTTCGATTTAATGGATGATGTTAATCTGGAAGGTCAGAAGGAAGATGAGATTTCTAGCAGCCATCGGACTGACAGTTTAAGCATGCTTATTCTAATATCATTATTAATAGCGACTGTATTGATGATCTGGTTGTTTAAGATTCGGCGATTTAGCTGTTTCCACGAAACCGGAGTTGCGATGATTTTTGGGATTATAGTCGGTGCTATTATTCGATACTCTGAAGATAAAGATAGCGTCGAAAAGGCCGTCTCTATACATAACTGTGACAACCTGACTTCGGCGCCGCGTAATGTTTGGATGAAAGTCAACGGGACCCAATACTCTTATATACTTTCGGGTATCGTTCAACATGCGAGAAAAGGAGCTGAGGGAAACGAGCTTGAAGATAAATCTTCCTTCAATCCTGAGATATTCTTCTACGTTCTTCTTCCGCCAATTATATTCTTCGAAGGTTATCTACTGCAGCGCCGTTACTTTTTCAGAAATCTCGGAGCCATATGCACGTACGCTTTTTTTGGCACGACCATCTCCTGCCTTGTCGTTGGAGGGATGATTTTCGGATTCAACAAGCTGACAGGAGTTGTCGAAACATTTGATTTTCCCGAATGTCTGCTTTTCGGTGCAATGATTTCAGCAACAGACCCGGTAACAGTGTTAGCTATCTTTCATGATTTGCATGTGGACGTGGATTTGTATGCTTTAGTTTTTGGCGAAAGCGTACTGAATGATGCCGTGGCTATCGTTCTTTATCGTGCAATTGAGACGTATCTCGCCTACAACCCGTCAGAAGTTCGTAAATTTGATGTGTTTTCGTTCTTCACGGCTTTAGGCGAATTCGTTGCTATCTTCGCCGGATCCTTGCTCATAGGCTGTGCATTTGCCTGCATCACCGCCCTTCTGACAAAGCTCACAAAGATTGGCATGTTCCCTATTTTGGAAACAGCCCTCTTTTTTCTGATGTCATATACAACGTTTCTGGCAGCTGAAGTGGCAAGCTGGTCAGGTATCGTTGCGGTGCTGTTCTGCGGAATAACACAGCGACACTATACCCATAAAAATCTTTCCCCAGAGTCATCAATAAGAACGCTACAAACATTTGAACTTTTAAACTTCCTAGCAGAAAATTTCATATTTTCTTACATAGGGCTATCCGTTTTCCTTTTCAACTACCATCAGTGGAACTTTGGTTTTATTGGTACTGCCTTTATAGCAATTCATATTGGCCGTTTTCTGAACATTTACCCGTTATCTTTGCTGCTGAATTGTGGCAGGACGCGCAAAATCGCCTGCAGTCATCAACATACAATGATGTTTGCTGGTCTTCGTGGTGCCATCGCATTTTCGCTTGCCATTCGTAACACCGTATCGATGCCACGGCAAATGATGCTCACAGCCACATTGTCTATTGTCGTAATATCGGTGATTTTCTTCGGTGGGCTGACCCTGCCAATGACGAAATGTCTTGGAATAGAGACTGGAATTGATGAAACCGAGGAAGAGTTCAAGGCAAAAAGACTTAGTTTGATTGACATCAATGACCCAAGTAACACAGATGAAGACAGGGCGGAGAAGAAGAAGTTCGAAAAGTCTTGGCTAGTGAGGACATTTTCTGCCTTTGATACCAAATACCTGAAACCAATTTTCACTGATATACACAATGAGTAGACAATTTGTCTTCCGCTAGCAAAGCCACGTAACAGAAGCATATTTTGAACTTGGCATCTTTTTCAAAAAAGCTTCGGTTAACTGAAGTGAATGAGATGAAATATGACAGTGACAACGGTCAACCTGACGCCGAAGCCTTGAGTTTTCTTATTGGATCGGTTGGGAAAACCAAACACCTTATGGAGTCGGTTGTACCAGACTAAAAATAAATTGATGAGCGGAAAAAACATCGAAGACTAGATGCATGACACAACGCAAAATGCAAGGAACTCAGTCAATCTTGGTAAAACATGTCACCTGAACGGAGAACCACTCGCCCTTTTAATGACCAAGATTTATCTTAAAAACCAATTCCTAGACGTCGTTCTTTAAAAAATGTCCGCTTTCAATTCTAATAAAGCACATATGGCTCCCAGAGCGGTAATACAAATTGTATAAAATTCTTAATCTGTACTTGTATTGACTCTGAAAAGTTGTGTTTTTGCAACGACGATTCATGTGCACACAGTCATTGTTTGTAGTTTGTCTGCAGAAAAGGTAGAATAGGCAAAAGACGCATTCTTGTCTGCAATGTCTGCCTTGCGTACGGAACGAAAAATGCGTCTCCTTTGCGTCTTCGACAGAATGCTTAAAACAAAGAATACAAACAGAGACAAGTATATTGATGGAGATAATGAAATTTATTCAACACAAGCCATTTCTTTTCAACTCAAGTTTTGGCTTGGCTCATGACATTAGTTCTATATTAGCAAGGCGTTCTATAAATGAAGGAGTCGCCTCTGTGATGTCATAAGTGACAATTGAAATGGGGTTACGTCACACAGGAATAGCGGGACAACCAAAAAAGATAAAAGTCATTTTTAGGTGACTAATCTATATTGCTCTTAAAATACAAATTAATAATCTAGGTAAAAATTCGTATATTTCCTTATATTACATAGAGAATTTCTTTGAAATAAAAGTATCCCGAAATTCTCATTTCGTTGATAATGAAATTATAAAAATATGTTTACATGCATTAATATTTACATTTGAAATATAAAGAACCAGTTTAGCAAGTTTCAATTGTAAACTGGCTTTCAAAAAAATATTTCTGTAATTTGAAAATTTCTTATGGAATATTCCCAGATATATTAAACTGCCAGTGTCCATATATTAAAGGCCATTTCATAACTATATGCTTTTGCGATGTGCTGTTCCTGAAATTGTCTTCTTTTATTATGATCAAAATACTTGGTTGTGAGATGAATCTCTGATATATGTACTAGCCTCAAAATAACTAAAACTACCTCGCACAGAGGACACTCTCAGCTTTTATTAGACCGGTCTAAATCCCTCTCTAATTAACTAAAGCAGTTCCAAATGAACCAGACTATTCTGTTATCAGTTAGGATTTCTGATATTGAAAACCTGTTGATCTACCTAAATGCAAGCCCTTAAATCTAGTTGGCCCATTCAACAAGATACCGAATATCTATCCTATCTTACCCAAAGATCCACAAACAACTGCTTACTCGTACAAAGTTCTGTGAAAACACCCCTTTAACAAACCTTTAAGCGTTTCCCGAATGGCATTTCTATCAATACCAAAAGGTGACAATATACGACCCAATGCAATAAAAACATTTTCCCCATTAGCTCTAGTGCAAACAACGTGAAGTCATTGATTTATTTAAATTTATTTTAAATCTAAATGTCCCTGCTGATTTTCAGCGTAGGATTTCTTCCAAGTTTGAAAAATTCAGTTACGTCACAAAAGAGACTGGAAACAAGCAAGCCATACGTTCATGGCATGACTGTTAGGCGCCTCAACTGGATATCGTCTTTCTGTAGTGTCTATATAGAACAAGTTTTGATGTTTTTCTTGATTGGTGTTGGGATAAACTTGAGTAATAAGCATACACTTGAAAACTCCCTTTGGCTGATCAGACTAAAATACCAGAAGATTATCGATTAAGATTCAAAACATGAAGATCGTCAGAGACAAAGAAGATTTCCATAAAATAGAAAAGGGAACAAATAACTTGTTATTCACAAGTCGTTTTATTAAGAAGTAACTTCGCAAATAGGCAGAAGTGGTCTTTTGCTTGCTATCCACAAAAAATAAATAGGATTTAAACTGTATACTCACTACATGATCTTCAAAATAAGCTACACAGCCTTTTCTTACATCCAAAACAAACCATCTCTGGTGCCACGATTTTCTAATCACTGTAAAATAGACATTACACAAATAAAAGATAAGGAACTTTGCAATCTTTTCATTTTGACCATATCAAGTCAACTTAATACCAAGAGGATCAAGCTTGGAAACACATGTACCCAATGCTTTATGCATCATACTTGAAAGCGATATAAGCAACATAGCAATATATTTTCAACATCATCAAGAGTTTTTGTTATATAATCCTATTTTAACCAGGCCAATATTATTTTGAACGCCCAGAGAGCCAATTTCACAATACTTCTACGAAAGAAGGCGTGGCTAACAACAACAATATGAACAAAAAGGCCAAAAAAGAAAATTGATAAGGTAAATGAAATAAAAGAGTTCATCTCATAGGTGAAAGAAAGACGAAGAAGGGTAAAGAACTAGAAGGCGCAGAAGATAAGTTTTTTACTCGACCGTTTAACACAACAGATGCGAGGATTGCTCCATGGTTAGGGTCGCAGACTACAGATTCAAAGGTACGCGGTTCGAGACTCTGACATGACCAAACTTTTACATAGAGTGAGAAGAGTCGTCAAATTTCTGTAATTCTAGGCGTGGGAATTACGAGGTTTGGTCACATCAAGAGGAAGGACTGGGACTGATAAGCATAAGCTTCTCAGTGTCCGAAAACTACATTCTGCTGTAAAGTTGAAACAAATATAGAAATACAACAACTGACTTTTTACCAAACGATAATTCAGATTTCTTAAAATGAAAGAAGGAAAAAATTCTTTGCCAAACAGACTTACATCCTTGCTTACGAAGGTATCCACTACAAGTGTGTTCTGTGACTTTGACTTCTATAACTTTGACGTAATCAATGCCTTTAAGGTAATAAAAAATATCTCAAAGCGTCTTCTATAAAAAATTGGCTGTTTTTGTAAACAAACATTCTGATATGATTTTTAAACAAAATTCGATATACCAATAATTTCAGCAAACAAAAATATCATTTCCGCTTGCAATTGGCAATTTCAGGAAAAGGGTTACAAATAAAAATATTTCATAAAAACCTCTGAATGGAGTTCAAGTAAAATAAACCAAGGTATTACCATGCACTTTCAATGGGATACGTGAAGAAAAATACAAATTACTACGAATGAGGAGTCTTTGTAAAAAGGATACGATCCCAATAGATCAGACAAAATACAAGAAGCCCTGATGTAATCTTCGTTTTTCGAGGTCGATTTTTTTCTGTTTTTGATATCTACTTGGTACTGTTGCACCTCTCAGAATACGTCCCTTTTTGCATCAGACAATTTTCAGTCAATTGTCACAACTACCATGATTAAAGTGACCTACCTTTGTTTTCTAAAGCTGTCCTGAAATTCGTTGGATTCCTCCCAATCAACCCTTGTCTAGGAAACGTTCGCACTTTCATTTTGTCTTCTTCTAAAATTAAAATACAGGTTTAGGCTGCCACAGAGCTGCTAAGAAAATGATAATAAATGTAAAATGATTCATCAAGACACTCAAGATCTGGAAAGCATGACAATACTTAATAAAATCACTGACTATGAAAAAATAAGTCCGTGCGATTAACTAAAGCTGTTTGCATTAAGTAGCATCTGTTTCCAAGTGTTCTATAGCTTGCACATTTCTAATATCAAAAAATCAGTTTAATGAAAGTTGATGCTTTAAATTCTAAAGATGACAGACAAAAAGCCTTTTCTTTGAGTGATTAAGTTTCAATACATTTGCTCAGCACTTTTCAGAACAAAACATTGCACCTTCTTAGTGCAGTGTAAGAAAGACAATTGACCAAATAAGCCCAATAAATCGCTGATTGAAAGAACCAATCAAACATGTTTTTCTTTCTTTCACTTTACTTTCGATCCAGATCTGGATATAAATGTTCTGCTTATTTGGACACTACCCAACTTTTATACTCTGAGGTGTGTCGGAAGAAAAGTATTTTAGTATGATATGTTTTCGCTTTTCCATGCTATTTCCAAAGACAGTTGAATCTCACATCGTAGAGACAAATATAATTTTAACAAGGATCGATAGCAACATACAAACCTTGGAAATCATTTCCATCGTAAAAAGTACTTTTCCCAATCTTATCTTTGCTTCCCAATGAATTGAGGTTCTCATACGATTTTGCTTTCTTTGCGAAAAAAGAGGATAAAATGTTTCTCGGTTTTGTTTCTTCAGTATTCTCCAGATGATACGAATAATTAGTTGCACATGATTCAGTTCTTTTATGTCTGGGAAGGAAATAAAATGACACTTTAAATATGCGTTATGGAAAAGATTGATATAGGATATGAATATAAACCTTGTATTATATAAGTGTACACCATTAAAATCATCTTTGTTGAAGGGCAACCCTCTTAAGATCAAAAAGTGGAAGGTGACTCTATATGAATTCTTTCACGAAACACACTATAGCATATAGATTAATTGGTGTACCATAACTAGAATAATACATACTAAAATGATGGATGCGCTTCAAAGGAATCATCTTTCTAATATCAGCTCATCAACCGTGATCTGCAATAACCTCCTGTCCCTTCTTGAACAGCTTTAACTAGCCTTATTTACTTTTAAAGCGTCAATCACTGCCAACGAAGCTAAATGAAAACATTGGGGCAAGCCCATGTTTGCACTTGCTGCATTTGTGACCCGAAAGTTTATCAGGATCACAACAGGTCTCTTTTCCCCGAAAAATCTTCTGCGATCCTTTGCATATTTTTTGCCATGGTAAAACTTGAAATAATATAAGATAGTAAAATTGACGTGAAGTGTCCCTGCCTTAAAAACAAACTCCGGCAAAATCTAACTTCTCCTTAATAAATTGATAAAGTGAAGAGATGTTACTAAGAAAACTAAAAATGCAATGGTACTCACAATATGCTTCCAATGGACCGTGTGTGAAATGCATACTGATCCGCAGTTGCTTCATCAAGCTTTGAATATTCCGACAACAGTAAGTGGTGCTCTGCGAGCCGCTCCTAAAGCAAATATGGAAAAAATTACCTTGAACACCTAATGGACACCAACGGACGGCTAACGGACATCAACGGACGTCTAATAGATACTTGAAGGACGCCAATTCTATTTATCTTCTGTTATCAAACCAACCGATTGCTGAAAAATCAGCCTAAGGGAAACACTTCTTAAACATACAAAATCACAAGAAATCCCATTCAAATTATTTTCTTGAAAAACACTTCAGTTATAATAAAGAAAGTAACAAATACCAAAGAAAATACATAAAATGGCCTAATGGGATCGTTTCTGTGAATTGGAAGGTCTAAGGAGCTCCATAACATTCCCAGGGATTCCATTCTAAGCTTTAAGAGCATTGTTGGAAAATCCTTTTTAGCAATTGAGATGGTACAGCCTAAGATTTGTGTTCCAAGATGTCTCAAAAGAGATCTGGACACAGCCTCCGTATGACTTTGTCCACCGTAACGGACCGGTCAAATGACTGTTAGGCACTGGTATTGGTATTATTACTTGGCTATTTTAATGGCTGTTTTATGCAGACAGCAGAAACTTTCTTAAATTAACGGAAACAGTAAGAGGAACTTTGTCAAATTAACGGAAACAGCAGATGACCAGCGTTTTGAAAGTCAGATCATTGAAGTCCACAGTTTAAGAATAAATAAGAAATTTGACTACCTCTGTCATTAAATTTTGAAATTACCAAAAACACGAACTACAAAAAGACGAAAGACAAACTGTTCAGCGCAATTCTCATAAAACGTAAATATTTAAACAATTTCCCAGCGAGGCTTACCTTAAATTCTTTTTGTCGCTTTTCCATTTGCATATAAGCAACATTTTCAGCAAGAGCAAGGCTTTCCTGCAAAGAAAGGTCATAAGAAATAAACACTGCTTAAACGTTTTTAATACCGCCCGGTGATACTAATAGTTCACATATATGAAAGCATAAGACCTTTCCAACTGTCACCATTAGGAAACTTACGAGGGGTCTTAATTGTAGGCTGGACAGAACAAAACGCACGCTTCAAGCTAGAAAATATCCACAGAATCTTAAATGGTAATCAGCCGCTTAGATTAATATTGACTTAAAGGGCCTCTCCAGCCAAAATTTGCAATTGCATTTTATTGGCTAATCTAAAGGAGTTTAACCTGCTGATCACGAATTCGTTATTCGTTTTTCGATATTTTTTACAGTTTGTGAGATATAAGCTCTTGCATTTCGATAATTGAATTGAATTAACCGACAAAAATTTTTCGGTTTGGTGACACTGTGACGCAATTTTGACGTCACAGTGTATTTCGTTAGTCTCGCCTCAAACCGAATCGAATGTCGGCGATTCGCAAATTGAACACTGCAAGTGATAGTACTCTCAGTTCTGTTCCACCGGCTTTTAGTTTGAGCATTTCAGATATCAATTCTGAAGCCTTTAGTTGTTCATTTTTTTTGGAGAACAACTGAAGTGTCAATTTCGATTAATAATACGCGAGGAACGAGCTGGAACAGGAAGCCGTAGCTTTGTGGGCCTACACAGGTGATCAAAACAAGGTCGTGACACAGCATGGACACATTCCGACCCGCAAACTTAGAATGATTGTAAACATTTAATAATTTTCGATCCTAAAAAGCTCCTGCTCTAGATTTAGATGCAGTTATCAACGCGTGACCATGACTCCTTCGCGATTCGGTGGAAGATATACGAAATTCATGACGAACGAGAGCCGCACACTGTGACGTCAGAATGTCACAAAACTGATTCGGCTTTTGTCGTTTTCTTCTCGGAAAGGTGCAACTTTAAAGCCTTATAACTTCTAAACTAATCGAAACTTTGCAAAAACAACAACTTTGCCATAATACACGCACCAGATACTAACTTTTTAGTCAATAAAAAAAAAATTTTTTTTGGCTGGAGAGGCCCTTTAAGGGAAAATGCTGTAGAGCAAAACAAGTAGGCGGAAGCAATACCTCAGTTCTGTAGCGAGTATACCAACTCCAAAGTTCTAACCATGGAGCTGCAGCAACCGGATAAATGGGCCTAAAAACAAAAAATGGCTTTCAATATCCCAAGAAGGGACCTCAATCAAGCACAAAGTAAACAATAAAGCTAGATACTACGCTATGTTACCAAAGCACTTACCCAGAATTTTCTTCTTCTTCGTAGATAGGGTTAACGAAGTCATCCCTTGCCATGATGACAACATTCAGCCATGTCCAAAATGATATCGGCTCGATCTGCGATAACTTACTTTTCTGAAAAATAATCAGATAACAATATACTGGTCTGAAAACATCAATGTAAGACAGGGAGCTGAAAGGCCCTGTTCCTTGAACTAGCGAGATGATTCGAACTCCACGTGCCGTGTAGTTCTGCGTGCTTCACAGAACTATCGGCACGTGGATATCGGAATTATTAGTATTAGGATTATCTGATAATGTGAATACAAAGATAATTTCGCGTAACTCACTTCTTTCTGGCTCAAAAGTCACTTCTTTCGAATGAATGTTTGAGAATATAATCATTACTATACAAGAATAAAAGCGGCAAAGGAAAGCATTTCTTATAAAAAAGTACTTATCTAAAAATTGTTAACACTATTTCGCATAAAATGCCTGTAATACCTGATTAAGATGAATATTGAACAACTTCAAAGGGAAAAAAGGAAATGAAAATTTAGCTTGCCTCGAAGTCGAGAAAAGTACCAAATCGTCCAGAGTAAGAGTGTGTTGCCAGTGTCTGAAGCAAAAAGTAATTTTTTCTTCATCAGAAACTTTTATCTTATTTCGACACTATAACTTTAAGAAAATGATTATATAATATAAATAGTTATAAGGCACTAAGGAGCCAATAACAATCAAATTAATCCAAGAGTTCTTTTGAGTAGAATCTCAATGAAGCTTCTGACAAGAATAAATAGAAAAAGGAAGGCAATACTGACCTCAAAATATGTACAGAAGGAAAGGAGCGAAAATGATCTTAGAAAACGGAATATATAATTAATGTTGTGGCTTAACCCGTCCTGGCGAAAACTATTTTCAAAGAAGAAAAAGGGGCAAGTCTAGCCGGAAATAAATGTACTGATTATTATCATGACTGAAATTAGATGAGACTTTACATAGATAAAAAAGATAATAAGCCCCTGTACTCGGATAGGCCTCTGTACTCGACGGAGTCCCCCTTCTCGAATGCGGACCCACTCAAACAAGCAATTTCAAACATTTTAATAACCCCCCCCCCCCCAAATGCAGCTTTATAGAAACGAGACACAGTATAGAAAAAAACGTATGACCTAAGCCCGTGACAAATCACATATTTAACGAGAAATAACTAACACAAACTTTATACTGGTTTTAAACAGGGTTATAAGTAAACTGGCAAATGGAGTGAAGTTGAAAAAATGTAAAAGCCTCGAAAAAGTGCTATTGGTATACTATCTTATGTGCTGTGCAATGTAAGAGAATATAACTGGACTATGCTCGAAACGTCGTTAACAAACTCGCAACTTTTTTAGTACAGTTTTACTATAACCCCTAGTGCTATTGGTATGGTTTCGTTCAGATAAAATTAGCAACACCCTCGCTTTCTATGGCTCTTTTCATATTGGCTCGTTGAAGCCTCCCCGCAGGACAAATTTAAAGATTTAGGGTATTCTAAAGGAAGAGGTCTGTTAACGTTTTCTCTAAGATTAGCACACAAAGCTAGATATCCGTACTTGAAAATGAAAACATAAAGGGCTTATACCTGGAGAAGGTTCTCATTAAACTGGAAAACTACTGGAAACTGATGGCAAAGCTGAAACAAAAATGGCAAAGTCTTGCACTTAAAAAAACTCTAAACAGGCAACATTAACAGGCAGTAAAAAACGTATCTCAGTATATCAGAGCATTCGTACATTCGACTTTTTGAATAACTTGCACTTTAGGGTAAGCTTTGATTCCTTGCTCAAATTTGTCTTTTACTCGGATGATGCAAGACGCCAGTTGTCTGTTATTCAAAGGCAACGAGGTTTGCCTTTTTCAGAGGAAATTTCAAAACATTTTTTGAAAGGTACAGTTTCTGTCAAGTCCTATTTTCCTCCAAACAATTTCCTCAAGATTTGGAAACTTTCCTCAAAAAACAAAGAAAATAAGGCGGCGTTTGACCTATGATCTCCGGGCACAGCAGGAATCTTAGGAGTTAGGACCAACCCAGCACGGATAATAAAAAGTTCGAATAATTAAAACTCGAATCAGAGGGATTTGTTATGAGATTCTCAAGAGACCTGAAAACTTTGTCCAAACCAGTAAAAGTTCGAATCACAAGAGTTCGAATTCGACAAAGGTGAATGAAGTTCCATTTGTGACGTTACGTGACGACTGTCACCAGGTCGAATGGCGGAGAGAAACGTAACACATTATGATTTCTTACGTACTTGCCAGACACAGTCAAGGAATTGTAAAAATATTGGGCTGAGGTTGTCATCAACAAATCCCGTTGACAGGTTTCTTGCCATGAAAGGATGCTTCACTGATAACCATTCTTTCTGAATTAATACCTGAATGATAAAATAAAATAGTTTTTGCTTACCATCCGGCCAACAGTACTCAATCTCTTTATTAAAACAATAATTAGTTTTTCAAAATATATCACACGGTATGGTACGTGGTAGCATTTTAGCTGGTTGTATTTTCAAATGAAAATGATTCCGATTAACTTGAGCCAGCAAGCGCTGTTCGATGTGAGCCTAAAGTTGACAAAAACACACGAGACACAACATACCTGAAAACCATCTAGTGTGCGATAAAAAGGATCGAGCAGTAATTGGACGAGGCTGACAATCTGTAATGGTAAAAGGGAATCTAACTGCATTTAAAAGCAAGATGTTACAAACTTAGGCAGAGTTCCGTTGCTAATGTACTAACGAAAACTAACAGTACCAAACATGGCAGTTGGAATTCAAAATTGATTAACTACTTATATAAAGACAAAACGCCGAAAACATTCAAGTGTAGAGAAGTTGCCATTGATTAACAAAGCCACTCTTTTGAAAATGCGACATGCCTACCAAAATAAAACCTTAACGACGATAATAACATTACAACGAGGAACATAACAAATAAGATGACGTGAAAAAAGAGATAAGAAAGAGGAAGACCACAAAGAAGATAGAGATAACAAAAGCAAAATAGAGATAACAAAGGAGGTGGCGAATATGATGACGAGGAGGCAGCATCGCTGCAAAAACGATGACGGTGAAGAAGATGACAGAGAAGCTGACTACAAAGACGATGATAAATTACATGGAAACCATGGAAAACAACGAAGATCTCAATAAAGAAAAAAAGCCGCATTAGATAACAGGACAAGAAAGAACAAAACGAAGAATATGCAAAACATAGTAGAAAACAAGTAAAACAGTACAGAAAAATGAGATTGGAGAAGATAAAAGAGAAAAAGACATCCATCACCATAAATAACATAACAAAGGCAAAGAGGAAAAACACTACGAAGAATAACACGACAACAGCAAAAATGACAACTAGAAAGCGATTAGACATAATGTCTTGCCCTTTATAAAAATATTTACATGACATACTCTAAAGCTTGGTTTCCACTATGAGTTAACGTGAGTTAATTTGAGATAATTTTGTGATCTGACATGGTTTAAAAATGATCTCATAGTGGAAACGGTCATTAAAAATTATCTCATGAAAATTAACTCGTGTTAACTCACGTTATCTCATGAGCTTGGAAACAAAATTTTTTGATTTCAAGCTCATGAGTTAACTTGAGATAACATCTTATCAAAAGAAGCCGATGCGTGGGAGGGGAATGTGCTATAATTTGCACTGAGGTTCTTACGCAACGCACTTGCACTGAGTATTACTTTAGATGTTGAAAACAGTTTTCTTTACTAAAAAAAATTAATTGTGAAATAAGAGAAACATTTTCTCATTTCTAAGATCCTGTTGCAAGTGGTCGTATTCACCAAACGCGTATCTTTTTTTGGTAGACTCTCCGTACCGAAAACCTTGGCGCAGATCGCGAACGGTACTTCTAGCAAAAAATATTTTCCTTCTAAGTATTCTCAAAAGCAGAAGTAAAATAAGTTGTTCTTGTAAGACGCCCGCCATAGCTGCAAGACTCAAATAAAAGGTGATTTCTGAAATTTCCATACTTAATTCTATCTCAAGTGGAAACCGAATCGGTGCATGGGTTAATTTTGAGATAGCTCGCGTTATCTCACGCTATTTCACACTATCTCAAGTTAACTTGAATTTAGACCATGAGTTAATTTTCAATTTAGCTCAGAATTATCTCACGTTAACCCATAGGGGAAACCAAGCTTAAGAAACATCACAAATCACGATTAGTACCTGAGATGTCCTGTCGACTCCATCGTCATAGGCAACGACAACAGCAGAGCCTTCATTTTCAATCTCAGAAGCGATTGCGGTAGAAATCTCGAGTAACCTTCGGATATTCTCCAACCAACCAGACTCTTCTAACTGAGACAGATATTTGCTTTCATCCCTAAAAAAGATATAATTTATAGAGAGCACTAAAACAAGAGGATACAATTCCTGATTGAGCTAAAAGAGAGAAAAATTGATTTTCCAAGCAACACAAATGTATGTCTTTCTAGTCACACATAATTGAAGCCTATGCAAAAAAAATCATAGAGAAATGTCCGAAAACTTTGGTATAAATGTATCTTCTTCTAAACGATGAAAATACATACGTTTTGTTGGAAAGGGCGTGCATCAAACGAATACCGTTTTGTTGGACGGTTTGTACATCTGGCAAGTTATCATCGAAAACGAATGAACAATGTGGATAGTAATAAGCTAGGAAAAAAATAACGCAAGGATTATTTCTTTTGGCCATAGATAGTATGATCAATTTGGATGAGCTTCCGAAAACGAAAAAAATTCTAAAAAATAAAATTGGTAGGACGAGCGTTCGAATGTGATTTGCGAACGTTGGGATGAAAGCTGTGAACATAAGTTCGCTCCCAAAATCCAAACGAATAGGAAATGCGCTCAAATGAATCTTGAAAATTCACAAAAAAGATAACGGTGCAAAGACTTACACATATTTTATATAGATATTTTGTGAGGTGTAAATACAAGATACACAAATATATTCCTTTATCATTAAAATTACTTGAAAACCGACATACTTCACCTATCAAACACAGATTTTGATAGAAGTTATGACTTCACTTTGTTTGCTATGAATACTTAAGTGACAAATTTTCACAGCTTTGCTTTCAATAACTTTTTCGGTTATAAAGTGGAATCGTGATATAACAAACTCTGAAGGGAACCAGAAAATAGTTCGTTATATCCGGGATTCGTTATATCGGGATTCGACTGTAGTTTTTTTTCCATGTCATGTTTTATTGCTTAAACATGATTATGATAATTTATACAGCTTTCCAAGAGCTATATGAATACTTATAGACAGACCTGTATAGGAATAGAAAAAATCACTAAGAAATCTACTGTTGAAAGCTCATACAAAGAAAAGAAATGCTTCGAGTGCAATTAAATTTACCTTCCCCTTCAGCCATTGATAAACTACTTTGGTTGTTATTTGCCGATGGTCCAATAACTCTGCCCCTGCATAAAGAGGAAGGGTTGAGGCACCACAGGCATAATTGGAAGAACATAATGAAATAATGAACAAAACTATTTGGCAAATAATGGGAAATGATTGAAAAATGGCATGGATCGGAGAGATAGAATTCAGTTGTCGTAAGAGTAGTTTTTGCCATAAGGTTGTTTTGTCCTTGAATGATACCAAACATCCTTTAATCGTTTACTCTACTTTGCCACAGTGCAAAAATACTTTTAACAATTAGGCTTAGCATGTTTAATGGGAGAAAACATTTGCAAGGCCTGAGACCAGGTAACATCGGCTTTCCGATTCGACAGTCAACTGGATCGATATGCCATTCTTTGATGTTCACCCCAGAGAGAAAACCAAGACAACTCACCGTTCAGTGAACACCCAGACATTTGTATCTCGATTTTTAGCAAAATGTGCCAATGCACCAATATACTTTTCATCTGCTTGGCAACGTTGATCTGACAGACCCCTGTAAGTAAACAATTCAAATCTCTTCATCTGGACTCAAATCCTATGCAAGGAATCAGTGCGTGCAAAGAAACACAATATAAGATTGGATGAATGATTTTGTGTAGTACCATGTGCAAATAATCAATCTTTTGCGTTTCGGTTACACAGCAAATTAGATATTACAACTGGGATCAAAGATGTCTCTCCGTTTCTTCCCTCAAAATAATGAAACAAAAATTCGTTGAGATAACACGTTTCGGGTTCATGCCACTTTGGATTATCAGCAGCTGTTGACCGAATACCGTAAGTCCCCGGGACTTAATTCGCAAAAAGTATTTTGGAATGGGGACCAGCAGCCAAAAATATTACCAGGGTAAATTGTCTTTTTATGTTGAGGCTGGTCAATGTGCTTAAAAATACAGATACACCCATTGTTGTTGAGGCAATACCTCAGCCCGTGGAGCCTTTTTCGAGGGTGGGGGTGCAATTTGGAAGAAGGGGGCTTATTCGAAGGAGGGGGCTTATTCGAGGACATACGGTATGTTTTTGACTATAGAACATGTAAGTGATATAATGTTTTTTTCAGGGGCCTAGGGATATTGCATTGTCTGAATTGCATGGTGGGATATGATATAAGGGCATATTTAGTAGGGTCCTTGCAGTATTATTATTGGGCAGGGAAACAATACTCTAATACTTACGTTGATGAGGATGCTAATAGAGTGCCTAGAGTTGCTGATGAGAAAAAATGAAGGCTGGTACTTTGTAGAATCGTAACCGGCAACTAACCTCGCTGTTCTAGGGATAGCACTTCGAAGCAAAAAACCACTAGACCTGGGACAGCGCCATGTTACAATCGGAAAACAGTTGTTGCTGTTCAAAAGAATGAATACGCAGATGAGTGTCACTTCTTATTTCCAAGGGTAAATTAAGTTTGCGAATCACAACAGCATGGAGACTGGTACCCAAAATCTTTATGCGTTTAAGTAAAGAGTCTTTGTTGGAGAATAATCTAGGCAATGATGATTTTATATGAGTTTCTTGATAATTGCTGTTAACTGAGAAAGCCGGGATGAATAGAAAAAAGGAAATGTTAAAATGTGAAAATAAAGCTAATAAAATTCCATTTCAATTGTCTAAATAAAAGGATCTATATAGAATCACTGACTGTGCAGAAACAAATTTTATCACACAGATTCTACTTCTGTACGTTTTCATATGCTGATTTGAAAAAATATATATAAGTAATAAAACTTTACGCAGGCCAATTTACATGATGACAAAAAGATAATTACCAATGGTAATCAGCTATTTCTCTCAATGCATCTCTTTCTCTGACACATAAAGGAACAACCACTCTTCTGGGATATCGAGGGCAAAAACTTTGGTCTTGAAAGAAAATGCTATGGAATTTACGTTACATCAATAATATATTATATTTTAACTTTTGTTAATTAAAATTATATGTTGTTAATCTATGCATCTAAAAAACAATACTTTTATTGCATAAAGTTCGTGCGGTAGTTTCTAGCTATAGGTGTTGCTATTGTTGAAAAGATTTTGCTACTTCTGAGAAATCGAACCAGTTATTGTGAGACATAATCAATAATAGTGAAGGTTAAAGTGCAATGTTAAGAACAGTTTCGTGAAGAGACGCAGGGAAACTACGGTCCGTCGACATAAGCACCACATAACGTGAGATTTTTACGTTTATTTCTCACGATAGCTTCAGTTTGGATATGAGGAAAACGCACAAATGGTTTTTGGATTGTCGTTTAAAGAGACTGATTCGTAGCAAAAATAAACAATGCGAATAGCTCTAAATTTAGCCTTAAAGCAGGAAGTCAATATTTTCCTTCAAACATTGTTGGACCGATGATTGTGTTGACAAGAGGCAACTGATCTGTCAAGTGCCCTCACTGCTCATAATTAAAATATAAGTGTTGCCTTATTCAAAACAACTTTTGCAAACCATGCTACACTCTTGCTGCCATGTACGTATCGCTTTCAAAATTTGAATACATTGGTGGGTTAAGCGGCCAAGAGGAACAGAGCCTCTCAAAAGCAATGAGAAGTAAACTACATCGCAGACTTGATTGGATAGAAGCCGCTTTTAATTAAGCCTCTTTTTAATTATGTCTGTGTTATATGGTAATGAAAAACAAGACTTATGATCTTACCAACTGTTACTACATTGTTCCCAGTGTCTAACTTGAGTCTCTTTACTTCATCTACGAGATATATGGAACATCTCACTACTATCAACAACCTTTTGCAAAATAGACTTGCAGGGAAGTTTTGTCCTAGATAATACTATCCCATTGTAATATGTGACAGCAACTTTTAGACAAACTATGGCAGTTTTAACAATATTTTGCTCCCTGTGATATCGTTTTAGAAGTATGGTACAGCTATTTTTGAAAGGAGTGTAATTAATAGCATGGCATTCTTTTCTTATAGGACAGTATATCAAAATTTATATTGGCAAGAACAGGAATTGATAGGAAAAATTGTGAAAAAGAAAGCAATGGAATAACAATGACGAAAGCATTCAATTCGAAGAAAGAGGAAACGATGAAAATGTCTTTAATCGTAGTTCCAAATCAAATTTACATCACATGAGAAAAGCAATAATTGAGCACCAAAACGCAAGAGAGTTTTAAACGTTTAACAAAAACCAAAGTAGCCAACAACGGAAATGCGATAATTACCCTCAAATTAAAACTCACCGTCAAATTTGTAAAAATTTTGAGGAGACTTGTTAGTCAAAATCGAGCGGCAAGATGATGGCAGTTTAAGATTTGCCGAATACGAATATGCGAATGCTGCAGCTCTGCCCTGAAATGAGATCATTCAAAATGACGATAATCACTTATTGAGTACAAAGGACAAAGAGTGGGAGACTTTAAAGTATGAGGATGGTGACATGCAAAAGCACGTTATCGTACGTGAGTTAGTTAAAAGTCACAGTTAAAAATCACAAAATGTTAACAGAGTAAATCAAATGGGTGAATGTAACAGAAATCACCTGTGGACAGCAATGCTTCTCTAAAACTTGTAACAATTCTTCAGCGTCATAATTATCAGATCCACCGATGCAAAGCTACGATAAGGCAAAAGCTCTCAAAAAATACATAGACAGTGGCAAAAGCTTTTCAAAAAACATGAAAAAATTCGAAAATGCATCGCATATACGACTCAGTATAAATTATGAATGAAAAGTGATTGTATCTTTAGGATTCATCACATATCACATTCATCTTAAAGAAGATCAAATTCTATCTGAGAAGATAGCAAAAGCAGAACTACAAACAATAAAACTTTCAAACCGATATTATTAAGAAGTACGTCTGTTGATTCTTGCGTGGTAAAGTGCTCAATACGTTTGCACGTAGAGCATGATATGTTTTGAGAGTTGGAAAAAATCAAACTACAGGTTTGTTCTTCAGCAGAACATCTTCTAAAAGGCGATCTTATCACGAAACAGGCTTTCAGAGATGAAAACTGTAGTTTGATTTTCTTCAACTCTCAAAATAATTATATAATTAAATACATACATTCATCAACATGCTGTCGTGCTTAAGAATTTGTTCCTATTTTCTAGTTTTGGTCTAAGGTAGCCTCTGAACAGGCTCACCTTGACGGATGTTAAGTTGTTGCACGTGACTTCTATGCCATCTCGCAGCATCCTCAGCTTCTCCTTTTCCAGGTATTGTTTGGGGAACTTCTTGACGTCATGGATACTAACAATGGGTAACGATATCAAAACATTTTCAAGGCTGTCTGAAAGGAAAAAATTCAAAGGTAATTAAGACAATGTTTATACTAGATTGTCAAGAATACTGGCACGAAGTCTGGTAACACAAAGTGCTGAGATAAGGAAAAAACACTGCATTACCAATAGTTATAAGATTCAAACTATCAACTGGGCTGAACCATATCAAAATACGGTATCTGTCAAAGGTAGCCTTCTAATTCAGTGAAGGTGCTTTGATGAAGGTTCAAGGTTATGGCACTCCCTCTCAAGATGGCATAAAAGATTTTAATGTATCTATTTGAAAGCAATTGGTTTGCTGGCTACATTATTGCCTCGTCAACAACAAAAATATTTTTAAATGCTAAGATAGAAAATCGCTTTATTGTTAGTAATGACAATACAAGAATGACACGCTTGTTTTAAATGATAGCTTTAAGTCATAAAGACTTCCAAACCTGCTACAGCACCACCATTTGTGTCTGAGTCATTTATACCGAATTCCTGAATGGCCAAATGGGTGCCAATCCTCATTCCAAGAAGATTGACGGCTGCCTGGGACTCGATGTCATCGCCAATGTCATCATTCTCCAAAGCATATTGATTGAACAGGAAATTCCCCCTTTTTTTCTTTATGGAGGCTTGAATTAATCTAAAGAAAAAGAGCACCAGAATCATACATATGAAAACTGGTGCTTGAACCTGAATGCTGAATTAGAAAAGGTTGTTAAAAATTGTCTTCCCTATCAGCATGGCAAAAGGCAGCTCGCATATTCCTGTGCAAAGTATAAACAGTGAGGCACAAAAAATATTGATAATAACAAATTATGGTTAATTTTGTTGTCTATAGAAGTTTTGAGGTTTTCAAAGGAAACAAAACATGAATGAATGTGAAAGGATAATGGCCAATTACTAACTTTCCCCCTTTTCTGACAGATTGTCCAATCTTTGAATGAATTTTCTTGATATGCTGATTCACTTTAGGTAATTCATAGCGTTTCTTCTGATATTTATATCCTCGCCTTGCAATCTCCTCTTGGTCAACCTTACTTCCAGAGACTTCAATACTAGAATCCTTAAAAGTGATGCAATTAATTTTAATTAAAGCAACTAGATATAAAAAATAGATTAAAGAAAAGAACAAATTTTATTTTATTACATGAAAATATATTAAATTATTACACAGTTATAAAGCCAAGGGGTTTTGAATACAACAGCCTCCCTACTTCTGTCAAAACATGGTCCACCTAACTTTTCTGAAAATTGGTAAATGGTATTTTTTTATCTGTTTATGAAAAATAGTGGAAGGGTGCAACGCCAAAATTTTGCAAAGGCAGGAATTTGGGTCAAAAGGTTGTGGTTTAATCAAATGTCCAGAAGAGTAACAGTAAGAAGAGTAACAGTAAGAAGAGTCCAGAAGAGTCATCACTATTGATATATTTCTACATTAGGCCATACTTTTGTTTATAATGCATTTTTTGTTTGAGCATCATGCTTAAACTATTTGGTGTACTTATTTATTTTTGGACTATATCATTCTAACAAAGTCTGAAAGCTTAACAAAGAAAACATATCTATATTTTGAAGACAACAGCTAATAAAATACTACTCAATCTTATCACCAAACTATCTCAGATGACTGAAATATGCATAGTGGGCAATTCAGTCCTAAAAAATGCAAGAGAATTGATATAGCTGGCAACTGTAACAAATGCTCAAAAAAATTATCATCAAAACAAAGAGGAAATTTTCCAAAGAAGAATGCTTATAAAATCAAATTATAAATACCTGGAAAAATGTTCCTTTGAATACAAGACGGTAACAGCTGAGATACAAAACTCCAGTTGCAAGATTAGTCAGAGTGCCAACACAAGTTACATTCTCCTGTTGCAGAATTAATGTCTCACCTGGCAGCAAAACTAGGGGTGCAAACTGTCTTCTTGGGTGTTTTAGGCCTCTAGCCTGTAAATAGCAAAAATCAACAAGTGCTTTATATAACACCATAAAAATCAAAACATTGATATTAATGTCTCAAAGACTAATGATATAAAATAACACTTTCAAATTGATGTTTGTGTTCCTTGGACTGGTCAGCATATGAATTCCATATTTTTTACCAGTTTCTCCTGTTCGTTTTCAGAACTTGAATTGATTTGAACTAAAACTAATTTTTGAGGATTTTTTACCATTTTAGTTTAAAAGAATTCAGCAATTTCAAAGATTGACACTAGGCAAGTGGAAGATTGTCTAAATATTTTAGTAGAGATGTCTGGATTGAAGGGGTTGCAGAATTTTCAAATATATAAAAAGGCAGAACCACAGTTTCTAAAAGTAAATAAGAGAATTTAGAAAATAAGAGAACTTTTGAAAAGAGGAAGACTTCCATTGTTATGAAATGAGACATGATTTAATTTTGCAAGATAGTGACAGTAAGCAGGAACAGATACTGGTTGGCCTTAGTGCTTGAGTACCAGCAGTGAAACAAATATAAGATCTAAAAAATCCCTTTAGGAAAGCATCATCTAATACATATCTGAACAATTTTCTGGCTGTAAAGAAATTCAAAATGACTTTGAAAAAAAGCAAACATTTCACAACATACATAAAGCTTTTTCATCTGACACTCCCCACCCAGTTGCGGATCAAAATGTGCTGTGCTTTTCTGATTGGCCTATTTCCATCCACAACTGGTTACATATTTTCCATTGCGTTCCTTTGGACCCTTATTCTGACCTTTTATACTCTGAGGAGTGTTAGACAAGAAAGCTTTAAGTATGTTGTGAAATGCTTGCTTTTCTCAAAGACATACTCATACATATATTGAACCTTTGGAATTATATAATATCATTACACCATTCCGGACTTCAGATCTAAACAGCTTTTTGGTACACATCTGACAAGAAACAGCTGCAATCCTTGTCATTTTATTGGACTGTTTCAGAATCAGTAATTATTGAATATGGAAATAGTGGAAATAGACATAAGAAGAAGAACAAAGAAAACTTTTGCTAGCATTGTTCTTTGAAGGGAGGTTGTTTGGATACCTAGGCATTTAGCTCTTAAATGCTGGATCTATCAATACATTGGCAGATGGTTTAGCAATGCCACATTGGGACACATCCCCCAAGAATTTAAGAGAACTAACTGTTGAGAAAATGCTAGGGTAGGGGTAATATTTTGGCAAAGTATGCTTTGTGCTGTCATTATAAAATGTAGATAATTAAAAAATTAGTCTTTAGCATTGCCTTTTGTAAAAATGGGTGTTCCCTGTTTATATGGTGTGCTTTCTGACAGTAAAGAGGGCATGACCAAACATTGTGATATCCCTCCCCCCCCCCTCCCTCGGCACCTTAGAGGCAGGTGTTGTCACTGGCTCTAGCAATGTATGTGAACATTAGTGTTATCAGTTATTTTTGTCATTTGTTTATTACCTCATATGATCAGTCTTGAAGTACCTCGTAGTCATTCAAAAGAATGCACCAATTCCTTATTCGCTTTTGGTGACTTCCTATATATCATAATACATGTTGATTATTGCAGGCTTTTTTGTTTGATAGAAGCGATTACTCGCTATCCTGTTAGCACTCGCACAAATTGTGAGGAATAAATGTCTCAAAAATTAACATGTTTCTAGTCATCTTTTGCAACCTAAGCATGTATAACATAGACGATACAAAAAAGAATATAAGTGAGCCAGGCTTTCATGGGAAAAATATAGCAGGCGTGCTAACCACTGCATGCCTGAAAACATGCAGGCGTGTGAAATTTTTTCATAAAAATTTATGGTTATCATAATAGATCTACGCAGAAATTGCCAAACATGAAAATGATGACACCAATATTTTTGATGAAATATACTTCACTGAATTCTTAGCATCACTACTTACGTTTTAGGGACAGATTTTGAAAAAATTTAACCTATAAACCAAGAGTATAGATGGCATTTACATGATTCTATCATATCTAAACAATATAAAAAAAGTTAAACCCAAAAATTATCTCAACTATGTTTAGGAATACAGGGCATTGAAGTTTAGGAATAATTCATGTTTGAAGTGTGATGTATTTTTTTGATTATATCCAACTTTAAATTTTGAGGTGAATTTGAGCTAGAATTTCTTCAAAGCACATATTTTAAAATATTTTAGAGTAGTTGTTATGGTGGCTTGGTGTTATTTCCTATAATATACTCTATTTAGGAATGAACACATTTTATGCCTTGGAGCAACAAAATTCCTTCTTTTACTTTATCAACAGTTCTGGCTGTAAATATCTTTTTCTCTCTTATGGATATATGTAAAATAAAATTGCGAGTAAAAGTATCTGCACTACATCTGTCCCTGCCAAGGTGTAGTGCAGCCAGTAGCAGCAACCTCTTTTTACTGTATGGAAACACCCAATTACCAAGATGATCTTCAACTTGTCCTATGGAGTACTGAGGTGATGACATCACAAAAATATATTTTTACAATTTTTCAACTTTGAAAATATAACCCAAAAGAGCATTGCAATACCTCTAAATGTGTAAATCAGTTGAATGTGTTGAGATATAGCCACATAAGCACAGGCCCAGTCCCCATAGAGCCTCCATAATTTTGTCTTGGTTCATAACTTTATGGATCAGGCAAGAATAATTGTAATCCATTACCAAACTTTAAATCTTTCATTGACCATATCGCGCCAAATTTTAAACATATCAGGCCTTGCCCGGAAAGGCGCTCGATCGAGCACGCGCGCCTAGAGCGCACCCAAAAGCAGCCTTGGAGAGCGATTCATAGAGCCCCTCAAAACGTAAAAACAATATCACCACGGAGCAAAATAATTTCTTGGCCTTTGTCTAATAAACTCGATCAAGCATAAACAATCTTCCTAATAGACCGCAATATTATGATTTGCGTAAGATTACCCCTTGAAAAAAAAATTCAGCAAATTCAACGTTGGGTTTTCGATACCATTTTTAATCTAATAACCCTCCAATAACCACCAAGGACACAGGCCATCAAGCGTATTTTCCCGCAGATTTATTTGATTTTTGAGCAAGCGTTAATCTTCTGTTGAAGTATTATTTTCTGTTTTTCTTAATAATTTAAAATCACCTTTGCAAATCAGAGATCACATTTCCTTCCAAATTACCGCATTGCTTTTCAGTTTTCATTTGCTTTCGTGAGTAGTAGATGTTCTAGTGTGTCTTATAGAATGGATAGCATAA